GAGCATTCTGTTAACGTTACTTCACGCTGTTCAGATTACGGGATGCAAGCAGGATACTGACGTTGCCAACAGACAGCACCCCACTGTAGTGGACACTACTACTGCATCTGACCACTACTGAAGTAAACTCATCCACCCACACTCCCTCACTCACCATCACTACTGGCAAACACAGACCTCCAAAGCTACCTTCATCGGAACATGTATATTGCATGAAAAAGGGAACAATTCTGCATTTTTTGTAAAGGAAAGAAAACAAATACATTTTAGGAAATATCAAAAGGTATACATGTTTTACTCGACCTGTGCACTCAGACTCAAAGGAAGAAGAATGTATGTGATGAGAAGACAGTATAGGTTATTATGTTGTATTTATTATCAAACTGCTCACTTGGAAAAATGTATAATAGTAGGCTATGATGGCACAATATTTATCCACGCAATAGATGTGGCATTCGTCTTGCCATAAGTCCCGTTATTTATCCCAAATGCTGATTTTATCCAATTTTACATAGAGTATTGCCTTTAGAAAGACAAAAATAATATCTATGGTACTGGTACATACATTTTCTTAGTAGGCCATTCATCCTCAAAGATGATTTTGTTGTTTTTACTTTAATTGTAAATATGCTCATTTGGTTTTCCTTTAATTACAAGGCGAAGATGAGGATGATGTGGAATTATCTTGTAGAAGTGTTAGTTAGCAGGGAAAGTTAAACAGACTCCATTACTGTGACCTCGTGAGTTGATTAAGAAACCCCTTATAATACAGCATGTGTCTTCACACTGTGGATTGTACTTTTCTTGTTGGTTTGAATGTGAAATGACACCCTATTCCCTATGGGCTCTGGTCAAAAGTAGTGTACTATATAGGGACTAGGATGCCATTTTAGACATGTCCTTGTTTAGACACATTCTTAAAGGAAAATTCCACCCAAAAACGAACTTTTGGTATTTATTTCATTAGTCCATTGTTGACATAGTCCCAAAATGTTTTGCCTGTCAGCAATCAAGTTTTCAAGATATGTAACTTTCAAAATACAGAAATCATCCCTATATGATACATTTCATCATATGGGTGCTGCGTTTTGCGTCATATGATGCAAAATGCATCATACAGGGATGATTTCTGTATTTTGAAAGTTACATATCTTGAAATCTTGATTGCTGACAGGCAAAACATTTTGCGACCATCTCAACAATGGACTAATGAAATAAATACCAAAAAATTGTAGTCCTACCCAGAATCCTCCTCATCCCTGTGTGGCACATCCAAGCCTTAAAACTGTGCAGAATGGACAGACAACAACCTCAAGGACAAGCCTGCAGTGTGTGTTTGTGTGCTTGGTTTCTCAAAAGCCCATGTGTCAGTGGCCATCCCACACAGATGCATCATGCCCATCGAACCTGAGCTGGCACCATCGGGTGGCACATGCCCCCCTCAATATCATCCACTGGGATGAGAATACATAATTAGTAGTGTCTTATAGAATTAATACTAAGACATTATATATTTGGTCATCAGTGCCCCCTCAGAGATATTGGGAGCATGATGCCTCTGATCCCACCCCTTCAAATCATCAGCTGCAAAACCATCCATGTTGAATGTGTTTACCACAAGATAAATAAATGGATAAATACATTTTGTTGTTTCTATTTTCTTTTTTGTCAATCACTGAAAATGTATTTGTGTTGTGCTCTAATAAACTCATGGCCGTAACTACAGTGAAGCCATTTTCAGTAAGGTAATGACTTTCACAACCGGTTTAGAGTGACACTAGCCCACTACTTCCTCTTTCACCCTTCTCTTTTCTTCTAACTAGCTGCAAATTATTTAACGAAAGGAACCCCATTTAAATGAAACGTGTGACAAAATGGGTGAATTGTACTTTCGCTGAACAGAAGTGCAGAGTCCGGTTACAGTCACGTGTTGCAAGTTAACGTGTAATTCACTTTGGTTGTGTTTGACAGACTAGTAATGTTTCTAACCAAGCCAAATGTCCATCAGCAAGACGGTTACTTTGAATGACTCATTTGAGAAGCAGTATTTGGTGGGAAACTGAAATGTCATGTGATAATTCAGTTCCACAACAGCATTGTCTAAAGAGGGACCTAACCAGTCAGAAACGAGGGCCTCTATTCAAAAAGCATTTCAGAGTAGGAGTGTTGTCTATCCAGGATCAGCCAAACTGATTTGTGATCGCCCTGCTCAAAGGATGCTGGATGCTTATAGCTGTTTGTCACGAAATTAGCCTTTCTGAACAATAGATGTGTTGAAGCGTACAGTATCTATCTACTGTGTATTTCTCTCAGCCCAGTTAATTAAGTGTTAGTAACTTCAGCATTAACACATAATGCTGAAGTTATACATTATAGAAATGTTTCAAATGTGTCTTCAGCTTTGCTAAATTGTTTTTAGTGTATCAAACTGATCATTAGGCAATGGCAAAGTTGTTGACTACCTAGTACCCACAACTTATTTTCCATTACAGATTTGACCTTTTAGAGCAAATTGAATCTGGCTTTCCTCTAGTTCAGAGTGCAACTCCACCAATGCAACATGAAGTCAACTGTGAAGGCACAGCTGGTCTGGCATGAAGCAGATGGGGACATAGTGCCCACTGCCAATGGCTGTATAAGCATCATGTTAATTATTCTAACTCTGAACACAAACCATGACAAATATGTAATGATTGTCCAATCCAAGGCTTCAAGAGATGTGCAGGCAGCACATTGTTAAATAAACGAATGTAATTTCCAACAAATTAAAATAAAATCTCTGACATATAAAACATAAGGAATCAGTATGCAATGTGGCATCTCCAATTAGCATTAATTCTTGCATTGCAGTAGAGACTGAAGAAAATTGCTTTAATGTAATTTAGGCGTATACATTTAGAATACCAATAGAATACCGCTAAAGGGAACCATGACATTAATAGCCAATATCCATCTGCCCATTACAATTGAAGACCATAAGAAAATGGAAATAAGCCTAATAAATCCATTTAGGGCTACATTCCTTGTTAAAATAGTTTCTCAATAGGGATTATTCATTATTAAAACTGTATTGTGCTGTAAAATCAACATTTGATGGGGTATTTAATCAAATTATTATCGGCGGGCCATGTCAAACGCTCGAGTTTGACACTCCGCGCGGTGCGTGCACACCTGTAGGCTCAGTGGGTGAAACCGTGGCTAAAATTATTGAGGGTCAATGATATCGGGGATCCTTGGGACGTCCCTACCCTAAACCCTAAACATAATCCTTACCTAACCCTAACCTTACCTTAACCATTGTAAATGTTAACTTCAATGGGGTAGGGACGTCCTAAGGACTCTGGATTGCACGGACAAATTATTGAATATCTCTGTTTCATCTCGATAAAAAGCGCACTTGCTTCCCGCTCGTGACAGTAGCTTTCGCGGCCCAAATCTAGACCCGTTTTCCTTCTAGGTTCGCGCTCCAGAGACTTCTTATCAGTAATTTGCGTAAGTACACTGTGGTTTCTGCTTTTTGTGTTGTATTTACGCTTCGAGCGTTGCCGGATCCATTTACAATTGACGTACGTACGCGCATAGTCACTTGCATGCTGCAGTTCCGTGCTGGCGCAGCGCGTCCTTCCGTTTATGCTCGTCCTCAGGCCAACAACACACAAAGTGTATTATTCCTTTTTGACTGCTTGACATATATCGGAGACTTTCTCAAGGAGAGGACATATTGTACTACAGGTAAGAAACAGATTTTTAGCGAATCAGATCCGTTTGCGAAATATTGCATAATGTTTAATCAAAGATGCCTGCGCGCTCACGGTTTCGGCAAAAGCTCGAGTTCGTCATTTCAGGAGTGTTCATGGCTGCTCGGGCATTTTCCATGCTAGTGTGACGGGCGCTTCCTCGCGTGCCTGTTGCTAGTCGGATACACCACCCCTCTGTTCCACCGTTCAGAATGAGACAGATTGTTGTGTTGTCGTTTACATCGACATAAATTACGATTTTACAACCAAAAGCAACATCCTATTCATGTTCTGTTGAATACAATACGAATATAAGCAAAGGTGGATGCAAACTATAGCTAGCTAAAGGTTAGCAAAATAGGCTAGCTAACGTTAGCCAGTTAACGTTAGTTACGCTCCCCCAAATCTAAAGCTATATTGCTAGCTTTTCCAATCGGTTTACTGTATGCATGCAAGTTACCTCGCCAAGGCATTAGTTATACGAAATTGAGATGTATTGCTAAGCAAGCTGCATTAATAATGTGGCCAATTTAAACATGTTATATAATTTGTGATTTTCTGGGTTGAAAATGATCAAAGACTAAGGCATTCAATTGATGGGCGATTGTATCCGCCGGGATTGAATGTACTAAAATCATTTGGCCACCACAAACCTTGATTCGTTGATTATATTTCGTAAAAAAAAAAAAATGAAATTCTTGAACAATGTGCCTATTTCCCTCTGGTCATGTGATACATGTCGGTAGGGGATGGTAAACTCGTTTTCTAAATGATCAAATCAAATGGTATTGGTCGCGTACACATGTTTTGAGGGGCAGCGAAATGCTTATATTTCTAGCTCGAACAGTGCAGTAATACCTATCAATACAAACAATACATACAAATCCAAAAAATAAAGAAATATAATTGCAAATGATTGCAAATAGGCTACTCTCATAGTAATGCTTTCTTATCCCAGACATATGCACATAAATTACTACATTTATTAGGTTGATATGATAATAAATGAAGAAGAAAAAAAAAACGTTGCCTTTTAAGTCAGCCCATTATTCTGCCCCACAACAGCCATTATGATGTCATCCAGAGGAACATCATACATCGGGCCATGACACACAGTGCAGCAGCTAATGAGTCGCAATGTGGTTACCATTTTAGGATATTATGACCAGATTGCGTTTGGCCTATTTCCCAATGGTTCAGAGTGAAATGTATCCACAGACATCTAACAACATTCTTTCTATTGTTCCAGAATATCAATCCAAGATGTCAGAGAACGTGAAGTACATGGATGATGAACACAAGACCATCTTCCTGAAGATACTGAATGAGCAACGGTTGGAGGGTGAACACTGCGACATCGCGGTGGTGGTTGAAGATGTGAAGTTCAGGGCCCACCGCTGTGTGTTGGCGGCGTGCAGCAACTACTTCAAAAAGCTGTTCAAGAAGCATGAAGTCGACAACTCCTCAGTCATAGAAATCGACTTCATCCGCTCAGACATCTTCGAGGAGGTGTTGAACTACATGTACACGGCCAAGATTTCTGTGAAGATAAAGGACGTGAATTTGATGATGTCTTCGGGCCAGATACTCGGAATCCGTTTTCTGGACAAACTCTGTTCACAGAAGCGTGACATGTCCACTGAAGAAAGGAACGGCCAAAATGACAAACCCTTTCCCTGTGATATTCTCAAAATGGCTCTCCCTACTGATGACCCTACATTGGGCCAGGAAAATGACGTGCAGGTGCTAGGTGACCATGACGACACTCCTACTGACGACCTTGTGGAAGAGCCAATGACCAATCACGACTTGGACAAATTGCCCAACACGGCGTTGAGAGTGCAGGAGGCCATTCTCAAAGAATGGCCTCCTGTCAATGAGGACGTGCACAAGGTGAGCTGTTACGATCAGGACGTGGAACCCATGGACACGGAGCCAAAAGACCTTGCGGGTCACACCACAACAACCTTAGCGTTCGCTGACAGCATCGGCGAGGTGAAGGACGAGCAGCCCCCTGGGTGGACCACAGCCACGACGGACATGAAGTTCGAGTACCTCCTCTATGGCCACCGGGAACAGCTCGCCTGTCAGATCTGTGGAAAGACCTTCATCGACGAGAACCGTTTGAGGAAACACGAAAAGCTGCACTCGGCCGAACGTCCGTTCATCTGTGAAATCTGCAGCAAAGCCTTCACTACCCAGGCCCACCTGAAGGAGCACCTGAAGATCCACACAGGCTTCAAGCCCTACCGCTGCGACGTGTGTGGCAAGTCCTTCATCCGAGCGCCCGACCTCAAGAAGCATGAGCGGGTCCACAGCAACGAGCGTCCCTTTGGCTGCCAGATGTGCGACAAGGCCTTCAAGCACAAGTCCCACCTGAAGGACCACGAGAGGCGCCACAGGGGCGAGAAGCCCTTTGTCTGCGGCTCGTGCACCAAGGCCTTTGCCAAAGCCTCAGACCTAAAGAGACATGAGAACAACATGCACAGCGAGAGGAAGCAGATGCCGCCCAGCGCCCTGCAGACCGAGACTGAACAGCTGCAGGCAGCAGCCATGGCTGCTGAGGCCGAGCAACAACTGGAGTCCATAGCATGCTCATAGCACACAACGTTTTGTAACATTACCTTACTTGTCAATCTGAGTTTTTTGATGATGTTTCATTTTGTATTTTCATTTTGGGAGGCTGAAAAACTCCAATAATCAGATAGATTTGATGTAGATAATTTTTCTTGAGAACATAGTGAAATAAGATAGGATTTGACTGCATTCATCTATTTTTTAAATTTATTTCACGCGATTTAGGCTTTCTCACACTTGATTATATTGTAATAATTAAATATTTTTTGGGGGGTATTAATTTAAATCTGTTTGTGTAAATTTTATGGCAGTGTTATGGACAAATGCTCTGACTACTGTCTCTACTCGGTTTTGGTTGTCAATATATTAGTGCTGTTATACAGTACTGGTTCTATCAAGAAAAACTGGAAATTAAATGTTTGATTTGTAAAAATGTATTTAAAAAATGGTTAGAAACCACAACTTTTTTGATGGTTAAATATTCCATTGCATCACATACACAAATCTTACTGTAATTGACATCAAAATATGTGTTGCTTTAATAAACATGCTAGCTTCAACTGCCAACAAATCATACATCTATTGTCATTTTCATTATTTTTGGAAATACATTATAGCTTTAATTTGTGTAGACTAGCCTATGCTTGCATGGATTAACATGTAAAATATATACAGTACCAGTCAAAAGTTTGGACACACCTACTCATTCAAGGGTTTTTCTTTATTTTTACTATTTTCTACATTGTAGAATAATAGTGAATACATCAAAACTATTAAATAACACATATGGAACCATGTAGAAACCAAAAAAGTGTTAAACAAATTAAATTATATTTTATATTTGAGATTCCTCAAATAGCCACCCTTTGCCTTGATGAGAGCCTTGCACACTCTTGGCATTCTCTCAACCAGCTTCACCTGGAATGCTTTTCCAACAGTCTTGAAGGAGTTCCCACATATGCTGAGCACTTGTTGGCTGCTTTTCCTTCACTCTGCCGTCCGACTCATCCCAAACCATCTCAATTGGGTTGAGGTCGGGGGATTGTGGAGGCCAGGTCATCTGATGCAGCACTCCATCACTCTCCTTCTTGGTAAAATAGCCCTTACACAGCCTGGAGGCGTGTTGGGTCATTGTCCTGTTGAAAAACAAATGATAGTCCCACTAAGGCCAAACCAGATGGGATGGCGTATCGCTGCAGAATGCTGTGGTAGCCATGCTGGTTAAGTGTGCCTTGAATTCTAAATAAATCACGGACAGTGTCAACCAGCAAAGCACCCCCCACACCATAACACCTCCTCCTCCATGATTTACAGTGGGAACTACACATGCGGAGATCATCAGTTTTTGCAACTGCACTTGAAGAAACTTTCAAAGTTCTTGATATTTTCCATATTGACTGACCTTCATGTCGTAAAGTAATGATGGACTGTCGTTTCTCTTTGCTTATTTGAGCTGTTCTTGCCATGATATGGACTTGGTATTTTACGAAATAGGGCTATCTTCTGTATTCCCGCTTACCTTGTCACAACACAACTGATTGGCTCAAACGCATTAAGAAGGAAATAAATTCCACAAATTAACTTTTAAGAAGGCACACCTGTTAATTGAAATGCATTCCAGGTGACTACCTCATGAAGCTGGTTGAGAGAATGCCAAGAGTGTGCAAAGCTGTCATCAAGGCAAAGGGTGGCTATTTGAAGAATCTCAAATATATTTTGATTTGTTTAACACTTTTTTGGTTTCTACATGATTCCATATAGAACAATGGTGAAGAAATCAAAACTATGAAATAACACATACAGTGGGGAAAAAAAGTATTTAGTCAGCCACCAATTGTGCAAGTTCTCCCACTTAAAAAGATGAGAGAGGCCTGTAATTTTCATCATAGGTACACGTCAACTATGAAAAAATCCAGAAAATCACATTGTAGGATTTTTTATGAATTTATTTGCAAATTATGATGGAAAATAAGTATTTGGTCAATAACAAAAGTTTCTCAATACTTTGTTATATACCCTTTGTCGGCAATGACACAGGTCAAACGTTTTCTGTAAGTCTTCACAAGGTTTTCACACACTGTTGCTGGAATATTGGCCCATTCCTCCATGCAGATCTCCTCTAGAGCAGTGATGTTTTGGGGCTGTCGCTGGGCAACACAGACTTTCAACTCCCTCCAAAGATTTTCTATGGGGTTGAGATCTGGAGACTGGCTAGGCCACTCCAGGACCTTGAAATGCTTCTTACGAAGCCACTCCTTCGTTGCCCGGGCGGTGTGTTTGGGATCATTGTCATGCTGAAAGACACAGCCACGTTTCATCTTCAATGCCATTGCTGATGGAAGGAGGTTTTCACTCAAAATCTCACGATACATGGCCCCATTCATTCTTTCCTTTACACAGATCAGTCGTCCTGGTCCCTTTGCAGAAAAACAGCCAAAAGCATGATGTTTCCACCCCCATGCTTCACAGTAGGTATGGTGTTCTTTGGATGCAACTCAGCATTCTTTGTCCTCCAAACACGACGAGTTGAGTTTTTACCCAAAAGTTCTATTTTGGTTTCATCTGACCATATGACATTCTCCCAATCCTCTTCTGGATCATCCAAATGCACTCTAGCAAACTTCAGACGGGCCTGGACATGTACTGGCTTAAGCAGGGGGACACGTCTGGCACTGCAGGATTTGAGTCCCTGGCGGCGTAGTGTGTTACTGATGGTAGGCTTTGTTACTTTGGTCCCAGCTCTCTGCAGGTCATTCACTAGGTCCCCCCGTGTGGTTCTGGGATTTTTGCTCACCGTTCTTGTGATCATTTTGACCCCACGGGGTGAGATCTTGCGTGGAGCCCCAGATCGAGGGAGATTATCAGTGGTCTTGTATGTCTTCCATTTCCTAATAATTGCTCCCACAGTTGATTTCTTCAAACCAAGCTGCTTACCTATTGCAGATTCAGTCTTCCCAGCCTGGTGCAGGTCTACAATGTTGTTTCTGGTGTCCTTTGACAGCTCTTTGGTCTTGGCCATAGTGGAGTTTGGAGTGTGACTGTTTGAGGTTGTGGACAGGTGTCTTTTATACTGATAACAAGTTCAAACAGATGCCATTAATACAGGTAACGAGTGGAGGACAGAGGAGCCTCTTAAAGAAGAAGTTACAGGTCTGTGAGAGCCAGAAATCTTGCTTGTTTGTAGGTGACCAAATACTTATTTTCCACCATAATTTGCAAATAAATTCATTAAAAATCCTACAATGTGATTTTCTGGAATTTTTTTTCCTCAATTTGTCTGTCATAGTTGACGTGTACCTATGATGAAAATTACAGGCCTCTCTCATCTTTTTAAGTGGGAGAACATGCACAATTGGTGGCTGACTAAATACTTTTTTTCCCCACTGTATGTGTTATTTCATAGTTTTGATTTCTTCACCATTGTTCTATAATGTAAAAAATAGTAAAAATAAAGAAAAACCCTTGAATTAGTAGGTGTGTCCAAACTTTTGACTGGTAGTATATATATATAACTACATGTTGTTCAACTAGTCATTTAACTACATTTTGTAGTAGCTTGGTGGTAGTTGAACTAAATAAAGATCTTGGTAGTGTATTCAGCAGTTAACTTTTTTTTAGCCATGTAGCGGTGTAGCTAACTACTGGAACTACACAATTTTTAGGCAAGTAGGCAAGAAAGTCCTATTTTTTTCAGCATCTGATCTGCCTAATTCTCACTTGAAACAGTTTTTGTTTTTAATAGGCTAAATTACACATTCTGTTAATAACATCTGAATCCAGAGTGATCTGGTCTTGCAATTTGTAGTCTATGACTTCAGATTTAGATATGATAATTTATCACTAAGTCGTTTGGACTACTTTTTCAAAGTAACTTTAGTAAACTATATTTTTCTTAAGGGTAGCTTTAGTGTAGCTTAACTTCTTCCAGTGTTAAGTAATTGTTAGTTTGGGAAACCTTATTTTCTGAGTAGCTTCCCCAACACCACTATTAAAGTGTGTTCATCAAGGCTAGGCTATTTAAGTTCTATTCAGTCACTGTGTCACATTTTTTCATTATCTATTTGCTGACCATGCTAAATAACTTTATATCTTAGCAAGCTTTAAACATACACTATTCGTAGGAAATGTATGTCAATATGTTATTTGGCTGGATTTATGGTTGACCCTGGGCGTTCAACCATGCGCAGTAGGTCGCTTTTGGTACTTGAAAACTTTCAGGTGTGGTGAGTTCTCAATCTCGTCAAGAGTGGACACGATTGTGAATTGAGAACACGGACAACTCTGTTTACAGGTAAAGAATGCAAATGCTTTCCGATATTTTGGATAATGTTATCTTTTTTCAACTGAAACAAAAATAATTTCACAATTTTATGAACGTGTTTGTCGACGAATTTTGAGTAGTATTGCCAGATTATCGAACCTCCATCAATCAGTCAAATCGTGACATGGTAAATTCATCTACAAAGAACCATCCGTAATTTGACATAATTTGTGTTTTAAAATGGTTTGGAATTGAAACTTTATAATAGCGTAAAAACTATACACAGGTACAATTGAACTTGATAAAACATTTTCTACTTATAGTCTAATTGTCAACGCTACCTACATTTTGTACAGTCAAATTTGAGTGATGAAACTGGAAGACAATGAAGGGCATGGAGGAGCCAAAACATCCAGCAGGAAAAGAACACCATCACAATCTAAGAGGGATGAGAGCCTAACAGACAGGTGAGTTTCCTGAAGATGCTTCAAACCACTGGTCCTAGGTCAGGTTGTCATCGTGATAAAATTGGGATTGGGACAGTTTAATCTGATCCTAGATCTGCAGATAGGGGTAACTTTGGGGGGGTGTATCGTTGAGGTTGCTTATCGCAATGACCAGGTAGTAGAATATAACCTATCCACAACAGAGGTCATTCTTTTTATATGAATATAAATCAGGATTATTATGAACAGTTAAATTCATACTTCCCTATGGTCCAACACAGGAAGAGGAGTAAGGATGGGGAAAAGGAAACCGAGTCGAAGCACAAGGTAATGTAATGCGCCATTTGGAGGGTTCAGAGAGTGGAACGTCAATTATACGAAAGTTAAGACCAGACACAGGCAGCATACGTGAGCTCCACACACCATCTTAATTATATCGCCTGATACATGCCAGGAATTACTAATCAATCACTAACGTCCAAATCTTAGCCGTACAGTAACATGGACCATTCACCCAAACTCATGCACATACACACGCATGTCTGATTTAAATTTTATTTCATAGGCGAAGCACTCCAGTTCTAAACAACCTCGTAAACCTCTGCAGGAGCCGAAGATCACAAGGTGAGTATGGACAGATCAGTCTATTAACATTCATTTACATACAGGGGATATGTGAAAGCGCCCTTAATTACAATCTCCCACTTACATGTCTTCATTCACAATGAAGGGTGTAGTATTGCCCAATGTGTTCTGTTTTATTATGTAAATCAGTGGTCAACTTGTATAATTTGCTGCCATTCGAAAATGCTTCCAGTTTAGCAATCATCTGATTTTATCATGTTTTAACAATGCATTTGTTGGTTAAAGTTAGATATTCTTCTGTCTTTCCTTTATCAGTTCTGGGAGTTTAAAAGCTGCCTCGGACAACGACCATGCAGATGTGGAGACCAAAGGTGTAGACGTGGTAAGAACCACAGACTATATCCTGAGATCTGTATGCAATGACGAGATGCTCATGTCCCCGCCCTAACAATGGGAGTCGTCCCAAAGGAGGGAAGGGAGGCGACAAGTTTAGGTTCAAAATAAGTCCATAGAAACGCATTGATCTTATTTTGGACACATTTTGGCACGAGTGAAACCTCTCGCTTTGCCTCTTCCTGTCTGCTATTACATGATATACACAGGCCTAGTTATTGCATATCCCTGTATTAGCAACAAAACAAATTATAATGTTTATTCATGAGGTTTCTGTCTTTCTCTCACAGGATCCATCACCACCTTCTGGAAAGAAGTGCGTTTTTCTCTAATGCTCAAATTATTCACACCAAAAGTAAAAGTCTAACTTGAATGTAAACAGAGGGAAAGAAATGTTGGTGATTGTTTTATTTTTATTTTCAGTGCCATTGACTTAAACAACAATATCTCTGCCAAGGACACGGAATCAGATGAGAGGAAAGTGACCAAGATGGAGATACAGGAAGTTGACTTGTTCGCTCCAATCGAGCATTCAGATACGGAGAGGTAGGCTACAATTGACCCTTCATTGCATTATGAGTTTATTTAGTGACAAAAACGGTCACTTGGTATGGGGGTAAATTGCATTTCTCTCTATAACTAGGTCTTACAAAAAATCCAAGAAAAGTGGGGATTCACAAAAAGATGACAATCACAAGGTACATGACTAACCTTTTTATTATTATTATTATCAATTATCAATGTGATTGGTGATGTTGCTTGCCTTGTCTCTCACGTATGACAATGTAGCACAAATCTAGACGTAGCAAAAAGGGACACCACGGGACGGACAAGGAGAAAAACCCTGAGCAGAGAGAAGCTGGTGAAAAATCAGCTAACAGGTGAACAGCATTAACTGTCAGGTTCCACGGTAAAAATGCTTCGTACTTGGCATATGGGTGTTGCTATGCTCTGAGTGAACCAATCTTTTTGCGTTGGTCATTTTAATGGTAATATCAAATATGTGCCAAATGGCTATGCTTTGTGTTATGGTGGATTTTATAGTAGATTTCCACAAAGCTTTATTTGGAAACATTTTCTCTGTCCATTTGAAAGTCATGCCTAAACTCTCTCTTATTTTATTTTCTCTGTAGGTCCGATGGCAACTCTAAAAAGAGGAAGCGCAAAGATTCATGTGAAAGTGATGTTCTACCGACAGTTGACAGTAAAAAAGAAACTGGCGTGAAAAAGGAGAATGCCAAGAAAGAAAGGGAGAAGAAAGATATAGGTAGTAAAGACAAAAAGACAACCGATGAAAATAAACGTAAAAAGAATCCAGAAGGAAAAGAGGAATCTAAGAAGAAGAAGAAAAAAAATGATGGAGATGAGGATGTGAAGACCAAGAGGGGTGAAAGGAAAGAAGGGGTGAACAGTAAATGGAAATGGTAAGTGCGCAATTATTTACTCTGTATTGCATGTAGTGGGCAAGTATCATATTTGGCTGAATTTATATTTGTTTTTAAAACAGTTTTCCCCTGTTATAGTGGTTGACATAATGATATTAAACTAATTTGTAGCCGGAACCATTAACATCGTTTGTTTCTAGGGGGACAGTATTAATGGTTGCACACACCTGTACTTTGTTTTGACGGCGTTATGAAAGTCCTTGGCGCCTGTGAATCTCATTCATTCTAATCTGGAATGAACAAATACAGCAATGTTTTTGCCAACTTGATATATCAGTCGGTGAAATGTAATAGAAGTTGGTCTGTGGTTTACTCATTACGGTTTTACCGAACTTCTGTAAAGATTAACGTTAAGCATGAGCCCAAAGCCAGGTGAGTAAACGATAGCTAAAGCTGGCAAATAGCTAACCTTAACTTACTCCAAACCACACATGAATAGTATAGCTAAGTAACGTTGTATTTGTCAAAACAGTGACAGCCAGGGTAATGCCATTTTGGAAGAGTAACCCTAGCTAGCTAACTAGCCACACATTGTCAATGTAAAGGGGTACGTTAACTAACGTTACCTTTGCTAGATCTGGCATCGAGATGTGTTGTATTTTATCTCTATTGTATTGTCTCACTTGTATTAGATTTTAAACCTTCAGAAACCTTTTCTGGCTTTCTGTGCTGTAATGAAATTGTGATACGCTTGTTGTCAGGTGGGAGGAAGGTAATATCAACAACGGGAACAAATGGACCACGTTGGAACACAAAGGTCCACTTTTCCCACCAGAATACGAACCATTACCCAATAGCGTGTCTTTCTTTTACAATGGTGAGTTACTTACAACCATATATTAATACATCTTACTCACTCATCCTCATAGTTTTCCTGTCTTGTGTTAGGTCTGCTTTGCTGTAAAGCTAACATTCAACATTCTGTGTTTTACAGGGAACCCTGTAAAACTGAGTTTGGCTGCTGAGGAAGTAGCCACGTTTTACGCCAAGATGCTGGACCACGAATACACAACCAAGAGTTCCTTCCAGGAGAACTTCTTCACCGACTGGAGAGAGGTTAGTCCCACTGATTAAGTCTAGGCTTGAGTCGAGACTTGCGTTTGCAATGGATAACCACAATTGTTCTTAAGCAGCATTTCATGATGTGTGTGTGTGTGTGTGTGTGTGTGTGAAAGAATGAAGGTCAATGTAGCTGTTGACATTGAGCTCATCAGTATTTTACCAAACAGGAAATGACAGCAGAGGAGAGGGAACAGATCCAGAAGTTGTCGAAGTGTGATTTCACACATATCAACAAGTACTTCCTGGAGAAGTCTGAGGAGAAGAAGGCTATGACTAAAGAACAGAAACAGGTAACTTGGCCAAGTATCAAGAGCTTAGAGCTGCATCTATAACAATATGTAAATATTGAAGTATCTAGTTCCACTTGCTTTTAATTTAATTGATGGTACTTCGTTCTGCATATCCAAGTGAATCCCCCCCCACCACACTATTATTGCAAATCTGAAAATCTATGGACTGCGCTTCTGTTAGGTCCTGAAAGAGGAGACCAACAAGCTGATGGAGGAGTACGGCTTCTGTGTGCTGGACGGTCACCGGGAGAAGATTGGGAACTTCCGTGTGGAGCCTCCGGGGCTGTTCCGTGGCCGGGGAGAACACCCCAAGATGGGCAAACTGAAGAAGAGGATCCAGCCAGAGGAAATCACCATCAACTGCAGCAAGTGAGGGGCCCCGGGAGAGCACTAAGGACAAACAACCTCCCTATAACTTTATGGGGCACACAAAGGGGAATTAGTGGCCTAACTTGTAAATTTAAACAGCAAATATGTACCGAAAGGCAATAAGCTTGAAATAAATAGTGTTTTGGTTGTTTTTCCAGAGGCTCCAATATTCCGGTGGCCCCTACCGGCCACAGGTGGAGGAAGGTGCAGCATGACGACACAGTGACCTGGCTGGCCTCCTGGGTGGAGAACGTCCAGGGCAACTTCAAGTACGTCATGCTCAACCCCAGCTCCAAACTCAAGGTACGGAGCCTTTCTCTCCATCTTCCTTTACCTCAGTGGGGATGTTTTAGTGGAAAAACAAACAATATTTGAGGACTTAGAAACCCAAACTTTTGAGAAGAGTCTGAAGACTGAACTCAGTAAAAAGATGGCATACATATCAAGCCAGTAGCTCAGAAGTCTGTTCAGACTTAGACTGTTTTCCTCTCTGTGCTCAGGGGGAGAAGGACTGGCAGAAGTACGAGGTGGCTCGTAAACTCAAGCTGAAGGTGGAGACCATCAGGAGGCTGTACCGTGAGGACTGGAAGAACCGAGAGATGAAGACCAGGCAGAGAGGAGTGGCTCTCTACTTCATAGACAAGGTACAGACCTCACAACTATCTTAACTCAGTGTGGTTAACGAAATGCAAACTCTTTTAGGTAACCTCAAACACGTATTGTAGAACACTCATGTGTATACACTCTGGTTGGGCGAAGTCAATCTTTGTCCTATCATGATTATGTGATATACGATGGTATCAGCTCAGCTAAAACCACCGTTGGGCTATAGTGCAAAATTGCATGCTACAACTGTACGAATCAAATCACATGTTTGCCGCCTCCTCTCTTAATAATATTTAGTCTCTCTCTCATAAAGCTGAGAATAGCCTATTGACTCCGTTCATTCTTGTTCTTTTTCAAAGCGGCAACTTTAGTACAAAACCTTTTTTATGTTATTAGAATATTTGTGAAATAGGCTACTGTTCATAATCATTTATTTATCTTAAAGCTTTAATGATAGGCCTAGTAGGAGGAAATGTTATTGGCCATTTGGTCAGGTTTTCTTCCGCCCCACACGGATAATTTCTTTCTGAATAAGCTTCAACTTTATTTAAACTATAGGCTATTGATGTTCACTCTTATTAGTGCCCTTGCTACCTTACGTTTTAGACTATTCAGAATTAGTCCCCTTGCTAATAGTTTTTAGGCTATTCAAACAACGTTTTGAGATTAAACTCCAGATTAATTCATTGTTTGATGAGGAGAAAGCCATGCATGCATAAAATGATGAAAGCATATAGCCCAAAGTAATATTCAAAAACCTATTGAAGGGAATATAGCCTGCGTTTTTTTTAAACGGCTAGACACAAGATAGTTAGGAACTGTCCGTTTTATAAAAGCAATTAATAGGTTTAGGCTGTAAGGCCCATGCATCCGAGGGAGAATATTTTCTGAATGGACATTTTGCGCTGCTTTGGTGGAATTCTCTGTTTTGTCTAGACTACATTCCACACTTGCGTTCTGTATAACATACAGTGCATTGGGAAAGTATTCAGACCCCTTGACTTTTTCCACATTCCACATTATTCTAAAATTGATTTTTTTTGTTTATTCCCCCTCATCAATCTACACACAATACCCCCATAATGACAAAGTCAAAACAGGTTTTTAGAAATGTTTGCAACAAAAAAATGAATACCTTGTTTACATAAGTATTCAAATCCTTTGCTATGAGACTCGAAATTGAGCTCAGGTGCATCCTGTTTCCATTGATGGTCCTTGAGATGTTTCTTGAATGAAGTCCACCTGTGGTTAATTCAATCGATTGGAAATGATTTGGAAAGGCACACACCTGTCTATATGAGGTCCCACAGTTGACAGTGCATGTCAGAACAAAAACCAAGCCATGAGGTCGAAAGAATTGTTCGTAGAGCTCCGAGACAGGATTGTGTCGAGGCACAGATCTGGGGAAGGCTGCAAAAAATGTCTGCAGCATTGAAGGTCCCCAGGAACACAGTGGCCTCCATTCTTAAATCGAAGAAGTTTGGAACCACCAAGACTCTTCCTAGAGCTGGCCGCCCGGCTTAACTGAGCAATCGGGGGAGAAGGGCCTTGGTCAGGGAGGTGACCAAGAACCCGATGGTCGTCTAGAGTGGCCAGACGAAAGCCACTCCTCAGTAAAAGGCTCATGACAGCCCGCTTGGAGTTTGCCAAAAGGCACCTAAAGGACTCTCAGACCATGAGAAACAAGATTCTCTGGTCTGATGAAAGCAAGATTGAACTCTTTGGCCTGAATGCCAGGCGTCACATCTGGAGGATACCTGGCACCATCCCTACGGTGAAGCATGGTGGTGGCAGCATTATACTGTGGGGATGTTTTTCAGTGGCAGGGACTGGGAGACTAGTCAGGATCGAGGGAAAGATGAACGGAACAAAGTACAGAGAGATCCTTGATGAAAACCTGTTCCAGAGTGGGCCAGCCAGAGCCCGGACTTGAACCCGATCAAACATCTCTGGAGAGACCTGAAAATAGCTGTGCAGCGACGCTCCCCATCCAACCTGACAGAGCTTGAGAGGATCTGCAGAGAAGAATGGGAGAAACTCCCCAAATACAGGTGAAGCTTGTAGTGTCATACTCAAGAAGACTCGAGACTGTAATCGCTGCCAAAAGTGCTTCAACAAAGTATTGAGTAAATGGTCTGAATACTTATGTAAATGTGATATTTCCGTTTTTTTAATTTTAATACTAATAATTTCTGTGCATGTAGCTGGCCCTGCGAGCGGGGAATGAGAAGGAGGAGAGTGAGACAGCGGACACGGTGGGCTGCTGCTCTCTGAGAGTTGAACACATCACCCTGCACCAGGAGAAGGGGGGCCAGGAGTTCATGGTGGAGTTTGACTTCCTGGGCAAAGACTCCATCCGCTACTACAACGAGGTGCCTGTGGAGGGCAGGGTGAGCGGCACGGTCTATCACCTGTTACGTCTCCATTCCTCCATATTATGGGCTGTCGAGCAGGGGTTAAACATCCATCTAATGTGCACAGACATATTATTTGTACACAGGTTTTCAAGAACCTGAAGTTATTCATGGAAAACAAGGAGCCTGAGGATGACCTGTTTGATAGAATAAACGTAAGTTGAAGACCCGGTGCCCCTGGTTATTTCATGTTTGTCATGCTTTGCAAATGCTCTGAAATGAGTATAACCCAAGAATGACTAGCTAGCTATGTGGTTCACACAGTAGGCGTATCTGTCTCTTGTTTGTTCTTAGACCACCTACTTGAACAAGCACTTGAACCAGTCCATGCCGGGGCTGACAGCCAAAGTGTTCAGAACCTTCAATGCCTCCACCACTCTGCAAGAGCAACTCAACAAGCTCACCACTGGTTGGTCCGCTTCCTTTAGCACCATCAATACACTCAGTGCAGGTTTTTGTAGATCTAGTTTACAATAGCTGACAAGATTTCTCCGCTCTGCTCTGGCTGCCCTCTGTGACATACGTGGCCCTAGTTGTTTTTCTCCACTTGGTCTCGGGCCTAACAACACCTGTGCCAATATTTCCTCCAAACCACCGGCTTCTCTGGCATTATCACTTGTGTTCTCAGTGTTATAACTGCATGAAGCTGTGAAACATGCAGATTTATAGTGACGACAGTACAATATTGAAAGACGCCTGTTTTCCTCCACAGCTGACATGAGTCTGGAGGAGAAACTGCTGTCCTATAACCGAGCCAACAGAGCTGTGGCCATTCTCTGTAACCACCAGAGGGCAGCACCCAAGACCTTTGAGAAATCAATGCAAAACTTGCAGGACAAGGTAACTGGAATAGATAGATAGATGTCTGTCTGTCCCTCCTGTGTGTGTGTGTGTGTGTGTGTGTGTGTGTGTGTGTGTGTGTGTGTGTGTGTGTGTGTGTGTGTGTGTGTGTGTGTGTATTTCCTGGACAGTTTATTCAGTAACTAGTGCTACTTATAGTGCCATTTTAAAACCCTCTATGCTCCTTTGCAATATTGTCTAATGTTCAGATCCATTATCTTGATAGTTGAACTTAGCCTTTTTAGTTTTATTACCAAATAAGCATGTACTGCTCGTTCTCTCTTTCTCTCTGAGAACCTGAGCCCTAGGACCATACGTCAGGACTACCGGGCATGCTGACACCTTGCTGTCCCCAGTCCGCCTGGCCTTGCTGCTATTCCAGTTTCAACTGTTCTGCCTGCGGCTACGAAACCCCTACCTGTCCCAGACCTGCTGTTTTCAACTCTTAATGATCGGCTATGAAAAGCCAACTGAGAGACCTGAGCCCTAGGACCATACGTCGGGACTACCGGCCGTGGTGACTCCTTGCTGTCCCCAGTCCGCCTGGCCTTGCTGCTATTCCAGTTTCAACTGTTCTGCCTGCGGTTATGGAACCCCTACCTGTCCCAGACCTGCTGTTTTCAACTCTTAATGATCGGCTATGAAAAGCCAACTGAGATTTATTCCTGATTATTATTTGACCATGCTTGTCACTTATGAACATTTTTGAACATCTTGGCATGGTTCTGTTATAACCTCCACCCGGCACAGCCAGAAGAGGACTGGCCACCCCTCATAGCCTGGTTCCTCTCTAGGTTTCTTCCTAGGTTTTGGCCTTTCTAGGGAGTTTTTCCTAGCCACCGTGCTTCTACACCTGCATTACTAGCTGTTTGGGGTTTTAGGCTGGGTTTCTGTACAGCACTTCGAGATATTAGCTGATGTACGAAGGGCTATATAAAATAAAATTGATTGATTGATACTGCAATTCCCTTTTAACAGTGAAACGTTGTCTAACATACTCCCTTTTATTGTTCCAGATTGCCCAGAAACAGCAACAGTTAGATGTGGCCAAGAAGGAGCTGAAAGGAGCCAAAAAAGAACACAAGAAGGGAGGAACTGAGAGGACCAGGAGGTGAGTACTTTTTGATAGGGTGAAACTAACCAGTGAAATGAGTGAATCTTGCAGTTGGTCTTTTGACTCAACTGTTACTGACATGGTAGGATAACAGCCAGTGGATTTGACCTTTCATAACCTATAAACTGCTTCTACTATGGCAGCTGGAAGGGCTGTTTCAAACTGCTACTGCAGTGCTTGTTCGGCTATTGTTTTAACATCGGACCATTCTATTGGTCAAATTTAAGCCAGGCAAGCTCAATCAAGCACAGATACATTTGATATAGTATTTGACCCAAGGTCTGGTCTCCTGCTCTCCCCAGGCTTGTTGAGAAGAAGGAGTCTGTGGTGAAGAGGCTGGAGGAACAGCTGAAGAAACTCCAGCTGCAGATGACTGACCGAGAGGAGAACAAGGTCATCGCTCTGGGCACGTCCAAACTCAACTACCTGGACCCCAGGATATCAGTGGCCTGGTAACCACCATTTAGCCTAACATTTATCCTTGACCTCTGTCAGTTCCACAACACATATTGTTGCCCTCTAAAAATATACTTTTTTCACTTTGTATTTCTGCAGCATGTGATTATTATGATTTTTTTTTTCTTCATGGCAGGTGTAGGAAATTCAATGTGCCAATTGAGAAGATCTACAACAAAACCCAAAGAGACAAGTTTGCTTGGGCCATTGATATGACTGAAGAAGATTTTCAGTTTTGAACTGTGGCGCCCCGTCAGACAGGATTTTGCGTTGTTTATGTTCCCCTTGTTTCTCCTTATTTCCTTATTGGTTACCAGCAGTGTTTGTTTTCTGACTCGACAATGCACAAGTCTGTTAGAATTAAGCAGTTACAATAGACAAGAGGCACATTTTGTGTTTAGTAAGATTTGTTTCCTTTGTTAACAAAAGTAAATGTGTAAAATAAAATAAATGTTCATTGATATGTTAAGTGTTTGTTGCCGCCTTACTCATGAGTGAATTCCTACGGGCCTTCAAAATATACTGAACAAAATTATAAACACAATTTCAATGATTTTTACTGAATTAGTTCATAGAAGGAAATCAGTCAATTGAAATAAATAATTTAGGCCCTAATCTATGGATTTCACATGACCGGGCAGGGGAGCAGCCATGGGTGGGCCTGGGAGGGCCAGGACCACCTTCTGGGGAGCCAGGCCTAGCCAATCAGAATGAGTTGTTCCCCACAAAAGGGCTTTATTACAGACAGAAATACCCCACAGAAGCCTCTACTGGCTTCTTGATATGCCTGTCAGGTGGATGGATTATCTTCGGAAAGGAGAAATTCTCACTAACCTGGATGTAAACAAATTTGGGCACACAATTTGAGAGAAATAAGCTTTTTGTGTATATGGGAAATGTCTGATTTTTTTATTTCATCTCATGAAACATTGCGTTTATATTTTTGTTCAGTATATAAAAAATCTATATATCAATATACCAACATAAGAAAAAGATGGGGGAATATACCCAAATTGATATTGTCTCATGCAGTTTGATGCTGTGATGGGTTGGGCTGTATTAGCATGGGATGTTAAATTCTCCTATCCTCTCAGAATGTAATCCTCACACCCTGCCTCTAGTCATACGGACTGGATTGGAGCCTCGTGTTTTACCAGCCTTGTTATAGCGTAGATTAATCTCACCAGGCTAAAGAATTTAAAAGGTTCATCTCTGTAGTGTATGAAAACATGATCCTGTTATGTGTGCGACTGGCATGAAGTAGTAGACTATCATGGGAGATTTTTCGAGCTACAAGATAATGTGATACAGTTGTTTTGTATTCATCAGGTCTTTTTACACATTAAAAAAAGGCTGTGTGTGTTGTCTGTGAAGCAGACACATCATGGTTTGCCGCCTCCTTTTTACATTTGTCAATAGTGCTGATGTGAATGTTATTCTCAACTTCATATGCATGAGTACTGCTGCTATAGCCCCAAGTGACGCCAGACTGATGTGGTTCCTCATGTGGTAGACTGCAACGCGCCACATCAAAACGCTGTGTGTAGCTCCTCAAAAAGAGAGAGGAAATGTGGGACAAATTCCTCCAGACTGCACTCCGCCTGCTGCCTGACTGCCTGCTGCCCTGCACACATGGAAAGTGGCCCTTTTGTTTGTCAATTTTTGCAACTTCTGTCTAGCTTACACTACCAGTCAAAAGTTTGGACACACCTACTCATTCAAGGGTTTTTCTTTATTTGTACATTGTAGAATACTAGTGAAGACATCAAAACTATCAAATAACACATGGAATCATGTAGTAACCAAAAAAGTGTTAAATCAAAATATATTTTATATTTGAGATTCTTCAAATAGCCACCCTTTGCCTTTATGACAGCTTTGCGCAGTCTTGGCGTTTTCAGACCCTTTACTCAGTACTTTGTTGAAGCACCTTTGGCAGTGATTACAGCCTTGAGTCTTCTTGGGTATGACACTACAAGCTTGGCACACCTGTATTTGGGGAGTTTCTCCCATTCTTCTCTGCAGATCCTCTCAAGCTCTGTCAGCTTGGATGGGGAGTGTCGCTGCACAGATCTTTTCAGGTGTCTCCAGAGATGTTCGATAGGGTTCAAGTCCGGGCTCTGGCTGGGCCAATCAAGGACATTGAGACTTGTCCCGAAGCCACTCCTTTGTTGTCTTGGCTGTGTGCTTAGGATAGTTGTCCTGTTGGAAGGTGAACCTTCGCCCCAGTCTGAGGTCCTGAGCACTCTGGAGCAGGTTTTCATCAAGGATCTCTCTGTACTTTGCTCCGTTCATCTTTCCCTCGAACCTGACTAGTCTCCCAGTCCCTGACGCTGAAAAACATCCCCACCATACGCTTCAGCGTAGGGATGGTGCCAGGTTTCCTCCAGATGTGACGCTTGGCATTCAGGCCAAAGAGTTCAATCTTGGTTTCATCAGACCAGAGAATCTTGTTTCTCATGTTCTGAGAGTCCTTTAGGTGCCTTTTGGCAAACTCCAAGCGGACTGTCATGTGCCTTTTACTGAGGAGTGCCTTTCGTCTGGCCACTCTACCATAAAGGCCTGATTGGTGGAGTGCTGCAGAGATGGTTGTCCTTCTGGAAGGTTCTCCCATCTCCACAGAGGAACTCTGGAGCTCTGTCAGAGTGACCATCGGGTTCTTGGTCACCTCCCTGACCAAGGCCCTTCTCCCCTGATTGCTCAGTTTGGCCGGGCGGCCAGCTCTAGGAAGAGTCTTGGTGATTCCAAACATCTTCCATTTAAGAATGATGGAGGCCACTATATTCTTGGGGACCTTCAATGCTGCACACATTTTTTGGTACCCTTCCCCAGATCTGTGCCTTGACACAATCCTGTCTTGGATCTCTACAGACAATTCCTTCGACCTCATGGCTTGGTTTTTGCTCTGACATGCACTGTCAACTGTGGGACCTTATACAGACAGGTATCTGCCTTTGCAAATCATGTCCAATCAATTAAATTTACCACAGCTGGACTCAATGGAAACAGGATGCACCTGAGCTCAATTTCGAGTCTCATAGCAAAGGGTCTGAATACATTAGAGTGTCTAGTTTGAGAAACAGACGCCTCACAGGTACTCAACTGGCAGCTTCATTAAATAGTACCCGCAAAACACCAGTCTCAACGTCAGCAGTGAAGAGGCGACTATGGGATGCTGACCTTCTAGGCAGAGTTGCAAAGAAAAAGCCATATCTCAGACTGCCATCTTAATCTTTTCTTTTTATTGGCCAGTCTGAGATATGGCTTTTTCTTTGCAACTCTGAAGGTCAGCATCCCGGAGTCGCCTCTTCACTGTTGACGTTGAGACTGGTGTTTTGCGGGTACTATTTAATGAAGCTGCCAGTTGAGGACCTATGACGCGTCTGTTTCTCAAACTAGACACTCTAATGTATTTGTCCTCTTGCTCAGTTGTGCAGCGGGGCCTCCCACTCCTCTTTCTATTCTGGTTAGAGCCAGTTTGCGCTGTTCTGTGAAGGGAGTAGTACACAGCGTTGTTCGAGATCTTCGGTTTCTTGGCAATTTCTCGCATGGAATAGCCTTCATTTCTCAGAAAAAGAATAGACTGACGAGTTTCAGAAGAAAGTAATTTGTTTCTGGCCATTTTGGGCCTGTAATCGAACCCACAATTGCTGATGCTCCAGATACTCAACTAGTCTCAAGAAGGTCAGTTTTTAAGGCATTTATTCTTTAATCAGCAAAACAATTTTTAGCTGTGCTAACATAATTGCAAAAGGGTTCTCTAATGATCAACTAGCCTTTTAAAATGATAAACTTGGATTAGCAAACACAACGTGCCATTGGAACACAGGACTGATGGTTGCTGATAATGGGCCTCTGTACGCCTATGTAGATATTCCATAAAAAATCAGCCGTTTCCAGCTACAATAGCCATTTACAACATTAACTATGTCTACACTGTATTTCTGATCAATTTGATGTTATTTTAATGGACAAAAGAAATTGCTTTTCTTTCGAAAACAAGGACATTTCTAAGTGACCCCAAACTTTTGAACGGTAGTGTATATCATACGAATTGTAATCCGTAACATATCATATGAAATGTATGATGGACATCTACAAATTAATACATACCTTAGGAAACATAACATAATATATCATACTAAAGGGAGTATCTCCCATTTACGTACATAATACGAAATGCTCTGAGACCATGTTGATAATTTCTATCCTAAAAATATTGTGAAGGGGATTAAATCAAATTGATGGTGGCATTTTGACAATAAATGATTTCTCTCATAACTTTGTTGGTCATTGTTTGACAACAGTTTTTCCCTACAAGGGAGCAAGACAAAAAGCATACTCTGTACCTGATTGGTGTATCCATTCGCTGTTTGGAGGAAACAGGAAGCCTAGTCAGAATGCTCATTGTTCTCGGTCCTCGTTTGAAGTTTGGGCTTGCAAGAAGACTTTGTAGAACAACAGCCAGTGTACTTGATCTTCCATAGCCTTGTTATAAATAGCAGTTTGCCGTCTATGGATGTGGAAGGTTTGGTTCAAACTGCTACTGAGATGCTTGTTACTGATCCTCCATTGGTTGGCTACATTTTAAAATGAGGATTATTATCAATGACTGAATCACAGTCTACTTTATGGAAGTGTATTCTCTATGGATGTGGAAGGATTGGTTCCTTCGAACTAATCCTCCATTGATCACCAGTGCAGGTTATCTTTTTTCTTTTTCTGGGCTACATTTCTTAAATTAGGGTTACTATTAATGACTGATTATAATTGCTTAGCTTAGGACAGTGGGGGGGAGACGCCCCAATGGGACTCGACACACAAAGATGTATTTGCACATGTGGAACGTTTTCAGAACCCCAGAGCCAGAACGACATTCCTTCTTTCCCATATCTGGGTGTGTTTATGTCTTCTTGTGTTGGTCGTCAATGTCCACCACATTGAGATGTTCAAGCAACAATACTCGCTACGTAATTTTTCTCCTTCAGTTATTTAGAGACACTTGGCTTGTCAAGCAGTTTGCCTGAGGATGAAATATCAACTTTTGTCTGGTTTTGTCTGATCAGAAAAAAGAGATGACATGTCTGAAGAAGAATGCTTGATACTTATATTATGCTCAAAAGTATTCCCAGTTTTCACATACGTTATTCTGTTATTTGTTTAGAATAAGAATAAATACTGTGTTGTCCGTTTACTGGTTACTCACTGTGCAAAAACGGGTTGAATCAACTTGTTTCCACATCATTTCAACAATACAAATCTATGTGATAACGTTGAAACAACGTGGAAAACTGATTGGATTTGAAAAAAGTCATCAATGTAAGAGAACTTCGTATTTTATTCACACCTCTTTTAACCTAATTCCAATGACATGGTTACATTTTTGGTTGATTTCAAATCAAATCAAATGTAATTTGTCACATGCACCGAATACAACCGGTGTAGACCTTACCGTGAAATGCTTACTTACAAGCCCTTAACCAACACATCATCCATTTTCATACATAGACACTGGCTTTACTCAAAGCCAGTGGCATGCCATTAGTAAAGATTGAAAAAAGTAAGGGGCCTAGACAGCTGCCCTGGGGAATGCCTAATTCTACCTGGATTATGTTGGAGAGGCTTCCATTAAAGAACACCCTCTGGGTTAATGTCACTCACTACACCACACAGTATAATAGTACTATTCTGTATGTCTGCCTACTTGGCACAACACCAGGTTCAGCTTCAGACTTCTTAGTGTAAAGACTGGTGAAATTAAAGTTGGGGGGGTCGACTCTAGTTACCCATCAGACTCACTGCATAATACCGAAATAAGAAATAATTTGACTAAGCCAATTTCATGAATGTTTTCCTCCGTCAGCTGTGAGGTCAGGCCTGGGCCAGAGTTCATCACCAGGTCCTATCTCTTTCACCACAACCACACCTTCCAGGTCCTCCAGTTCCACTACTGGGACAACCGCTGCTCCTCCCGCACCTACACCCTCCTCACCCGGGGCAAGCTGCACCTGCGCCAGGCCTCCTGGGTGGTCCGCGGAGGCACAGAGGCCGACTACCAGCTTCACAGCGTCCAGGTTGTGTTCCACAGCCCCGAGGCAACCATGGACCTCAGCCAGTGGCTCAAGCCCAGCTGTGGACCTCTGTCCCTAGGTGGAGGGGAGAAGTGGGAGCCCTGGGAGCCCCACGTCAGCTATGACCTGTGGAGTGAGGAGGAGCAGGGGAGAGACTGTGCCGATAGGCTGTGTTTCACTATGAATGAGCTGCAGCTGGTGCGTGTGGAGCGGCGCCGCCGTCATGGCGTCTGGCTCCCTGATGACCACACCGAGGAGCTCTTCCTGGGGGACGTCCACACTGAACGCCCAGAGGACCCACCACACACCCTCCAGCTACCAGCCGCCACTGCAGAACACCAAGGTCAGTCATAGAGATATATAATATATATTATGCTCTAATCTATTCTACTATATTTCTATGGTCACGGTCCCCTTATTATCACTTACATACTGAGACCCCATGAGAGAGAATCTCTTTAGATTTTTTGTAAGATAGGATAATTTTCAAGTATCAGTGAATTGTGAATCTGTTTGTCAAATCCCTACAAACTGAAAAGTATTGTGGGTATTATAGGATGCAAACTGTTACAGCAATGAAGCCACACATGTACAGTAATTGATATGAATTGTGCAAACTGCAAACCCAGCAGCAGAGAAGACCCATGGATTGTAGTGATCATCCGTTGGTTGGTTTTCCACAGCCGCTCTTCAAAGAGAATAGTCTAAATGACTAAAATGTAAAATGTAAAATAGCAAAGAGTGGCGCAGTATGCTCTGCTCTGAATTTCTGAATTCCTTCCCTTACTCTGTGGTAGTGTTGGTGCCTGAGGCTGTATCAAGGGCAGAGGGATAAAACTGGAGCCGCACCAGAGAGATGGAACCAGTCCTTCAGTTCAGAATCTCCCTTCTCCTTTCCTCCCACTCACAAAAGGATTCGTTACCCCTACCTACATGTACAAATTACCTCGACTAACCTGTACCCCCGCACATTGACTCTGTACCGTTACCCCCTGTATATAGCCTCGTTATTGTTATTTTATAGTGTTCTTTAAATATATACACTGCTCAAAAAAATAAAGGGAACACTTAAACAACACAATGTAACTCCAAGTCAATCACACTTCTGTGAAATCAAACTGTCCACTTAGGAAGCAACACTGATTGACAATACATTTCACATGCTGTTGTGCAAATGGAATAGACAACAGGTGGAAATTATAGGCAATTAGCAAGACACCCCCAATAAAGGACTGTTTTTGCAGGTGGTGACCACAGACCACTTCTCAGTTCCTATGCTTCCTGGCTGATGTTTTGGTCACTTTTGAATGCTGGCGGTGCTTTCACTCTAGTGGTAGCATGAGACGGAGTCTACAACCCACACAAGTGGCTCAGGTAGTGCAGCTCATCCAGGATGGCACATCAATGCGAGCTGTGGCAAGAAGGTTTGCTGTGTATGTCAGCGTAGTGTCCAAAGCATGGAGGCGCTACCAGGAGACAGGCCAGTACATCAGGAGACGTGGAGGAGGCCGTAGGAGGGCAACAACCCAGCAGCAGGACTGCTACCTCCGCCTTTGTGCAAGGAGGAGCAGGAGGAGCACTGCCAGAGCCCTGCAAAATGACCTCCAGCAGGCCACAAATGTGCATGTGTCTGCTCAAACGGTCAGAAACAGACTCCATGAGGGTGGTATGAGGGCCCGACGTCCACAGGTGGAGGTTGTGCTTACAGCCCAACACCGTGCAGGACGTTTGGCATTTGCCAGAGAACACCAAGATTGGCAAATTCGCCACTGGCGCCCTGTGCTCTTCACAGATGAAAGCAGGTTCACACTGAGCACGTGACAGACGTGACAGAGTCTGGAGACGCCGTGGAGAACGTTCTGCTGCCTGCAACATCCTCCAGCATGACCAGTTTGGCGGTGGGTCAGTCATGGTGTGGGGTGGCATTTCTTTGGGGGGCCGCACAGCCCTCCATGTGCTCGCCAGAGGTAGCCTGACTGCAATTAGTTACCGAGATGAGATCCTCAGACCCCTTGTGAGACCATATGCTGGTGCGGTTGGCCCTGGGTTCTTCCTAATGCAAGACAATGCTAGACCTCATGTGGCTGGAGTGTGTCAGCAGTTCCTGCAAGAGGAAGGCATTGATGCTATGGACTGGCCCACCCGTTCCCCAGACCTGAATCCAATTGAGCACATCTGGGACATCATGTCTCGCTCCATCCACCAACGCCACGTTGCACCACAGACTGTCCAGGAGTTGGCGGATGCTTTAGTCCAGGTCTGGGAGGAGATCCCTCAGGAGACCATCCGTCACCTCATCAGGAGCATGCCCAGGCGTTGTAGGGAGGTCATACAGGCACATGGAGGCCACACACACTACTGAGCCTCATTTTGACTTGTTTTAAGGACATTACATCAAAGTTGGATCAGCCTGTAGTGTGGTTTTCCACGTGCCTGTATGACCTCCCTACAACGCCTGGGCATGCTCCTGATTGACTCCAAATCCAGACCTCCATGGGTTGATAAATTTGATTTCCATTGATAATTTTTGTGTGATTTTGTTGTCAGCACATTCAACTATGTAAAGAAAAAAGTATTTAATAAGATAATTTCATTCATTCAGATCTAGGATGTGTTATTTTAGTGTTCCCTTAATTTTTTTGAGCAGTATATATATATTTTAGTTTATTTAGTAAATATTTTCTTATCTCTCTTTTCTTAAAACTGCACTGTTGGTTAGGGCGTGTAAGTAAGCATTTCACGGTGAGGTCTACACCTGTTGTGTTCGGCGCATGTGACAAATACTAAATGTTTACTTGAATGAATTAGGCCCTAATCTATGGACTTCGCATGACTGGGAATACAGATATACATCTGTTGATCACAGATACCTTAAAAAGTAGGGCCATGGATCAGAAAACAGAAAATATCTGGTGTGACCACCATTTGCTTCATGCAGCGTGACACATCAACTTCGCATAGAGTTGATCAGGCTGTTGATTATGGCCTGTGGAATGTTATCCCACTCCTCTTCAATTGCTGTGCGAAGTTGCTTGATATTGGTGGGAACTGGAACACGCTGTCGTATACGTCGATCCAGAGCATCCCAAACATGCTAATTGGGTGACATGTCTGGTGAGTATGCAGGCCATGGAAAAACAGGACATTTTCAGCTTCCAGGAATTGTGTACAGATCCTTGCTACATGGGGCCATGCATTATCATGCTGAAACATGAGGTGATGGCGGCGGATGAATGGCACGACAATGGGCCTCAGGATCTCGTCACGGTATCTCTGTGCATTTAAATTGCTATCGACGCCATACACGTGGTCTGTGGTTGTGTGGCCGGTTGGACGTACTGCAAAATTCTCTAAAACGACGTTGGAGGTGGCTTATGGTAGAAAAATGAACATTAAATGATCTGGCAACAGCTCTGGTGGACATTCCTGCAGTCAGCATGCCAATTGCATATTCCCTCAAAACTTGAGACATCTGTGGCATTGTGTTGTGTGACAAAACTGCCACACCTGTCAGGTGGATGGATTATCTTGGCATAGGAGAAATGCTGACTAACAGGGATGTAAACAAATTTGACATTTGAGAGAAATAATATTTTTGTGCTATGTAAAATTTCTGGGATCTTTTATTTCAGCTCATGAAACATGGGACCAACACTTTACATGTTGCGTTTATATTTTTGTTCGGTGTTTATAAATGATCACAGCATTATTAGTGTGCTTAACAACCAACCTGACTGATCCTCTCTTGGTCTTCAGTGGACCACATGAGGGTGACCCCCATGGATCGGGCCACCACCTCCCTACTCAACGTCTTCCAGGGCAAGGAGTGCGGGGGCGGAGGGCTCGTGGCGCCAGGGCCTGGAGCAGGACGTCAACCCCACCCATGGCTGTGCCGCCCCACACCGAGTACGAACTCTTCCGCATAGAGCGAGACTCTGCGAACCGCCTCCTTCTCTTCAATGGCCAGAGGCCCACGGATGCCTCCAGCCCTAACCAGCCCCACAAGACAGCCACCTCCTACCAGGCCCCCCTGGTGCAGTGTGCAGGGGCCGGCCACGGGCCAGAGGAGCGGAGGGAAACTGACGAGCTCCAAAGACTGTGGAGTAGCTGCTGCAGACACGGAGGAGGAGGTGGTGGTGTGGGGGATATGGTCAGACTACTGCTTATTGCTTCTATCCCCACTCTGCATCTCAGGTAGGAGTAGCTGTGGCTGAATGTTGTTGTTGTTCTGGAGCAGCACTTAATTGACTGTGCATTGGACTTTCAGACTCTTTGAATACAGCATATGTGATTGCAATGTTGAATTGTTACGTTCTATTATTCAGAGTAGTGTTCAGTAGACATGAAACGAAGAAAACGCTCTGACTGGAAGTGAAACTGGGATGTCCTGAACTTGTTCAATAAGAAATGCTTTTTTCCTACGGTGTGTCCAACACAACACAAGTTGTCTATGGCCGTGAGTCAATCTGATCGTGATTTGTCGACAATGTGCCATTTCAATCAGCAATCTACTACATACATTTTTGGACTCCACAAATTAATTATATATACACACATTGATTCTTGAAGAATATAACTTATAAATGCCTCATGAGCTTAGCATCCAGAGACATCTATTAATCTGAGAGTGGTTCCATTTCTCCAGCCCAGCCCTCAGCTTTTTACCAAAACAGAGACGGGGTGACCTCTTTGTTATCGTTTTAACTGCTGAATGGCCCAAATGACCTACTTGGTCATTTCTAAATGAGCTGACATATGCAGCGTTTACCGTGAATGCAGTCTCCACAAACACTGCCTTTAAAAGCTGCATTGTGGACAAAGCGCCATCGGATTGAATCCTGGCCTGTGGTATCATGCAGCTCACTTCAATGACATTTGCATGTTCATCAGAGTTCGCGATTTTGGAGTTAACAAAAGTAATGGAGGATACCGAATACAAATCGAGCCTCACTCTTCCTCAAAGACAAAAGATGAACAAAGATGACAATCCACAAGAAGAATGTTAAAGATTTTATTTATGTTTCTTATTTTCATCAATGTTAAATACCATGGGACAGGACCGCAAGAACGCATTTCTTTTCAGTCAACATTTGCCTCATGAGGGATATAGAATGTGTAAAGAAAAAAAATCTAGAAATAATTGTAATAATAATAATAATAATTTTTTATAATTGTGTGTGTGTCAGTAGGGAACAGGAAAAATAAATGTCCGTAGGAGGCACCTATATTCCCAGCATATTGTATCGTTTCACAAAAATCAAGGATTTAAGAATTCAGTGAAAATGACAATGTTCCAGCAACATGTAGCAAAGTCTTTGTTTGGAAGGTTTTGTTTCATCCCATTTTCTTAAAAGGATTAAAATAACAGACAAGACACTGAACATTCCAACTCTTATTAAAACCAGAGAGAGAGAGAACAACTCATTTTTATTTATTTGTTGCTTCCGATTTCAACCAAGGTCTCAAACCCAGTACCCTGACTCGTCTGTCATCAATGCTCTGATAAATGTACAATTTACATTTTCCCCAAACCTCCCTCCCCTGATTCCTCACCCAAAAAAAGATCAGAACACCCCCCCCCCCCCCCCCCCCCCCCCCCCAAAAAAAGGAGAAAGCTCATTCCTCTGTTTTTCCACGTGTACTAACCGTGTGAGATTGTAAAAGGCGAGGCCTGTTTATGATTCGGTACACAGAACATATGTACGTACGGTGTGAGCTGGTGCTACGACCAGGCCCTTACAGAGACAAACGGGCCCACGCCGGCTCACTTCCCTTCTCTCTCGCCCCGCCCCTACAACACCAACTTCCCTAGGAAGAATCCGATGAAGATGGCTGCTATGACGACCAGTAGCGAGGGGAGGGAGCTGGAAGAATGCTGTTTGCTCATCATGGCGCCCGAGCTGGAGACTATGTTGTCTGGCCGGTGGGACTTCCTCATCCTCAGGCCCTCATCCTGAGAGGAGGACAAACACTGTAGGTTAGAACCCCAAGGCTTTCACACATGCTTCTCTACCACAGCCATAGGCCGAGGCCAATATCATCTTAACAAGAACACTGTCTTCACAATATATTACCGTATATCGCCAATATATAATACTATCCTAATACCGCCTCAATCTTAGACATCACACAATATATGACCATACCTTGAGTTGTCTGTTCTCGTCGGAGAGTTTGCCCACATCGTACTGCAGCCTCTTGCACTCGTCCATCAGTTTCTTCATCTCAGAGTCGTCCATGGACACGCTGATTGGCTTGGGCGCCGACGTGCCGTCAGCTTTGGAGTTGAGGACGGGGGCAGCTTTGGATGCATCAACATCATTCTGGAAGCAACGAAAGTGGGAAAATGAGGCGAAAAGACGAACGTGAACAAGAGGCTAGCTTCCCTCCTGACATTGCTGTACATGCCAACCACACAAACTCAACACGCTTTAGAGTAGACCAAACTTCATGAAACGGTTGAGCCGATTGAAATTAATTTGGAGAAGAAAAAAAGAAAAGTGTGTTAATTAGTATGAAGAGGTAATACGTTTTCATTCAGACTACTATTCTAATTATGACCACCTACTGCAGGGGAATAATTATTTTGGGTAGATGAGAAAGTATGTAGAAATCATAATGGACCCATCTATTTAAAAAAAATAACTGACCTTTTTCTAGTCCGCAAATTGATTTTGACAAGAGAGAAAATCTGTGCGGCCCTCCGTTGAATTTCGAAATCCCTGAACTTCAACTTCCTATCCTGCCACAAACCTGCCACTGCCTGCCTCGCACTGAGCTGGGTGCTGACATGAACTCTGGGAGATCGCTGGCTGCCAGGTGGTGCCTGGTTCCCAGGGGGGTGCGGTACTCTCCGGGGGTGAAGGCTGCTCTGTCCCCCAGGTGCCTGGTGCTGAGCTTGGGGGTCTGCCCTGGCCCTGGGGTGATGAGTTCCATGGCCCTACCACGGGTCTCCCTGGCACTACCGCTAGGCTATCGCACCAGGGGGGAGGCACAAGCAGCATGCATGCCAATAGATATAGGTCATGTATATAGCTTTGGGCTGTTCAGTGGATGCTTGAATTGTAGGGTAGAACATTATACACTCATTAATGTATTATAAACGGTTATACACTCTTACTGTGTTGAACCAACAAAACTGACATATCACATACTAGGAACAAGCTTCCATTCAAATCTCAAGTGTTACATGATGTGAGTATTTCAGATATGACTTTGGGGAGGTGTGAGGTAGAAATGCTGGTTAGTACAGTAGCTATTTACTTAAAACCATCAAAAATCCATGATATCATTAGCACCCATCAAATGACTGTACCTAGGCAAATGCAGAGAAAGGAACAACCAACAGTAACAGGGCAAGGAGAGGGAGTGAAAGCCAAGTAGAATCTAGGAGAAAATTGGAAAAATATGCATTGACAGACAACACTGACCTGTGGCCGTGACAACAGTACAACATTGGAGGTATAATACCAAAAAAATAAAACACCAGAACCACTGATGGCGGCTGAGAGAAGTTCCACTCCTTTGGAAAGTCCAGCCTTTACTATTGTACACTACTTACCATTTTATCGTTTTCAGAGGGCAGTTCGAACACACATCTCAGCTTGGAGTCCATGAGATCGTCTGGCTTTGCATCTTTCCACTGTGGAGATTCAACAAGTACAAGTTGACATTGACAAGTACATTACATTTACATTTTAGTCATTTAGCAGACGCTCTTATCCAGAGCGACTTACAGTTAGTGAATACATATTTTTTTTATACTGGCCCCCCGTGGGAATCGAACCCACAACCCTGGCGTTGCAAACGCCATGCTCTATCAACTGAGCTACATCCCTGCCGGCCATTCCCTCCCCTACCCTGGACGACGCTGGGCCAATTGTGCGCCGCCCATGAGTCTCCCGGTCGCGGCCGGCTGCGACAGAGCCTGGATTCGAACCAGGATCTCTAGTGGCACAGTTAGCACTGCGATGCAGTGCCTTAGACCACTGCGCCACTCAGGAGTAACATGATAAGGTGAACAACACAGATTGATCAATCGATCACAGGGACCGCTGACGGAATAACAATGAACATGCAATACTGTCAGTTACAAGTCTATAGACATTAGGATGTGGAATTGCTGATATACATTGTGTAATATGTCATTTGCTGCCCTCTGCTGGAGAGATCACAAAAAGCTTTTTGAATACAGTACTGCAGGGTTTTCCAACTGGCAGACAAAATGATTTTATTTGGCTCGCTAAATACTGAGCAAAAAGAAAACAAACAAAAAACGTTTTTTTGTTTTTAGGGCCATAAGATTAAAAACACCAGCAAATCAGCTCCAAGTGATTTTAATTTAGGAAATCTGTTCCAAAGTATTCCGACGCATAATAGAGATATACAGTATGTGATTATATACAAATGTAAACAAGGTTTGAAATAATTATGTTTTAGTCAAAAATTATATCTGTTTGTGCTTCTTGCGGTCAACAGTCTACAAATTATTTGTAATTGTGATCCGGCCCCCTGACCATCCGCTCAAGAAAAAAAATTGGACCGTGGCTGACTGTAGTTGATGATCCCTGCAGAACTGAAACCTGTGGATCATCAAAAGCAGGTTTTCCTTTGACGACATAGCTACTAGCATAAAGCACATGTATTTGGTAGTAATGTGGACAGGAAAACTTACCACTGCATCCATGTCTGTAGCAGTGGATGGTGCAAAGATTGTCTGTACCATGAATTTGTGTTTACTTTTTTCATTGGGGTCATAGTCAAAGGGCTGCAGCATTACTGTTGAGACAGAAGATATGGGGTCATGACTATATCTACATATAGGCCTACTGGTACATGCGTTTGACATTTTCATGCTTGATTCGTCTGTACTTACAAAGTAATACAATTAATTAGAGTGGGAATTGTGAAAGGATACAATTTGTTCTTGTTTGATGTTGTTGACAAAAAGGGGCTTGCCTAGTTGTTTGAGTGACACTCTGTTATATTTGGCAGCACAGTGACAAAGGTCTGGGAAAACGAAAGCCTTACCTGAGACAGTGACAGTGGCTCCGGACTCGATCATGCCGCTGTTGGGTCTTACACAGTACCGGCGAGGTGCTGTAGTCTTCACTTTGAAGCATACTTTTCTGTCAGAGGGATTTTTGAGCTTGAGGTTTGTGGTCACTACATTTGTGAAGGGACCTGCATGGGAGAGAAAGGAGATGGTGTTGAGGGTCAATGGAGTCACCTGAAGAATGCACACAACAGACGCAAATGACAACCAACATATACTAGTTACACATCATGGCAAATGATTTGCTATATAGTAAAATGACCCATTAAAACACAAGAGTGTTTCTAGTCTCTGATAAACATGTAGCTTAAGGCATAAAAACATCCGTCTATTTTCACATTATAGTTAGCTAACGTTACACATAGTTAACTACACCTCGTTCTCAATGTGAAGAGCGCCAGAGATGCGGTCAACAAAATACCATAACAATGCATTAACTATCTGTACACAGTGCAACGTGGTATGCAATGTGTTAATGAGTGGGGTGGGATAGCTAGCTAACATTTGAGCGGTCAGTCAAGCAGCTTCATATAGCTAGCTACTATTCCCATTCAACAACTGCAATTTTAGCCTTGTCACCCTAGCTAGCTAAATCCGAAAAAAATAGTTTATGCAATGACTGGTATAGTCAAATCAGAATGTGTTGCTTGTTAGCTTACCTATCTAACTAGCTAAGGTTACTTGGCCACACAACCAGTGACTATTATTTCAGGCTAACGTTAGCTAGCTGGCTAGCTAGCAATGATCCCTGAGTGACTGACAGCAAACTAACGTTACAGTAGCCAGCTGTGTCAATGCCACAGTAAGAAGTCCGCTAGCGTAACTAGAGACCATACGCCCTCCACGGCTGACGAGAAATGTTGTAAAGTGATAGCTAGCTAGCTATCTGTGTAGCTAACTGGATACTAGTCCCGTGTAGCTCAGTTGGTAGAACAGGTTGTGGGTTCGTTTCCAACGGGGGACCAGTATGAAAAAATAAATGTATGCACTCACTAACTGTAAGTCGCTCTTGATAAGACCGTCTGCTAAATGACTTAAATGTAAATGTACTACAGGCCCATAAATCCTCGCTGCCATCTCAAAATGGCGGCGGTATACGAGAGGTTTCAGTAGGGTTGTTGAAGCTAACACCTGCTAACACATCCCCGGTCCACGGCGCTGGTAACGATAACTAGCTGGCTAATCCACTGCCGAAAGCGTCTACAAGTGGTAGCTAGCCACCGACAGTATTCCTCTTACCTTTAAATTTGAGATCATACGGCGGTTCAATAACTATGATCTGCTCCAATTTAGACATTTCGTGTGAATTGTGATGTTGAAAACAGTTCTAAGTCGCCGGTGTTCAGTGTAAAGTCACTCTGAGCCAAAAGACTTGCACACGAGTACAGTTGTTACGGAAGCGCGCAAAATGCACATCACCGCGAAACCCGTGCTCTTCACCTGAAATACAGAGCAGATAATTGTATGTATGGGCAACATAAACATTCTCAAATACATTTGGCCCAATGTGGATGTAAATGCAACATACAACAATTTAGAAGATTTGACTGAGTTACAGTTCATATAAGGAAATAAGTCAATTTAAATAAAATCATTAGGCCCTAATCTATGGATTTCACATGACTGGGAATCCAGATATGCATGTGTTGGTCACAGAAACAATTTTTTTTAAAGGTAGGGGCGTGGATCAGAAAACCAGTCAGTATCGGGTGTGACCATAATTTGCCTCATGCAGAGCGGTACATCACCTTAGCATAGAGTTGATCAGGCTGTTGATTGTGGCCTGAGAATGTTGTCCCACTCCTCATTGGCTGTGTGAAGTTGCTGGATATTGGCGGGAACTAGAACACGCTGTTGTACATGTCGATCCAGAGCATCACAAACATGCTCAATGGGTGACATGTCTGGTGAGTATGCAGGCCATGGAAGAACTGGGACATTTTCATCTTCCAGGAATTGTGTACAGATCCTTGCGACATGGGGCTGTGCATTATCATGCTGAAACATGAGGTGATGGTGGCGGATGAATGGCACGACAATGGGCCTCAGGATCTCGTCATGGTATCTCTGTGCATTCAAATTGCCATCGATAAAATACAATTTAGTTCGTTGTCCATAGCTTATGCCTGCCCATACCATATTATCTAAAACAATGTTGGAGGCGGTTTATGGTAGACATTTCTGCAGTCAGCATGCCAATTGCGTGCTCCCTCAGAACTTGAGACGTCTGTGGCATTGTGTAGTGTGACAAAACTGCACATTTTAGAGTGGCCTTTTACTGTCCCCAGCACAAGGTGCACCTGTGTAATGATCATGCTGTTTAATCAGCTTCTTGACATAGGAGAAATGCTCACAAACAGAGATGTAAACAAATTTGTAGCCAACATTTTAGAGAAAAAAGCTTTTTGTGTGTATGGAAAATGTCTAGGATATTTTATTTATATAATAAATATATATATTTTTTTTTAATCCCAGCCCCGTACCCGCAGGAGGCCTTTTTCCTTTTGGTAGGCTGTCGTTGTAAATAAGAATTTGTTCTTAACTGACTTGGCTAGTTAAATAAAGGTTAAATTAAAAATAAATTAAAAATCAGCTCATGAAACATGGGACCAACACTTTACATGTTGTGTTTATATTTTTGTTCAGTAAAATTAATAGAACAATCATTGGGAGTTGTACTTTACTATCAACCATAACGCCTCTAGGTGGGGTGGTGATTTCTTCACCGACTTGAAACTATCCGGACTGCTCGTTCACTTTCACTCGAAACTGTTAGAATATGGGACGGAATTGTGCATTTTCACCGATTTGAAACTATCCGGAATGCTCGTTCAGTTCTAACGGAAGCTTCTGTATTCTCTGTCTCCAGTTTTTGCCTCATCTGCACAGACCACTTTAAAGGTAGGACCAGGACAAGATGGCGGGTACGTAGTCTATTTACACTAACTTCGGGAAATGCACAATCCCGTCCCATATTCGTTTGCCTTTTGGTAGGCCGTCATTGTGAATAAGAATTTGTTATTAACTGACTTGGCTAGTTAAATAAAGGTTAAATAAATAAAAAATCAGCTCATGAAACATGGGACCAACACTTTACATGTTGCGTTTATATTTGTGTTCAGTATAATTAATTGAAAAATCATTGGGCGTTGTACTTTACCATCAACCGTAACGCCTCTAGGTGGGGTGGTGATTTCTTCACCGACTTGAAACTATCCGGACTACTCGTTCAGTTCTAACCGCAGCTTCTGTCTCCAGTTGTTGCCTCATCTGCGCAGACCACTTTAAATGTAGGACCAGGACAAGATGGCGGGTACGTAGTCTATTTACACTAGCTTCGGGAAAATGCACAATTCCGTCCCATATTCTAACAGTTTCGAGTGAAAGTCGATACAGCAGTACAATTTAGTTATCGATTGAGTATCTTTTGATTCCGTTTTTGGTTGTTTTTAACAGATATATCTTTACTCCAAGAGGATTTCCAGGAGGAGTTGGACGGATGTGAGTTTCTCCCTGTGTGTTCAGTGTTGGAACTTACTGCTAGGGGGCTAGCTTGCATGCGATGATTGCCCTGTCGGCTCTCTGGAGTTCACGGGTCTGTGTGGGCCTTGGTTAGACGAGTTGGACTGTACCTTTTCTTTGCAACTTACTTCACTTCTTCGATGTGTAATGAGTTATATTCACATTCTACATTTAAATGTTGTCAAAATAAGTCGTTTCGTAAAAACTAACACTCACGCGCTTGCTGAAATTTGGCGACAAACTAGCCAGCAAGCGAATTAGCTAACTAGCCTCTCAAATAGCCAAGCAGCTAGCTAGCTCAGCTAAAGCAGAGTAACCAGCGGTTCAATTCACTGCATTACATTTGGTTATGAACGTCTCCTTCGCTAGCTAGGTTCCAAACCTAATACATCAAGCTTGCATTCAGGATAGTTAACCTAGCTAGGTCAGCTAGCTAGCTACCTCCCATAGCGGAGGGAGGTTACTGGTTTCGGTTACATCTGATATGGAACCCAGTCAGGGCCCTTTGACTAGTCTGACATTTCCTGAAGTAGAATGTGGACTATTTGGCTTGCTAGTCTTTGCAGCCAAACTAAATTAGTATGATATAACAACTAGCCAGCTATCTAGTTTCTATTACTATCCAGCATGCATATTAGACAATTTGCCGACTGATAAATTGTAGCAAAAGTGGGAAGTTAATGCACCTAGCATGGCTATAATGCAGTAACTGGGATGTGCAGTTACTATACACTGTACAAGTTATCTATTTATGTTGCAATATGATAGATTGCTTTGTTTCAGTTGTGCATTTTGCAACATACCCAGACCATTGTGAAACTGTCAACATGCAACAAGTCCACCTATAGATCACTACCTTCCTCCTATAGATCCCCACCTGCTTGTATGCTATGTGCATTTTGCCATGTTTAGATGTATTCACTGCATTTCAAGGACTTCTTCATATGTTTCTTTCACCAAATCTGTCATTTTCACTTTTTCACTTTTCTTTTGTCTTGGACTGCATTCTTCTAACCACTGTTGATATGCTAATTGATTTAGCATTGGTGCCAAGCTTCTGCCACTACTGCATGTCACCTCATCACTGTCCCTCGCCTGTCTGGGTACGTGGTGGTGGGTGCCTCTCATGCACAATATTTCCAATGTCTCTAATAGTTGGTGTGGATGACTACAGCTCAGAGTCTGACGTCATTATTATACCTTCAGCCTTGGACTTTGTATCGCAAGATGAGATGCTGACTCCTCTTGGAAGATTGGATAAATACGTCGCTAGTGAAAACATTTTTAACAGGTAACAATCCAATGGAATGCTATTAAAACTCACACTTTTGAAGACCTATTTTTTTTAAAATTCTGGATAAAATTTTAAATATTTGATTTTTAACCCGATTTGTTATGACTTCCAGACAAATGGTGGCGCGGAGTTTGTTGGACACACTAAAAGCTGTGGGTGAGGATGACAGGGACTGTATTGGCGTCTTGGAGAGAGTGGGCCGACTGGCCGATGACTCGGGTAAGACCCCATCGCTGAATAAGAGACGTTTGTTTCATATTTACTGTAGTGAAAACTGTCTGTTGTGTACTCGCACTGACTGCGTGTGTGTCTGCATTCTCTGGACATGCCCTTATTTCTGTGTCATAAAGTTGTCGGTCTGTCCTCTTGGCTGGCCACCAGTGCAGAGGAGAGAGACCTATGAATGTTTGATGGAGCGGTTCAGTTAACTGCACCTGGCTGCCATTTCACACAGGTGAAATACATTTGGTCTGAGTTTTACAGCCGGTCCCAGTTTGCCCCCTTGGCCTTTCGATGTTTGCAAATCTGTAAGGTGTAGGTAGGCTAAAGGCATCAGCATGCTTCAGTTCGGCTAGCGCCTCACCAAACCAGTGTGCTCGCATAATCCCTTAAAATACCTTCGCTTGAAAAACGTGCCAATAGTGCTGTTCCTCAAAATAGTCAGAATTAATGTAAGATAACTCGAGAAATCTGTCATTCATTTTGAAGTTTTTGCAGAGGAGATCTTAGTCGTGTAATTTTACATCTAACTAAAATGTTTGGTGCTGTATTTTTCAATGAAAAAATGTGCATGAAAACAAGTCGTCTCTTGTTGAATGACAAAAACTTTATAGAAGAATCTTTACTTTTGACCAATCACCGACAAAGGGGTGTGCTCAAACAGCCCCCCCCAAAAAAGTATTTGATGTCCAAAACGAACAAAAACGTCACAAAATGTTGTCATAATATATGCACGAACTGTTTAGGCTGGGAGGCGTGTGGACGCCTTAAGCAATATAGCGGAAGGTGCACCACTGCTTATACAGTAGGGATTAGAAAATATTAATTATTAGTTGGGATAACACCTTATTAGTTGGGATGAATATGAATACCATTTAGCAGACACTTTTATCCAAAGCGACTTAGTCATGTGTGCATACATTTTTACGTATGGGTGGTCCCGGGGATCGAACCCACTACCTTGGCGTTACAAGCGCCATGCTCTACTAAATGGTCAGGTCTCTGTAATTCTCTGAATGTAGTGACCTAGCAGTGTCCTTGTAAGTGCAGGGCATGTCTGTCAGCGTAATGCAATAGCCCTGCTTAATGGTGCAAGCATACTTTAGAGCAGCAACCAGGTCCCTTAACCCTGGAGTACACTGACCAGAGAGGATCTTAGTCAGTCAGTGGGCATGTATTTAAAAAACGTTATAAATAATATACACTACCAGTCAAAAGTTTGGACACACCGACTCATTCAAGGGTTTTTCTTTATTTAATTTTTTTTTTACATTGTAGAATAGTAGTGAAGACATTTAAAACTATGAAATAACACATACGGAATCATGTAGTGACCCAAAACGTGTTAAACAAATCAAAATATATTTTATATTTGAGATTCTTCAAATAGCCACCCTTTGCCTTGACAGCTTTGCACACTCTTGGCGTTCTCTCAACCAGCTTCATGAGGTAGTCACCTGGAATGCATTTCAATTACATTTTACAATTTAGTCATTTAGCAGACGCTCTTATCCAGAGCGACTTACAGGAGCAATTAAGGTTAAGTGCCTTGCTCAAGGGCACATCGACAGATTTTTCACCTAGTCTGCTCGGGGATTAGAACCAGCGACCTTTCGGTTACTGGCACAACGCTCTTAACCACTAGGCTACCTGCCGCCTCAATTAACAGGTGTGCCTTCTTAAAATGTAATATGTGGAATTTCTTTCCTTCTTAATGCATTTGAGCCAATCAGTTGTGTTTTGACAAGGGGGGGGGGTATACAGAAGATATCCCTATTTGGGAAAAGACTAAGTCCATATAATGGCAAGAACAGCTCAAATAAGCAAAGAGAAACGACAGTCCATCATTACTTTAAGACATGAAGGTCAGTAAATCTGGAACATTTCAAGAACTTTGAAAGTTTCTTCAACTGCAGTCGCAAAAACCATCATGCGCTATGATGAAACTGGCTCTCATGAGGACTGCCACAGGAATGGAAGAACCAGAGTTCAAGTCACAGACACATCTCAACATCAACTGTTCAGAGGGGACTGTGTGAATCAGGCCTTCATGGTCGAATTGCTGCAAAGAAACCACTACTAAAGGACACCAATAATAAGAAGAGACCTGCTTGGGTGAAGAAACACGAGCAATGGACATTAGACCGGTGGAAATTTTTCCTTTGGTCTGGAGTCCAAATTAGAGATTTTTGGTTCCAACTGCCGTGTCTTTGTGAGATGCGGTGTGGGTGAACGGATGATCTCTGCATATATAGTTCCCACCGTAAAGCATGGAGGAGGAGGTGTTATGGTGTGCTTTGCTGGTGACACTGTCTGTGATTTATTTAGAATTCAAGGCACGCTTAACCAGCATGGCTACCACAGCATTCTGCAGCGATTCGCCATCCCATCTGGTTTTGGCCTTATTGGGGCTATCATTTGTTTTTCAACAGGACAATGACCCAACACACCTCCAGGCTGTGTAAGGGCTATTTGACCAATAAGGAGAGTGCTGCATCAGATGACCTGGCCTCCACAATCTCTCCCCACCTCAACCCAATTGAGATGGTTTGGGATGAGTCGGAGGGAGAGTGAAGGAAAAGCAGCCAACAATTGCTCAGCATATGTGGGAACTCCTTCTAGACTGTTGGAAAAGCATTCCAGGTGAAGCTGGTTGAGAGAATGCCAAGAGTGTGCAAATCTGTCATCAAGGAAAAGGGTGGCTATTTGAAGAATCTCAAATATAAAATATATTTTGATGTGTTTAACACCTTTTTGGTTACTACATGATTCCATATGTGTTATTTCATAGTTTTGATGTCTTCACTATTATTCTACAATGTAAAAAATAGTACAAATAAAGAAAAACCCTTTAATGAGTAGGTGTGTCCAAACCTTTGACTGGTACTGTACATAAAATAAAAAGTGTTTCCCTTAGCAATACATAGGCGGGGTGTGCTTTGGGGACATTCTGGCCCCGCCTGGGTAAAACAGAGAGTCAACAATACACAGTCCGTCAGCATCCTCCTCACACAGCATGGAGGAGCTATTTATTAGTGGATTGATGTATATCTTTAAAATATAGGCTTAACTAAATTCACATCTGAAGTTAAGACAATCTAACTGTATTCCTGCAGACAATTTCTCTGGACAAATGATATCCTCCTCTGGCCCCAGGGCATCCAGCCAGGTGTCATTCATTGTTGAACACTTGTGCTGCTGTCTGATGAAACCAGACCCCTTTGTCATTGAAGGCATTTGATCTTCAGGTTTTATTGACCCCCTTTTCTATTGTCCTTAAAATGTTTTTAAAATGGCTGACATTTTACTCTTTCAGAGCCCTCTGTAAGAGCAGAGCTAATGGAGCAAGTTCCTCACATCGCCATTTTCTGTCAAGAGAACAGACCTTCCATTCCGTTTGCCTTCTCCAAGTACTTGCTACCGATTGTCGTGAGATACCTGGCTGACCAGAACAACCAGGTAAGGGAGGCGTGTGATAAGAATGCATTACATTCTCTGTTTGTTCTGTTTTTGAATTGCCTCTCACTCGCTCTCTCTAGCCATTTGGCGCATGTTAAATAAACATCTATTCAACTGTTTTCAATGATAATGAGTTAAGCTGATAGAATAACATCTAACTAATGTTATTAATAACTTCCCTATAATGATTCTGATGTCTCCCCAGGTCAGAAAGACCAGCCAGGCGGCCCTGCTGGTGCTGCTGGAGCAGGAGCTGATTGAGAGGGGGGACATTGAGACCCTGGTGTGCCCCGTCCTGGTGGACCTGACCGCCCCCGACAGCAACGACGACGTCAAGACGGAAGCCATGGCCGTGAGTCACTTGACAAAGGAGATGTCTAAAATGGCACCCTATTTCCCTATATAGTGCACTACTTAAGTAGCTTTGATGGTCAAAAGCAGTGTAATACATATGGCAATATAGGGTGCAGTAGTATGGAGACAGTGGTCAGGGAACATTTTACGTTCAATTATTATATTACCAGGCAGCTACTGTGCCATATAAGTAGAATATGGTTGACCCCTTTTTTGTTTTATCTGACTTGCTGTTTGCCGTCGCTGTGATTTAGAGAAGCAGGCTGCAGCCAGCGTTCAACTTAATGTTTGCCCTTCTGCAGATAGTACAAGACAAGGGTATTTCAAAGTTGTCCGTAGGACGCAGGTAGTGTTGTTGTGACATTTTAATTCAAACCTCCATGCTGTGTGAGGAGGATGCTGACGGACGGTGTATTTTGACACTCTTTTTTTGTGGCTGTAGATCATCTGTAAGATGGCCCCCATGGTGGGCAAGGACATCACCGAGCGCCTCTTCCTGCCCCGCTTCTGTGAGATGTGCTGCGACTGCAGGATGTTCCACGTGCGCAAGGTCAGTAGAGACTAGGGTTGTGTTCATTAGGCACCAAACAAACGAAAACAGACTGAAACAGGAGGAGGGGCTACCTGGACTTGTCCAATAAGAAAGACAAGTTTTCCATTAAAACAAAACATTTTTAAACGTCTTCTGTTGTGCCTTAATGAACACGACCCTGGATTAGACCACCCCCCGGCAGTGGCTATACACTCAAGCAGACTTTCTCACATGTATTATTGGCCTTTTTTAAAGCTTTTTTGTTTAACGTATTGTTACATCTGCTTGGGGTTTGTTTTAGATGAGTCAATGTTTTAGATGAGGTCCTTTCTGTGTGTTTGTGGCAGGTTTGCGCTGCGAACTTTGGCGACATTTGCAGTGTTGTCGGAGGAGAGGCGACCGAGGAACTCCTGGTACGTGTTGACTTCCTCAGCCAACTGACTTGATAGCTTTGTTTGCTTCCAGCGACACACCAGGGTTTACTTAAATGAGTCATCTAAAAGCCAGAAGCTTCTATTGCACATGCTGTTCCCAACTACCACTTTTCCACCTCTGATCTTTCTCTGTATTCAGAATATTGTTCTCTATGTTGCAGCTGTGTTGTGAGATTGAGATTGTAATGGGTGAAACATTGATGCTCTCTGTCTCTCTCTCCACTCAGTAGCTCGTCCCTGTGTGACTAGGAAAAGGCATTCTGAGCTCTGACTAACTGAAACACTGTTTTTTGTTTTTTTTCCTGCCCTCTCTCGCTCCCACCTCTCTCCTTTCCTGCCCAGCTGCCCCGCTTTTTCCAGCTCTGCTCGGACAACGTGTGGGGGGTGAGGAAGGCGTGCGCCGAGTGCTTCATGAGCGTTTCCTCGTCCACCTCGCAGGAAGTGCGCAGGACCAAGCTCTCGTCGCTCTTCATCAGCCTCATCAGCGACCCCTCCCGATGGGTGAGCACTCAGCAGAAAGGGGGATTTCTGCCATTTGGACAACCCACATCCTAAATGGAAACTAAATACTTTAGCATAGGCATTAAACATTGACCTACTGGGGCTAGATTGCCACTGTTCGTGCTCTAGGTATTTTGCTGTAACGGTAACTAACTTTCCCAGTGTGGCTCAGTTGGTAGAGCATGGCACTTGCAACGCCAGGGTTGTGGGTTCGATTCCCATGGGGGACCAGTACGAACAAATATGAAAATGTATGCACTCACTACTGTAATTCGCTCTGGATAAGAGCGCCTGCAAAATAACTAAAATGTAAAATGAAACTAATTTTTTAGAGAGAATACCTTTTTTACTGCAGGGCCTGAGGGTAGTAGTGTTTATTTCCCTATAGTTAGCCCACCATTATGGAACATTCACATTACATCGTTTACCAGCATGTCTGACAGGCCACTTAGGCCGTGACTCCTGGTTGTCTCAACTTCCTTATTTGAATGCACAACTTGGCTACTTGACAGTAGAGTAATTGACATGTCATACTCTTTCGTTCCTTTACCTCTCTGTCTCTCAGGTGCGTCAGGCTGCCTTCCAGTCGCTGGGCCAGTTCATCTCCACGTTCGCCATCCCCAACAGTGTGGGCCAGTACTTCAGAGAGGGGGAGGAGGGCGAGTGCAACTGTGTCCATTCACAGAACAGGTGCAGCCATTTTGGGCCTTTTGAGCATGCATCTAAAAGGGGATTTACGTTAGTGGCTTTCTCTCAGTGAAGGAAATCCACCAAGCTTGTATTGTACTGCCTTGTTTGTAACGAGCTTCCTCTCTCTGCCCCAGTATTGAAGAGAAACCAATGAACCCGGACACTACAGACCCTTGTCTCAGCGCTGACACAGAGGACTCTCCGAGGCAGGGGGATGACTCTCCTGCATGCACAAATGGCAACCACGAGGAGGGTTGTCTACAACAGAACTGCGTTTCCAACAATGCCCAGGGGGACCACAGCGAGGGGGAGGACGGGGGCTTTTGCCAGACAGAGGAGGAGGTAGGAGGAATGGACGTGGCGGAGGAGGGGGGTGGGGAGCAGGCGGCGGAGGCTTTGGCGGATGCCCTGGACGGTCCCGAGTGCCTCTGTGGCAAGGAGCCTTCCTCGCTCGCCTCCAACCCGGACCCCTTCGAGGAGCAGGGAGACTCCTCCAACACAGCAGGGGCCCAGGAGGAGGAGGAAGCCCCTTCAGCGGCTACTGAGAGCACTAAGAACGAGCCACAGCCACATGAAAAACGCACAACCTCCAACGAGAAGGAGGACGACTCACCAGCAGACATATCTGAGTCCTCGTCCTTTTCCCCTGAGCCAGCAGAGGAGGAGTCCCCCTGTGTTAGTCCTCAGGACAATATCCCCGAGCAGGAGCTCTACAACTCCTTCCACTTCTGGAGGACGCCCATCGCTGAGATGGACCTTGACATAGAGCTGCTCCAGCAGGGGGAGAGCGGCCAGGAGGAGCCCCCCAGCTACGTCTCCTCCAGTCCGGGCAAGACTAAAGCCTCGGCCCCAGTCCTGGATAGGAAACAGCTGGAAGAGCTGATCGAAAACCTGGAGCCTCATATTGACGACCCCGACGTGAAAGGTGAGCTGCGCTCTGTGAAGCTGTAGCTTTACCTCCCTGTCAGAGGTCTACACTCGACTGCTGAGGTCACGAGAAGCTGCTTACTTAAATACCATACGTAGAAATTTAACTCAATAACAGGTGGTTGTTATTTTGGTAACTGATGAAATTCATGGGGTCGTGTGTCCATTCATATAGGGATGGCTCATAGTGTGAAGGCTGAATGCAATTATATTGTAAGAGAAGTTGAGACGGAGGGTGAATTCCCTTGGGTTATAAAGAGACTAATCCTTAACCCGAGCAAGCAGTGAAATTCAATACGTTGTTTACAATTAAGATTCCTCTGCCGTGAATGGACAGAAGAAGCTCTGTTTGACAGGTAGTGTAGGGTAGAGTTCAGAGGCTAACGCTATAGGCCGACTGTGTGAGAGGCTTTGAGTCCAGTTGAATGTGTTTTTGGTGGATTGAAACCCTTGATGTCGCATGTGAGGCTAGCAGCCTGCTAGCGCCTGGCCATTTCACACAATAGAAACGGGAAGTCATTTTTGGGCCGACTTGAAAGGGACGGAGAGGGAGAAAATAGAAAACCGGGAGAGGTGTGTGTGTGTGTGTGTATGGCCTGTAACGTCACAAATCGCACAATGAAACTAACGGCGTTGTCAGAGGATACCAAAAAGCACCAGAAAGAAACTTCAAACTAAAGCAGTTTTTTTCGTCGTGAAACAGTTTTTTTTTCCTGCAATCCTCTTTTTATATGCGAGCCCCCTTCTTGTCTGCCTATAGGTGCAATCCAACATGCTGCATGGAATGAAAACCCAGGTAGTCTAGGTCAGGGATGGGGAAACTCCAGTCCTCGGGGGCCGGAGTGGTGTAACACTTTTTCCCCCATCCCTAGCCAACACAGCTGATGAAAGTAATTGCATTCTAAACTGAACATCATGAATAGTTGATTATTGGAGTCAGGTGTGTTGGCTGGGGCAAAAGTGTGACACTAATCAGGCCCCAGAGGACTGGAGTTAGCCCTATACTACAGAACACTGCTGTGTGGAAATATAATTAACTGTTCTTTTCCAGTGAAATTTAATGATCTGTCTCTGAGTACAGTTATATCCGCACAATAATGTGATTATTGTGGATAGTCAGATTAATATAACAGTTTGATTAAAACATGTACATGCTTTGCAAGAAGAACAATTTCCCTAATAACCCAATTTTACATGGACACATCTGAAATCAGGCTACCTGATGGCACTCTGATAAATGCAGAAAATCCGCAATCTAAATAAATGTTCTACCACAGCGACCATGTTATTTTTGGGAAGCATGTTTTAATTCTGAGTTCGGACATAGAAGTAGTTTTCACATACAATCTTTGTAAGACTCATACACTCAGTTGTTCTGAACTCACTTCACTGGCGCTAAAGAGGGAGGCTCTCGGCTGGTGCTAGCACATGTGCAGATCAAATACACTGCTGGAATGGCGATTTTAAGGTGTTTACATGTCCTGATAAATAGAACGATTGTTTTAGTCAGTATGTTTACTTAGATTTTGACCTTACGCCGATGTAAGGTGTTTACATGACTGTTGCATAATCTTCCTACTGCCATAGTCAGTTTAGTATCGAATTATTACTGTGCATGTAAACGTACTCCCTAGTGTCATCATGTAGGGCGTGCATTGGTTTGATGAACCATGCATTCAGTGACGTGAAACGTTTAGAATGTTGCAGATAGAAATGGAATGAATAGAGCTGACGAACAATCCTCAGTTCTACATGATGGACCTTCATTTCCTATCAGAATATACCATAACGCTAGGCTGCATCCTCCTGAACAGGCCCCAGATGTACTGAAGCACACTGTAAATCCGTCAAGGTTAAGCAGAGTCCGTCAATCTGCTCTTCCTCGTCTGTTAAGACGAGCTTTGTGTCGGTGCTTAGGGTCAGTGCAGTGTGATCTGTTCTTGTGAAGAGGCTGATGGGAGAGGCTGTAAGCCCAGATAAAGGCTCACTGTTGTGCATATGGCACAAAGAACGCTTGTTTGACAAGGACACACGCACACAGGCCTCGATTGGCTGTTTATACACTCAAGATAATGGTGTCACAACAAGGAGGAATTCATGTATATGATAGAATGAACACAGGCTAGGTATTAGCAATATGGTAGTTGCGCTAGGCTAAAGTTGGAATTCTTGGCAATAATACTGCTTACCCCATGGCATGCCTAGGTGTGAAGAGCTTGGCTATTGTTTCTGAACAAGTGAACATGGTGATAGGGCAATGTGGAACTCTCCTGCTCATCCATGTCTCGTTCCCCCGCTTCCTGCAGCACAAGTGGATGTCCTGACAGCTGCGTTGAGAGCCACAACCATGGACTCTCACCTAGAGGATGCCTTCCTGGAGCCCCGGGACAGCCAGGGGGGACACCACCACGACAACCCCTTTGGAGTGCACCAGATGCCCCTCATAGGACACCGTTCAGACATGGAGGTGAGGGGGGAAATGGCATCACGCCTATAGAGAGAAATTAGATGTAGGGTAGTGTGTCATGTTTGACTCGTGATTAATCTTGGTGTCTGTGTAGAGACGAAACTCGACCCTGCAGATGAGCCATGGCGACGACTCTGAGCTGAGCGACAGCAGCTTCAGTCCAGAGGACGAGAAGAAATCCAAGCATCAGGACGTGATCCCCCAGGCCCTGCTGGACCAGTACCTGTCCATGACGGACCCTTCCAGAGCCCAGACAGTGGACATGGAGATCGCAAAGCACTGTGCCTACAGCCTTCCCGGTGTGGCCATGACCCTGGGCAGACAGAACTGGCACTGCCTCAGGGACACCTATGAGACCCTGGCCTCTGACATGCAGGTGTGTCTACGCTCCAGTTCTGTCTAGGCTACATCTCACTTACACCCTCTGTAAATTGTACTGTAAAGGTTTTTGAGGAAAACATTTTCTCTTCAGGGGTCGTTTTTGACTTTTCACCCATTCCATTTCAACCTCTAAACACTCCCCACCATGGAACACATTCACTAGAGCACAACGTTGTGGAATGTTTAGGCAGAACTAGAGCACAACGTTGTGGAACGTTTAGGTAGATCTAGATTGTGTAGAACTGGCATGCCTCGCTCACTTGTAGAGTAAGCTCTAATCATGACGTTTCCATCTGCACGTTCCACAACGTTGCACCCTCCTGAATGTGCCCCTGGTGGGATTATTGTGTAGCCTAGCAGTGTGGATCTCTGTGCTCTCACTGTAGTCCATTTCCTCCTCTCCTGCCCGCTGGTTGTCAGGGAGGGTGCTGTGACAGAGACTGGACCTAGTTTACTTTTCTTTATACTCCTCCTCAAGCACCTTATTATTAATTTTGTGGTTCTCCAAAGCCCAATGTGTGGTTCCTTGGCTTTCCAAATGCATTCCTCCAAAAATAAACTTGTGCCCTCTCACCATTCCGTTCTCAACCCCAAAGTTTGCCTGCCTGCAAGGGAACACCTTTTGCCCCAGGCACGACAGCTAAAGGGCTTGACACTATAGGCTCTGGTCAGATTCTCAATCCCTCCCAATCAGCTAGCAGGAGCTGGAAGCAGGAAGCCTGAGGACTGGAGTTGGCCCGCCCCCCCATGTGATGCCTTAATGTGTCCGATGCTGTCTCCCCCTGGCAGCTCCCTTTGTCCCACTTATACACACCCTCTAACATCTCTGGGCCTTCCTGGGTTCTAAAATGTCTCTTTTGCTCCTCTCCCTCCCCCAGTGGAAGGTGCGTCGGACGCTGGCCTTCTCCATCCACGAGCTGGCGCTGATCCTGGGGGACCAGCTAACGGCAGCGGACCTGGTGCCCATTTTCAACAGCTTCCTCAAGGACCTGGATGAGGTACGGGTAGGGGTCCTCAAACACCTCTACCACTTCCTCAAGGTCAGTCAGCACCTCTCTCTTTAGCACTGACATCAATATAAGAAAATACTTAATCAGTAATGAATATTGGTAAAAATACTAATAGAAATGATCATTAGAACGGATAGGTAGCCTTTTTTTATTGCTTCATGTTGTGTTGTCTGAAATGTTCCTACAGCTCCTAATGGTTGATATTTACAATAGTGCTGCTGTGTGAGATGATAGTATCCAGGCACTCCTGCTGTATCTTCTGTTATGCAGTGTAGAGTTTCACTGTTCTGCTGTGTGGTCGCAGGGGATCAACCTCTCTCCACCCCCAAATCTTCTCTCCATTCATCCTCTTGTTCTCTCTCCATTTTTTATTTTTTTTTCTCTCTCCGCCCTTCTCACTCTCTATATACTTACCCTGCCTCTCCCCTCTCCCCTCTCCCCTCTCCCCCCTCCCCTCTCCCCCCTCCCCTCTCCCCTCTCCCCCCTCCCCCCTCCCCTCACCCTCTAGCTGCTGCACCAGGACACGCGGCGTAAATACCTGTACCAGCTCCAGGAGTTCCTGGTCACAGACAACAGCCGCAACTGGCGCTTCCGATCAGAGCTGGCAGAGTAGGTTCCACCCTGTTACCACACTTCATTTATCCATTTTATTTCCCCTGTCAACTTAGTTGTCACACACACCATTAGTAGCCAGACAAGTAGCCAGACCTACAGACAGCATAAGTAGTGACATTTACTGTGTGAAGGAGTTTAACATAGATTTTCAAAGATGACTCTCTTTGGTGACGTTTTGGTTCTATGGGTCAGGGTAATGTGAAAAGCTGACCAGTGAGTGACCTTGCCCTCTGTGTGTTCTCAGACAGCTGGTGTTTCTACTGGAGCTGTACAGTGGTCAGGATGTGTATGACTACCTTCGACCCCTGGCCTTCAGCCTGTGTATGGACAGAGTGTCCTCTGTACGCTGGACCTCCTACAAACTGGTACGTCCCCCAGGAGCATACCCCCAACACGATCACGGCCAGCAACACACCCCCAACACGATCACGGCCAGCAACACACCCCCAACACGATCACGGCCAGCAACACACCCCCAACACGATCACGGCCAGCAACGCACCCCCAACACGATCACGGCCAGCAACGCACCCCCAACACGATCACGGCCAGCAACGCACCCCCAACACGATCACGGCCAGCAACGCACCCCCAACACGATCACGGCCAGCAACGCACCCCCAACACGATCACGGCCAGCAACGCACCCCCAACACGATCACGGCCAGCAACGCACCCCCAACACGATCACGGCCAGCAACGCACCCCCAACACGATCACGGCCAGCAACGCACCCCCAGCAACGCCCCAACCCCCAACACGATCACGGCCAGCAACACACTCTATATATATATATATATATCTCACACAGTACCAGTCAAAAGTTTGGACACAGCTACTCATTCAAGGGTTTTTCTTTATTTTTACTATTTTCTACATTGTAGAATAATAGTGAAGACATCAACACTATGAAATAACACATATGGAATCATGTAGTAACCAAAAAAGTGTTAAACAAATCAAAATATATTTTATATTTGAGATTCATCAAATAGCCACCATTTGTCTTGATGACAGCTTTGCACACTCTTGGCATTCTCTCGACCAGCTTAACCTGGAATGCTTTTCCAACAGTCTTGAAGGAGTTCCCACATATGCTGAGCGCTTGTTGGCTGCTTTTCCTTCACTCTGCGGTCCAACCCATCCCAAACCATCTCAATTGGGTTGAGGTCGGGGGATTGTGGAGGCCAGGTCATCTGATGCAGCACTCCATCACTCTCCTTCTTGGTCAAATAGCCCTTACACAGCCTGGAGGTGTGTTGGGTCATTGTCCTGTTGAAAAACAAATGATAGTCCCACTAAGCGCAAACCAGATGGGATGTCATATCGCTGCAGAATGCTGTGGTAGCCATGCTGGTTAAGTGTGCCTTGAATTCTAAATAAATCACAGACGGTGTCACCAGCAAAGCACCATCACACCACCACCTCCATGCTTCACGGTGGGAACCACACATGCAGAGATCATCCGTTCACCTACTCTGCGTCTCACAAAGACACGGCGGTTGGAACCAAAAATCTCACATTTGGACTCATCAGACCAAAGGACAGATTTCCACCGGTCTGATGTCCATTGCTCGTGTTTCTTGGCCGAAGCAAGTCTCTTCTTATAATTGGTGTCCTTTAGTAGTGGTTTCTTTGCAGCAATTTGACCATGAAGGCCCGATTCACGCAGTCTCCTCTAAACAGTTGTTAACTCTGGGTCTTCCATTCCTGTGGCGGTCCTAATCAGAGCCCATTTCATCATAGTGCTTGATGGTAGTAGTCTTTTGTAATGTTACACCATCACATCCCTGATAAATATTTCTCCCTCCCTACCATTTCCACATATCTAGAATGTCTTTTGTGTTTTGCTCAGCAACATCATACTCAGCAGGGCGACTTCCTGCTTACAGACGTCAGCAACAACACAATTCAAGTCTGCTTAAGATGGCCTCTGTTGGCTCTTCCCAATATTCGCCTTTCACTGAGGCATGCCCTTATTGGGAAGAGATCATAGTAGTAGTTTAGTGATCACTCAGTAAAAAAATATATACTATTCTGTTAGCAAGACGTCACTCCTCTTTGTATGATGTCGTGTTACTGAGCCCATCTTTTAAGTTCTCTGGGCATCATTTACCCAGAATTTGACGAGGAAATTTGATTGATGGTATTTAAACAGTATATTATGTATTCCTTTTGTGTATTGTTAGGTGAGTGAGATCATCAGGAAGGTGGCGTCGTGCCAGGCGCTGCTGGCAGACTTCCTGAGTGAGCTGGTGGAGAAGTTCTGCCACTCCCCAAAGTGGTCGGGACGACAGGCCTTCACCTTCATCTGTCAGGTGAGGACATCTTCTTCGTCATGTAAATGTAAAAATGTTCATCGTTAGGCTTTGGCGGTATACCGGAGTATTTGGAAGTAGCCACGGGATGGTTTTTCAGTTCCGTCAACACCGTTAACTATTTATTTTGAAATGTTGAAAAATTATTTGTAGCTACTTTAATTAAATATCCGGGGGTCAACTTGTGCAATACGTTAGGAAATAAAGCACATTGCGTTGTTCATTTTACCATATTTTTTATTATGAAGCTTACCGGTAGTCCCCAGTCACATGGTGTTTGCTTACAAGCACACAACGACGAGAGTCTGCCAGCAGCAACTTGTGAGTCACTCACTGTTTTGCAGCACACGCCAGGTGATCTAGTTACACTATGGAATTCACAACTAAATGTTTGCCAGCTAGATATCTTCTCTATTCAGTTAACTCTCTAAAATGTGCTAAATGCTCTGCAGTTGTGTATTTGGTTTGCTAAATTAGCTTCTTGCAAAATCAAGCTTCTCTTGATAACAGCAGGGTCCCCTCCTGGATCAATAGCCTTGCTGTCTAAGATTTGTTTTGTCTGTGCAGCAAAGTGTGAGTAGCATTTGTAGAACTTTGCGCTGGGATGTCTGTCCTGCAAATATTTTGTTAGACTTTATAAAATGTTCCCAATGTGCTCGTTAGCATTTAGCTAGCATTCGCTATGGGATTTTACACGTACTTGTTAGCATTACTAACGTTCTTATTAAAGAGGGGTTTGAAAAATAGTTCCCCTTGTGTTCAGTGCCGGTATTACCGAAGAGCCCGGGATGGCACAAGGTCGGTATGACAACCGCCCAAGCCAATTCATCTTTATTATTCTCATGTCATCTCCTGACCTAACAAACACAAACAGAATCATCCAGTAGGTTTAACCCAATTTTCTCCCACATTTAAGAGATACAGTAACAAAGATAAAATAAGAATAACAAAGAAAATAAAAATTTCACAAACAGACAAATTAAACACAAAAGCTCAGTTTAAATAAAATAATTAGGGCCAACACATGGAACGTACAGTGTAATCCTGAGACAAGTAAACAACCACCATTATGAGAAAATCCTTGCATTATAATAGCTGATAAATCAGTTTCTAGGTAATTCAAAAAAGGTTCCCACACTTAGTAGAACTGATCTGTTTTAGAATGTAATGTACATGTCAGATATTCCAATGAAACCCATTCAAATAAACTCAGCAAAAAAAGAAACGTCCTCACTGTCAACTGCGTTTATTTTCCGCAAACTTAACGTGTAAATATTTGTATGAACATAACAAGATTCAACAACTGAGACACAAACTGAACAAGTTCCACAGACATGTGACTAACAGAAATTGAATAATGTGTCCCTGAACAAAGGGGGGGGTCAAAATCTAAAGTAAGTCAGTATCTGGTGTGGCCACCAGCTGCATTAAGTACTGCAGTGCATCTCCTCCTCATGGATTGCACCAGATTTGCCAGTTCTTGCTGTGAGATGTTACCCCACTCTTCCACCAAGGCACCTCCGAGTTCCCGGACATTTCTGGGGGGAATGGCCCTAGCCCTGACCCTCCGATCCAACAGGTCCCAGACGTGCTCAATGGGATTGAGATCCGGGCTCTTCGCTGGCCATGGCAGAACACAATGGCAAGACACATTCCTGTCTTGCAGGAAATCACACACAGAATGAGCAGTATGGCTGGTGGCATTGTTATGCTGGAGGGTCATGTCAGGATAAGCCTGCAGGAAGGGTACTACATGAGGGAGGAGGATGTCTTCCCTGTAACGCACAGCGTTGAGATTGCCTGCAATGACAACAAGCTCAGTCTGATGATGCTGTGACACACCGCCCCAGACCATGACGGATCCTCCACCTCCAAATCGATCCTGCTCCAGAGTACAGGCCTCGGTGTTACGCTCATTCCTTCGACGATAAACGCGAATCCGACCATCACCCCTGGTGAGACAAAACCGTGACTGACACAGCGAGGATGATCTGCTGTCCGTCCTGTCTCCTTGTAGCGCTGTCTTAGGGGTCTCACAGTACGGACATTGCAATTTATTGACCTGGCCACATCTGCAGTCCTCATGCCTCCTTGCAGCATGCCTAAGGCACGTTCACGCAGATGAGCAGGGACCCTGGGCATCTTTGACTGATATTCTGCAAAAGGTACAGGGATTGGACTGCTGAGGACTGGGGTAAAGTCATTTTCTCTGATGAATCCCCTTTCCGATTGTTTGGGCCATCTGGAAAACACCTTGTCCGGAGAAGACAAGATGAGCGCTACCATCAGTCCTGTGTCATGCCAACAGTAAAGCATCCTGAGACCATTCATGTGTGGGGTTGCTTCTCAGCCAAGGGAGTGGGCTCACTCACAATTTTGATAAGAACACAGCCATGAATAAAGAATGGTACCAACACATCCTCCGAGAGCAACTTCTCACAACCATCCAAGAACAGTTTGGTGACGACAAATGCCTTTTCCAGCATGATGGAGCACCTTGCCATAAGGCAAAAGTGATAACGAAGTGGCTCGGGGAACAAAACATCGACATTTTGGGTCCATGGCCAGGAAACTCCCCAGACCTTAATCCCATTGAAAACTTGTGGTCGATCCTCAAGAGGCGGGTGGACAAACAAAACCCCACAAATTCTGACAAACTCCAATCATTGATTATGCAAGAATGGGCTGCCATCAGTCAGGATGTGGCCCATAAGTTAATTGACAGCATACCAGGGCAGATTATACTTCAGTATACCATAGTAACATCTGACAGAAATATCTCGTAACACTGAAGCAGCGAACTTTGTGAAGAGCAATATTTGTGTCATTCTCAAAACTTTTGACCACGACCGTAGACCAGTACCTTTTTGTAATTTGGAACATGACCATAAGCAATGTGTTGGTGTGTCTGTATCAGTTGTACATTTTAGACATTGAGGAGGAGGACACGGGGCTAAAAGCATGTCTGTGGTTTGGGGATATATGCAATCTGTGTATTATTCTTAATTGGATTGCTCTAGTACGATTACAGCTAGATATTGTTTTTGCATATCTCCAGATGTCCTCCCACAGTCAATAGTAACAAAATGATTTCTCCCACAGTCGCTTGACCCCCTGTGTGTCAACAGTAGAAAAGGACCTTAAAGCATCATAAAATAAACTTGGACATTTTCCTTTGTGAGGGGGGGGGGGAAAAAAGCATTATTTCAATGACAGACACATCAGGGTTGCCAATCAAGGTGGTGCTCTTCAAAACGTCTTACTTACTTTGGGAGTTGATATTTCTCAACCATCTGCTCAAATGACAATAAAATCTTTACAGCTAATAAATCATTTAGTCTGCCTATGCCCTTTTTATAAAGCCAAATGTTAGCAAGCATCCAGGTTGTTAAGAATGGAGGTAAGTGCAGAGGTTAGTTTGGACTGACCTCCATGCTTTGAGTGTAATGGGATTATTGCAGTCATCTTTTACAGATTTGAAGCTTCTGAAAAATATAAGATCTTGCTAGGGGTATTTTGAAAAAGTCTCAATATCTATCCAAATAGAATAATTGTTATTTGTGATCCAATCAGAAATATTATGTAAGTGGGCACCCCACTGATAAAACCTAATATTGGGCCAGAGCCAAGCCCCCCATAGAACCTGACAGCTGCAATATTTCCATTTCAAATTTGTTTGCCTTGCGTTTACTCCATATGAAGGAACTTAACCAGCCATTTAAGTATTTTATTACCTTATTGGAAAGTAAGACTGGGATCATTTGGATTGGGTGAAGTAGTCTAGGTAAAATGTTCATTTTCAACATTATTTTTTATTATTTTTTCAAGACGGATATTCTACCCAACCATGAAATCGGAAGAGTTCCAGCGCTCCAGATCCTGTCTTATTGTGTCAAATAAGGGAACAGAATTGGCTTTGTACATTTGCTGGAATTTAGGAGTTAGGAATATACCCAATACGTAAAACCTGAGGGAGACCATTTAAAAGGAAAGGGGGGAGAGGTAGGAGGTACAGAGCTAAGACTACCAAGTGGCATTGCCTCTGATTTAGTTAAATTAATCATGTAGCCTGAGAATACACTGAATAATTCAATAATATTAACAACAAGAAATGTAATTGAAGTCTCGGGGCTAGAGATGAATATGAAAACATCAGCTGCCAAGATTTTTAATGAAGGTCCATTTTTATTGAAGAGCCTTTTAGTTTCCCCACCCACATATTATACAGTGGAGTGAGTGGCTATGGTTGCTAAGAGGACACTGTTTTCAACGGGACACTTGACATTGTCCCCACCATTTATTTGATAACATGAGTGGCACCATTCTCTGTCCCACAATGTGTCTATTGTGTTGGAGGACAATGAGATCATGATGACTGAGTGTGTGTGAGTCCAAGAGGTCAAGTGTGTTAACGCGCAAACACACACACACACACACACACACACACACATTTGTGCTTTCTGTTCTGTCTCGTGCATGCACTCACGCACACAGAATCACACACTCCCCTAATCCATCTCTAAAACACACACGCTCTGACCATCCTCCTTCTCTCTCTTTCTGTCAGCTGGCGATTGAGGATGACTGTGTGTCGTTGGAGCAGTTCTCAGAGCACCTGCTAGCCCCTCTGTTACAGCTGGCCTCCGACCCCGTGGCCAACGTCAGGGTGCTGCTGGCCAAGACCATCCGCCAGAGCCTGCTGGAGAGAGGTACACACACGCACACACACACCTGCATGCTCCTCTGACCAATTCCATAGAGTTAAGCCTAGGAAACAAGCAATTATGGCTTCATTTGTTGTATTTTATTGTAAAAAATAATAGTATTTATGAAATACAAAGTAAGGATTTACTTTTTACTGCACTAATATATACACTGCTCAAAAAAATAAAGGGAACACTTAAACAACATAATGTAACTCAAAGTCAATCACACTTCTGTGAAATCAAACTGTCCACTTAGGAAGCAACACTGATTGACAATACATTTCACATGCTGTTGTGTAAATGGAATAGACAACAGGTGGAAATTATAGGCAATTAGCAAGACACCCCCAATAAAGGACTGGTTTTGCAGGTGGTGACCACAGACCACTTCTCAGTTCCTATGCTTCCTGGCTGATGTTTTGGTCACTTTTGAATGCTGGCGGTGCTTTCACTCTAGTGGTAGCATGAGACGGAGTCTACAACCCACACAAGTGGCTCAGGTAGTGCAGCTCATCCAGGATGGCACATCAATGCGAGCTGTGGCAAGAAGGTTTGCTGTGTCTGTCAGCGTAGTGTCCAGAGCATGGAGGCGCTACCAGGAGACAGGCCAGTACATCAGGAGACATGGAGGAGGCCGTAGGAGGGCAACAACCCAGCAGCAGGACTGCTACCTCCGCCTTTGTGCAAGGAGGAGCAGGAGGAGCACTGCCAGAGCCCTGCAAAATGACCTCCAGCAGGCCACAAATGTGCATGTGTCTGCTCAAATGGTCAGAAACAGACTCAATGAGGGTGGTATGAGGCCCCGACGTCCACAGGTGGGGGTTGTGCTTACAGCCCAACACCGTGCAGGACGTTTGGCATTTGCCAGAGAACACCAAGATTGGCAAATTCGCCACTGGCGCCCTGTGTTCTTCACAGATAAAAGCAGGTTCACACTGAGCACGTGACAGAGTCTGGAGACGCCGTGGAGAACGTTCTGCTGCCTGTAACATCCTCCAGCATGACCGGTTTGGCGGTGGGTGGCATTTCTTTGGGGGGCCGCACAGCCCTCCATGTGCTCGCCAGAGGTAGCCTGACTGCTATTAGGTACCAAGATGAGATCCTCAGACCCCTTGTGAGACCATATGCTGGTGCGGTTGGCCCTGGGTTCCTCCTAATGCAAGACAATGCTAGACCTCATGTGGCTGGAGTGTGTCAGCAGTTCCTGCAAGAGAAAGGCATTGATGCTATGGACTGGCCCGCCCGTTCCCCAGACCTGAATCCAATTGAGCACATCTGGGACATCATGTCTCGCTCCATCCACCAACGCCACGTTGCACCAGACTGTCCAGGAGTTGGCGGATGCTTTAGTCCAGGTCTGGGAGGAGATCCCTCAGGAGACCATCCGCCACCTCATCAGGAGCATGCCCAGGCGTTGTAGGGAGGTCATACAGGCACGTGGAGGCCACACACACTACTGAGCCTCATTTCGACTTGTTTTAAAGGACATTACATCAAAGTTGGATCAGCCTGTAGTGTGGTTTTCCACTTAAATTTTGAGGGGGACTCCAAATCCAGACCTCCATGGGTTGATACATTTGATTTCCATTGATAATTCTTGTGTGATTTTGTTGTCAGCACATTCAACTATGTAAAGAAAAAAGTATTTAATAAGATTATTTCATTCATTCAGATCTAGGATGTGTTGTTTAAGTGTTCCCTTAATTTTTTTGAGCTGTGTATGTGTATATGTGTGTGTGTGTATATATATATATATATATATATATATATATATATATATATATATATATATATATATATATATATATATATATATATATATATATATATATATATATATATATATATACACACACACACACACACACACACACACACACAGTTGAAGTCGGAAGTTTACATACACTTAGGTTGGAGTCATTAAAACTTGTTTTTCAACCACTCCACACATTTCTTGTTAACAAACTATAGTGTTGGCAAGTCAGTTAGGACATCTACTTTGTGCATGACACAAGTACTTTTTCCAACAATTGTTTACAGACAGATTATTTCACTTATAATTCACTGTATCACAATTCCAGTGGGTCAGAAGTTTACATACATTAAGTTGACTGTGCCTTCTAAACAGCTTGAAAAATTCCAGAAAATGATGTCATGGCTTTAGAAGCTTCTGATAGGCTAATTGACATCATTTGAGTCAATTGGAGGTGTACCTGTGGATGTATTTCAAGGCCTACCTTCAGACTCAGTGCCTCTTTGCTTGACATCATGGGAAAATCAAAAGAAATCAGCCAAGACCTCAGAAGAAAAATTGTAGACCTCCACAAGTCTGGTTCATCCTTGGGAGCAATTTCCAAACGCCTGAAGGTACCACGTTCATCTGTACAAACAATAGTACGCAAGTATAAACACCATGTGACCACGCAGCCATCATACCACTCAGGAAGGAGACGCGTTCTGTCTCCTAGAGAAGAACGTACTTTGGTGCGAAAAGTGCAAATCAATCCCAGAACAACAGCAAAGGACCTTGTGAAGATGCTGGAGGAAACAGGTACAAAAGTATCTATATCCACAGTAAAATGAGTCCTATATCGACATAACCTGAAAGGCCGCTCAGCAAGGAAGAAGCCACTGCTCCAAAACCGCCATAAAAAAGCCAGACTACGCTTTGCAACTGCACATTGGGACAAAGATTGTACTTTTTGGAGAAATGTCCTCTGGTCTGAAGAAAACAAAAATACCAACTGTTTGGCCATAATGACCATCGTTATGTTTGGAGGAAAAAGGGGGTGGGTTGCAAGCCGACGAACACCATCCCAACCGTGAAGCACGGGGGTGCTTTGCTGCAGGAGGGACTGGTGCACTTCACAAAATAGATGGTATCATGAGGAAGGAAAATGATGTGGATATATTGAAGCAACATCTCATGACATCAGTCAGGAAGTTAAAGCTTGGTCGCAAATGGGCTTCCAAATGGACAATGACCCCAAGCATACTTCCAAAGTTGTGGAAAAATGGCTTAAGGACAACAAAGTCAAGGTATTGGAGTGGCCATCACAAAGCCCTGACCTCAATCTTTTAGAACATTTGTGGGCAGAACTGAAAAAGCGTGTGCGAGCAAGGAGGCCTACAAACCTGACTCAGTTACACCAGCTCTGTCAGGAGGAATGGGCCAAAATTCACCCAACTTATTGTGGGAAGCTTGTGGAAGGCTACCTGAAACGTTTGACCCAAGTTAAACAATTTAAAGGCAATGCTACCAAATACTAATTGAGTGTATGTAAACTTCTGACCCACTGGGAATGTGATGAAAGAAATAAAAGCTTAAATAAATCATTCTCTCTACTATTATTCTGACATTTCATGTTCTTAAAATAAAGTGGTGATCCTAACTGGCCTAAAAAGGGACTTTTTACTAGGATGAAATGTCAGGAATTGTTTTAATGAATATGGCTAAGGTGTACAGTTCCGACTTCAACTGTGTGTGTGTATGTACACTGCTCAAAAAAATAAAGGGAACACTTAAACAACACATCCTAGATCTGAATGAATGAAATAATCTTATTAAATACCTTTTTCTTTACATAGTTGAATGTGCTGACAACAAAATCACACACATTATCAATGGAAATCAAATGTATCAACCCATGGAGGTCTGGATTTGGAGTCACCCTCAAAATTAAGGTGGAAAACCACACTACAGGCTGATCCAACTTTGATGTAATGTCCTTTTAAAACAAGTCAAAATGAGGCTCAGTAGTGTGTGTGGCCTCCATGTGCCTGTATGACCTCCCTACAACGCCTGGGCATGCTCCTGATGAGGTGGCGGATGGTCTCCTGAGGGATCTCCTCCCAGACCTGGACTAAAGCATCCGCCAACTCCTGGACAGTCTGGTGCAACGTGGCGTTGGTGGATGGAGCGAGACATGATGTCCCAGATGTGCTCAATTGGATTCAGGTCTGGGGAACAGGCGGTCCATAGCATCAATGCCTTCCTCTTGCAGGAACTGCTGACACACTCCAGCCACATGAGGTCTAGCATTGTCTTGCATTAGGAGGAACCCAGGGCCAACCGCACCAGCATATGGTCTCACAAGGGGTCTGAGGATCTCATCTCGGTACCTAATGGCAGTCAGGCTACCTCTGGCGAGCACATGGAGGGCTGTGCGGCCCCCCCAAAGAAATGCCACCCCACACCATGACTGACCCACCGCCAAACCGGTCATGCTGGAGGTTGTTGCAGGCAGCAGAACGTTCTCCACAGCGTCTCCAGACTCTGTCACGTCTGTCACATGTGCTCAGTGTGAACCTGCCTTCATCTGTGAAGAGCACAAGGCGCCAGTGGCGAATTTGCCAATCTTGGTGTTCTCTGGCAAATGCCAAACGTCCTGCACGGTGTTGAGCTGTAAGCACAACCCCCACCTGTGGACGTCGGGCCCTCATACCACCCTCATGGAGTTTCTGACCGTTTGAGCAGACACATGCACATTTGTGGCCTGCTGGAGGTCATTTTGCAGGGCTCTGGCAGTGCTCCTCCTGCTCCTCCTTGCACAAAGGCGGAGGTAGCGGTCCTGCTGCTGGGTTGTTGCCCTCCTACGGCCTCCTCCACGTCTCCTGATGTACTGGCCTGTCTCCTGGTAGCGCCTCCATGCTCTGGACACTACGCTGACAGACACAGCAAACCTTCTTTCCACAGCTCGCATTGACGTGCCATCCTGGATGAGCTGCACTACCTGAGCCACTTGTGTGGGTTGTAGACTCCGTCTCATGCTACCACTAGAGTGAAAGCACCGCCAGCATTCAAAAGTGACCAAAACATCAGCCAGGAAGCATAGGAACTGAGAAGTGGTCTGTGGTCACCACCTGCAGAACCACTTCTTAATTGGGGGTGTCTTGCTAATTGCGTATAATTTCCACCTGTTGTCTATTCCATTTGCACAACAGCATGTGAAATGTATTGTCAATCAGTGTTGCTTCCTAAGTGGACAGTTTGATTTCACAGAAGTGTGATTGACTTGGAGTTACATTGTGTTGTTTAAGTGTTCCCTTTATTTTTTTGAGCAGTGTATGTGTGTGTGTATATATATATATATATATATATATATATATATATATATATATATATATATATATATCTATATCCAGTCAAAAGTTTGGACACCTACTCAGTTAAGGCTTTTTATTTTATTTTTATTATTTTTTACATTGTAGAATAATAGTGAAGACAAACTTATGAAATAACAAATATGGAATCATGTAGTAACCAAAAAAGTGTTAAACAAATCTAAATGTATTTGAGATTCTTCAAATAGGCACCCTATGCCTTGATGACAGCTTTGCACACTCTTGGAATTCTCTCAACCAGCTTCATGAGGTAGCCACCTGAAATGCATTTCAATTAACAGGTGTGCCTTCATAAAAGTTAATTTGTGGAATTTATTTCCTGCTTAATGCGTTAGAGCTAATCAGTTGTGTTGTGACAAGGTAGGGGGGTATACAGAAGATGGCCCTATTTGGTAAAATACCAAGTTCATATTATGGCAAGAACAGCTCAAATAAGCAAAGAGAAACGACAGTCCATCATTACTTTAAGACATGAAGGTCAGTCAATACGGAACAGTTCAAGAACTTTGAACGTTTCTTTAAGTGCAGTCGCAAAAACCATGAAACGGGTTCTGATGAGGACCGCCACAGGAATGGAAGACCCAGAGTTACCTCTGCTGCAGAGGATCATTTTGTCAGAGTTACCAGCCTCAGAAATTGCAGCCCAAATAAATGCTTCACAGAGTTCAAGTCATAGACACATCTCAACGTCAACTGTTCAGAGGAGACTGCGTGAATCAGGCCTTCATGGTCGAATTGCTGCAAAGAAACCACTACTAAAGGACACCAATAAGAAGAAGAGACCTGCTTGGGCCAAGAAACACGAGCAATGGACGTTAGACCGGTGTAAATTTGTCCTTTGGTCTGGAGTCCAAATTGGAGAATTTTGGTTCCAACCTCAGTGTCTTTGTGAGACGCGGTGTGGGTGAACGTATGATCTCTGCATGTGTATTTCCCATCGTAAAGCATGGAGGAGGAGGTGTTATGGTGTGGGCGTGCTTTGCTGGAGACACTGTCTGTGATCTATTTAGAATTCAAGGCACACTTAACCAGCAATGGCTACCACAGCATTGTGATTGAGAGAATGCCAAGTGTGTGCAAGGCTGCAATCAAGGCAAAGGGTGGCTATTTGAAGAATCTTAAATATATTTTGATTTGTTTAACACTTTTTTGGTTACTACATGATTCCATATGTGTTATTTCATAGTTTTGATGTCTTCACTATTATTCTACAATGTAGAAAATAGTAAAAATAAAGAAACTCTGGAATGAGTAGGTGTCCAAACATTTGACTGGGTGTTTGTGTGTGTGTGTGTGTGTGTGTGTGTGTGTATATACAGTGAGGGGGGAAAAAAGTATTTGATCCCCTGCTGATTTTGTACGTTTGCCCACTGACAAAGAAATGATCAGTCTATAATTTTAATGGTAGGTTTATTTGGACAGTGAGAGACAATAACAACACAAAAATCCAGAAAGACGCATGTCAAAAATGTTATAAATTGATTTGCATTTTAATGAGGGAAATAAGTATTTGACCCCCTCTCAATCAGAAAGATTTCTGGCTCCCAGGTGTCTTTTATACAGGTAACGAGCTGAGATTAGGAGCACACTCTTAAAGGGACTGCTCCTAATCTCAGCTTGTTACCAGTATAAAAGACACCTGTCCACAGAAGCGATCAATCAATCAGATTCCAAACTCTCCACCATGGCCAAGACCAAAGAGCTCTCCAAGGATGTCAGGGACAAGATTGTAGACCTACACAAGGCTGGAATGGGCTACAAGACCATCGCCAAGCAGCTTGGTGAGAAGGTGACAACAGTTGGTGCGATTATTCGCAAATGGAAGAAACACAAAATAACTGTCAATCTCCCTTGGCCTGGGGCTCCATGCAAGATCTCACCTCGTGGAGTTGCAATGATCATGAGAACGGTGATTGAATCAGCCCAGAACTACACGGGAGGATCTTGTCAATGATCTCAAGGCAGCTGGGACCATAGTCACCAAGAAAACAATTGGTAACACACTACGCTGTGAAGGACTGAAATCCTGCAGCGCCCGCAAGGTCCCCCTGCTCAAGAAAGCACATATACAGGGCCGTCTGAAGTTTGCCAATGAACATCTGAATGATTCAGATGAGACCAAAATCGAGCTCTTTGGCATCAACTCAACGCGCCGTGTTTGGAGGAGGAGGAATGCTGCCTATGACCCCAAGAACACCATCCCCACCGTCAAACATGGAGGTGGAAACATTATGCTTTGGGGGTGTTTTTCTGCTAAGGGGACAGGACAACTTCACCGCATCAAAGGGACGATGGACGGGGCCATGTACCGTCAAATCTTGGGTGAGAACCTCCTTCCCTCAGCCAGGGCATTGAAAATGGGTCGTGGATGGGTATTCCAGTATGACAATGACCCAAAACACACGGCCAAGGCATCAAAGGAGTGGCTCAAGAAGAAGCACATTAAGATCCTGGAGGGGCCTAGCCAGTCTCCAGACCTTAATCCAATAGAAAATCTGTGGAGGGAGCTGAAGGTTCGAGTTGCCAAACGTCAGCCCCGAAACCTTAATGACTTGGAGAAGATCTGCAAAGAGGAGTGGGACAAAATCCCTCCTGAGATGTGTGCAAACCTGGTGGCCAACTACAAGAAACGTCTGACCTCTGTGATTGCCAACAAGGGTTTTGCCACCAAGTACTAAGTCATGTTTTGCAGAGGGGTCAAACACTTATTTCCCTCATTAAAATGAAAATCAATTTTTGACATGCGTTTTTCTGGATTTCTTTGTTGTTATTCTGTCTCTCACTGTTCAAATAAACCTACCATTAAACTTTTAGACTGATCATGTCTTTGTCAGTGGGCAAATCAGCAGGGTATCAAATACTTTTTTCCCTCACTGTGTGTATATGTGTGTGTATGTGTATATATTTATATGTATATATTTATATGTATGTATTTGTGTATGTATATCATTTTATTAATCCCCAATAAGGAAACACAAGTATGCGAATGTTCTTCATATCTTCAGCTGAACTGCAGTTGAATCCTCATCACATCTGTCCTCTTCATCCTCTGTCGTCCCCTGCAGAGTACTTCCTGCATTCTGCCAACTCCCACCAGGAGGCGCTAGAGCAGACACTGGTGGCCCTGCAGATGGACCTGGACAAGGACGTCAAGTACTTTGCCAGCGTGCATCCTGGGAGCACTCGCCTCAGCGAGGACGCCATGAGCACCACCTCCTCCACCTACTGAGCCCAGACCACCCCCCTCCCCACAGGTTAGGGGGCAGAGGGCTTGCGGTATGCCCTTTACTGGCACTTCTACTTTTAAACAACCAGAAGGGGAGGACCCATGCATCAACACAACTTGCCCAACGCAGTGCAACACAACTCGACTCAATACAACAGAATTATTTAGTGCTTCGATTTTTATTTTAAATTTTTTTGCCACATAAGCCTTAAGTGTCTTCCTTTAAACTGGAAAATACTTGAATGTCCGGAGTGGATTCAGTGACTAACAAAACGAATGGAAAAAAAACGCACAGGGAACGGAGCTGGACCATTTCTCCCCATCGGTTCCTCCTCTCTCGCGCACGCACTCATCCTCCCCAGACTTAGCGGAAAAGCCAGTATCTCACAAGCTTTATCGAACCACGTAGCAGGACGACTGTCTCCAACTCAAAACGTTTAAACGGTGTAAAGTTTCTGTAATTGCTTTTTCTTTTTGATACTGTATAAATGACTCCTATGCTGCATATAAAAAAGAAAGTCTGTACCATCACAGCCTTCTTCTGTGGGCAGTGTCGGACGTAGCACGTTTTCTCCTACAGGGCTCCGGCTTCCATTGTTTTAACTCTCTAGTGCAGCACATTGTTGTACCCATAGACAGAGGGCCACCCCCTGGCAGACAGGGGTTCCTGTTGTCAATGAAAAATACATGTATTTTTATTAATATTATGGCTGTCCGTTTGCGGCGTTTTAAGTAAACGGAGAGATATCCAATTGTAAAAGGTCAGCACACACTCACTTGAAACGTGGTATTTTAACCTGAGAATAAAATACTGCGACCCCCCCCCCCCCCCCCCCCTATCCAACCCCTTCTGTTCTCCCCTTTGCTTCCCCCCCTCCTCCTCCTCCCTTATACCCTATCTGTACATATCTCAAGGAACTTTTCCATTTTGATCAATGATTATGAATAGTATTGTGATACACATTTTTTTATTTTATTTGTTTTACCTGTCTCAACATTAAATAAAAAGCAGGCACAAATTTGTAGGCGTATTTTGTTTGTGTAAACTGGGATGGGGACTGAGGCTCAGGAACAGATGTTGACTGGAAAACCCCAGTCGCTAAGGTCCGCTGATCACTGAGCTTTCTTCCAATAAAATGTTTATTCTGAAGCATTCTGAGGTTAGAGGTATACTAGAAAGCAGCATCAGTGAGTTAGCCATCTAACTTCAAATATTGTATTTTCATCTGTTTTTAAGCTAGTGTACAAACCAAATGTAAAAGAAGAAAAAACGAAAGAATGGTTAACATAGAAATATAGTGCACATGGAACAGATCTACCGCTTCTTAGACGTGCTTTCAATGAGAATGACAGATCTATAACACACATTTCTATGTGAATTTGGTTGGGTCGCCCAAAAAGTTACATATTGAAGCTCTAAAGTTAATTTGTGTTTTTGGTTGTTGAGCCAACTGGACCATGCCAATTTCAAGCTTATCTAAAAAATTAAAAACATTTTCACAATATTTTGAAGTTAACTGGCTAACTCATTAATCCTGCTTTGTAGTATACCCCTCTGCCACCAGGACAAAATCACATTCTTACAGGTTTGCATGTACATTAAAACACTAACTCACTGTCATTTTCATTAACCAATTGAGCTCGCCAGCTTTTAGTCCTAAAAACCAGAAATGAGTTACCTTTGGTTCGTTCAGCCATTCCTATGGGGAAACAATAGGGTTTTGGAAAAAAACAAGGTCTGACGTTAAGACAGGTTTAGGAGATCATACATGACCAAAAGTATGTGGACACCTGCTTCTCGAACATCTCCAAAATCATGGGCATTAATATGGAGTTGGTCCCCTCTTTGCTGCTATAACAGCCTCCACTCTTCGCGGAAGGCTTTCCCCAAATGTTGGAACATTGCTGCGGGGACTTGGTTCCATTCAGCCACAAGAGCATTAGTGAGGTCGGCACTGATGTTGGGAGATTAGGCCTGGCTCGCAGTCGGCGTTCCAATTCATCCCAAAGGTGTTCGATGGTGTTGAGGTCAGGGCTCTGTGCAGGCCAGTCAAGTTCTTCCACACCAATCTCGACAAACCATTTCTGTATGGACCTCGCTTTGTGCACGGGGCATTGTCATGCTAAAACAGGAAAGGACCTTCCCCAAACTGTTGCCACAAAGTTGGAAGCACAGAATCGTCTAGAATGTAAGTATGCTGTAGCATAAAAGTTCCCTTCACTAGAACTAAGGGGCCTAACCCAAACCATTTTTCCTCCTCCACAAAACTTTACAGTTGGCACTATGCATTGGGGCAGGTAGCGTTCTCCTGAAATCCGCCAAACCCAGATTTGTGTCCATATATGTGTGTGTGTGTGTGTGTGTATATATATATATATTTGTGTACATTTTGTTCTGAGATATCAGTCAGTTAACATGACCTTTATGAATTATGAAGCCTTTTTTTGATCATATAAATGTTTCAAAATTAACAATAATGACATTAACCAATGATTATTTCTTCAGCCTGTGTTTACCACAAACCATGGCGGAGTTAGTGCCTACAAAAAGACCATGACTAGTGCTCTCTCTTCCATTTGCCTAACCCGAACCCTTAATTCATGTCCTTCACAAGATCCATTCCTCCCTGCTTTTACAGCCAACACAATAGCATCGTTGTCCAACGCTGCAACAAGGATGTCTGCCTGCACGCAACCCTGATCGACTGCATTGCAGCAGGTTTGGCTGGCTCGTTATGCCAGGAGTAGACTGGTCACATGACCAGAGCCATCCTCCTGAGACAAAGGCTTCTTTGTGAGGCCTTGGATGTACCCGACCCACACAACACAGCCCACCGGCTATGTGACACAGCAACAGCAACACTCTTCTTCTAGCTACAGGGAAAGTGGGGCGAACTGATTGGGACACCTGGGTTGTGTGGTAAATGGGTTCAGAACGCCCAGGATGAAAAGGAACTGTCAGGCATCTCTTGTAGAAATCAAATGCTCCTGTGGGGAAACTGTTAGTGTAGAAATGAGAATTTATTTATTTATTACATTTGACATAAAACATTATTTTACTGTTTGCATTTTTCCTTAGTACCTCACTGCTTCCATAAACCACATTGCTCCACTTCTGTACCAAATAACCAACATTATCTGTTTCACGAGACCCACTCGCTGCACGACAACTCTATAAATACTTGACAGTTCATCAAGCAAATAAGCAATGTGAGACAGTGAACCAGCACAAGAAAGCAAGAACACAAACACGTAAATGAAACAAGTAGATTGAATGTTGGACATATGACCTCTACCAGACCAATAAAGTTGGGGAAAGACGTTGCAGTAATGTTTTTGCTGCTCTCTGCCAGCCTCTGTGGCCCTAATTGAAACCAAATGTTGCAGACCTTTAATGAGCATTGCTAAAGACATGAAGAACAGGGAATAAACCCAGAGGGCTCGTGCAATAACAACTGGATTCCTCTGTGACACGACTTACAGTACACCTAAGAGTGGAACACAATCCTGGCCAGAACCAGATCACACCAGACGACCTTTAGAACAATCAACTGTTTCCATTCTGGAGTGTGCATGGTAAGTGTAATATTCAGTCAAACAATATACTTGCGCTGGAATAATAGGATTTAAAATAATGTTTACAGTATAAAACAAAAATCAACCTAATTGCGCCTATAAAACCAAACCTGCTGTCTGTGAAAGGCTGGCCATCAGTTTTGATTGAATAGGGCCGTCGCTTCTTAAAATAACGTACACTACATGGCCAAAAGTATCTGGACACCCCTTCAAATTAGTGGATTCGGCTATTTCAGCCACACCCGTTGCTAACAGGTGTATAAAATTGAGCACACAGCCATGCAATCACCATAGATAAACAATGGCAGTAGAATGGCCCGTACTGAAGAGCTCAGTGACTTTCAACGTGGCACCGTCATAGGATGCCACCTTTCCGGACAAGTCAGTTCGTCAAATGTATGTCCTGCTAGAGCTGCCCCGGTCGACTAAGTGCTGTTATTGTGAAGTGGAAAAGTCTAGCTGCAACAACGGCTCAGCCATGAAGTGGTAGGCCACACAAGCTCACAGAAAGGGACCGCTGAGTGCTGAAGCGTGTAAAAATAATCTGTCCTCGGATGCAACACTTCCTCTGGAAGTAACATCAGCACAAGAACTGTTCGTCAGGAGATTCATGAAATAGGTTTCCATGTCCGAGCAGCCACACACAAGCCTAATATCACCATGTACAATACCAAGCGTCGGCTGGAGTGGTGTAAAGCTCGCCGCCATTGGACTCTGGAGCAGTGGAAACGTTCTCTGGAGTGATGACTCACGCTTCACCATCTGGCAGTCCAACGGACTAATCTGGGTTTGGCGGATGCCAGGAGAACGCTACCTGCCCCAATGCATAGCACCAACTGTAAAATTTGGTGGAGGAGGAATAATGGTCAGGGGCTGTTTTTCATGGTTCGGGCTAGGCCCCTTAGCTCCAGTGAAGGGAAATCTTAACGCTAAAGCAAACAATGACATTCTAGATGATTCTGTGCTTCCAACTTTGTGGCAACAGTTTGGGGAAGGCCCTTTCCCAGTTTCAACATGACAATGCCCCCAAGAACAAAGCGAGGTCCATACAGAAATGGTTTGTCGAGATCGTTGTGGAAGAACTTGACTGGCCTGCACAGAGCCCTGACCTCAACCCCATCGAACACCTTTGGGATGAATTGGAACGTCGACCGCGAGCCAGGCCTAATTGCCCAACATCAGTGCCCGACCTCACTAATGCTCTTGTGGCTGAATGGAAGCAAGTCCTTGCAGCAATGTTCCAACATCTAGTGAAAAGCATTCCCAGAAGAGTGGAGGCTGTTATAGCAGCAAAGGGGGGAACCAACTCCATATTAATGCCCATGATTTAGAATGACGTGTTCGACGAGCAGGTGTCCACATACATTTGGCCATGTAGCGTATGTTATATAGCTAACGATGATACAAAAACTGTATTTACTATGATTGTCCATTACAACAAAAATAAAATGCCATTTCACTACAGATTTGATAACATTGATTGCTTGTCTTTACGCGGCTATAAAAAAACTATTTGTCATAGTGACCCTTTCAGCATTAACTATATGAGAAAATATAAAACAATCCATATATTTATTGCTAGAGAATCTATATAACATATAAAAACAAATTTAAGAGCAAAAATAATTAGTAAGGGCTAATATTTTACATCACAATATGGAAACATTTTACAAAAGGCAGAGGCACAAGTTATCTTCCTCAGTCAACCTCATCCCATCTGCTATTGCAGACAGTGCCCCCTTTTGGCAGTTTGAGCACAGTACCCTAACGTGGCTTGTCCCATTGGCTTTCATTAGAACAGGCAGTTCATGCACTTGACGGCTTTGCTGCCGTAGTCGAGGCACTCTGGGCCGATGCACTCACAGCAGGCATTGTGGAACCAGCGGTACTTGGAGCCGCCCATGGACTCGCAGTACTGCTTGCACTGGCGGATGGACACGCAGTCGTCAAAGTACACCACAGTGCACATGTTATCTGTGGAGTGGAAAAAACGTGGAGAAATAAGCCTTTGAATACCAAAGAATACAACAGGCAAATATTAGCAATAACATGCTTAAGCTATATATTGTAGTCTTCACTTTAATATTATGAAGGTACTCTAAAGCACAAAGGAAGCAAAGTCCTGTTAGTCCACCTCTACTATGTTATGTATCAATCCCAGTATTTATTTAAATGTTTCATAAAACAAAAGTCCACCTCTACCATGTGACCTACCAGGGTTTGAACCCAGGTCTCCTATGTGCCACAAGTCTGTGTTAGCCAGCTGAGCTAAAGCCTAGCAGAGCCTAATCACTTGTTACACATGCATCATCCATACTACGCTAAAGGATGGCATGCGTGCAGCTTGATTTACAGCCCCACACCCATCCCACCTCATAAGGCGAGGGCATCCCCCGCCGCTGGAGGCCTGATTAATGAGTGTGTGTTTCCAAAGGGAAAACAGATCTGGGTCAAGGGTTCAGAGAGCGGATACGTAAGGAGCCCTCGCCCACACAGACACGCAGGTTCCTAGTCAATTAGAATCACTAGGACAAGGGGCTGAGGAGAGGACAACTGGAGCGGATGCACATGAAAGTCCACCAGGCCAGCAGCAATCTACTCATAATAATTTACAGGGCTGCTTGGTTTTCTAATAGCGGTCCGCTAAAAGCATCAAAAGAAAGCGAAGGCCCTGAGATCTCATAAGCTTTTATGGAGGGGGTCGAGCCACTGAGCTCAGTTCAAAGCAGCATTAGCCATGAGTTCATTATAGCTTAGCCCTCCCCCTCCTAAAACAATATGGTCCCTGCCAGGGGGATGAGTTATTGACTCCTGGGGGTTCCTAAAATAGTGTGTTGGAACAAAGTCCATATCTTTAACACTTATGGGGTTGCCCAATCTGCCCAGGTTAATACCCCTAAAGCCAATTGGGCTGTCCTGATTTGTTATGGGATATATATATATATATATATACACAGTGCATTCGGAATGTATTCAGACCCCTTGAATTTTTCCACATTTTGCCTTATTCTAAAATTTAGTTAAAAAAAAGGTCAATCTACACACAATAACCAATAATGACAAAGCAAAAACAGGTTTTTAGAAATTCTTGCACATTTAATAAAATGATAAAACTGATATTACATTTACATAAATATTCAGACCCTTTACTCAGTACTTTGTTGAAGCACCTTTGGCAGCGATTCTAGCCGAGTCTTCTTGGGTATGATGCTACAAGCTTGGCATTTGGGAAGTTTCTCCCATTCTTCTCTGCAGATCCTCTCAAGCTCTGTCAGGTTGGATGGGGAGCGTCACATCACAGCTATTTTCAGGTCTCTCCAGAGATGTTCGATCGGGTTCAAGTCTGGGCTCTGGCTGGGCCACTCAAGGACATTCAGAGACTTGTCCCGAATCCACTCCTGTGTTGTCTTGGCTGTGTGCTTAGGGTCGCTGTCCTGTTGGAAGGTGAACCTTTGACCCAGTCTGAGGTCCTGAGCGCTCTGGAGCAGGTTTTCATCAAGGATCTCTCTGTACTTTGCTCCATTCATCTTTCCCTCGATCCTGACTAGTCTGAAAAACATCCCCACAGCATGATGCTGCCACCACCATGCTTCACCGTAGGGATGGTGCCAGGTTTCCTCCAGACGTGACGCTTGGCATTCAGGCCAAAGAGTTCAATCTTGGTTTCATCAGACCAAAGAATCTTATTTCTCATGGTCTGAGAGTCTTTAGGTGACTTTTGGCAAACTCCAAGCAGGCTGTCGTGTGCCTTTTACTGAGGAGTTGCTTCTGTCTTGCCACTCTACCATATAGGCCTGATTGGTGGAGTGCTGCAGAGATGGTTGTCCTTCTGGAAGGTTCTATCTCCATAGAGGAACTCTGGAGCTCTGTCAGAGTGACCATCGGGTTCTTGGTCAAATCCCTGACCAAGGCCCTTCTCCCCAGATTGCTCAGTTTGGCCGGGCGGCCAGCTCTAGGAAGAGACTTGGTGGTTCCAAACTTCTTCCATTTAAGAATGATGGAGGCCACTGTGTTCTTAGGGACCTTCAATGCTGCAGACATTTTTGGGTACCCTTCCCCAGATCTGTGCCTCGACACAATCCTGTTTCGGAGCTCTACGGACAATTCCTTCGACCTCATGGCTTGGTTTTTGCTCTGACATGCACTGTCAACTGTGGGACCTTATATAATAATAATAATAATAATAATATGCCATTTAGCAGACAGGTGTGTGCCTTTCTAAATCATGTCCAATCAATTGAATTTACCACAAGTTGACTCCAATCAAGTTGTAGAAACATCTCAAGGATGATCAATGGAAACAGGATGCACCTGAGGTCAATTTCGAGTCTCATAGCAAAGTGTCTGAAGACTTACGTAAATAAGGTATTTCTGTTTTTAATTTTTTATAAATTAGCAAAAATGTCTAAAAACCTGTTTTCACTTTGTCATTATGGGTTATTGTGTGTAGATTGATGAGGAACTTTTTTTATTTAATCCATTTTAGAATAAGGCTGTAATGTAACAAAATGTGGAAAAAGGGAAGGGGTCTGAATACTTTCCGAATGCACTGTGTGTGTGTGTGTGTGTATACAGTGGGGGAAAAAAGTATTTAGTCAGCCACCAATTGTGCAAGTTCTCCCACTTAAAAAGATGAGAGAGGCCTGTAATTTTCATCATAGATACACGTCAACTATGACAGACAAATTGAGGAAAAAAAATCCAGAAAATCACATTGTAGGATTTTTAATGAATTTATTTGCAAATTATGGTGGAAAATAAGTATTTGGTCAATAACAAAAGTTTCTCAATACTTTGTTATATACCCTTTGTTGGCAATGACACAGTCAAAAGTTTTCTGTAAGTCTTCACAAGGTTTTCACACACTGTTGCTGGTATTTTGGCCCATTCCTCCATGCAGATCTCCTCTAGAGCAGTGATGTTTTGGGGCTGTCGCTGGGCAACACGGACTTTCAACTCCCTCCAAAGATTTTCTATGGGGTTGAGATCTGGAGACTGGCTAGGCCACTCCAGGACCTTGAAATGCTTCTTACGAAGCCACTCCTTCGTTGCCCGGGCGGTGTGTTTGGGATCATTGTCATGCTGAAAGACCCAGCCACGTTTCATCTTCAATGCCCTTGCTGATGGAAGGAGGTTTTCACTCAAAATCTCACGATACATGGCCCCATTCATTCTTTCCTTTACACGGATCAGTCGTCCTGGTCCCTTTGCAGAAAAACAGCCCCATAGCATGATGTTTCCACCCCCATGCTTCACAGTAGGTATGGTGTTCTTTGGATGCAACTCAGCATTCTTTGTCCTCCAAACACGACGAGTTGAGTTTTTACCAAAAAGTTATATTTTGGTTTCATCTGACCATATGACATTCTCCCAATCCTCTTCTGGATCATCCAAATGCACTCTAGCAAACTTCAGACGGGCCTGGACATGTACTGGCTTAAGCAGGGGGACACGTCTGGCACTACAGGATTTGAGTCCCTGGCGGCGTAGTGTGTTACTGATGGTAGGCTTTGTTACTTTGGTCCCAGCTCTCTGCAGGTCATTCACTAGGTCCCCCCGTGTGGTTCTGGGATTTTTGCTCACCGTTCTTGTGATCGATCATTTTGACCCCACGGGGTGAGATCTTGCGTGGAGCCCCAGATCGAGGGAGATTATCAGTGGTCTTGTATGTCTTCCATTTCCTAATAATTGCTCCCACAGTTGATTTCTTCAAACCAAGCTGCTTACCTATTGCAGATTCAGTCTTCCCAGCCTGGTGCAGGTCTACAATTGTGTTTCTGGTGTCCTTTGACATCTCTTTGGTCTTGGCCATAGTGGAGTTTGGAGTGTGACTGTTTGAGGTTGTGGACAGGTGTCTTTTATACTGATAACAAGTTCAAACAGGTGCCATTAATACAGGTAATGAGTGGAGGACAGAGGAGTCTCTTAAAGAAGAAGTTACAGGTCTGTGAGAGCCAGAAATCTTGCTTGTTTGTAGGTGACCAAATACTTATTTTCCACCATAATTTGCAAATAAATTCATAAAAAATCCTTCAATGTGATTTTCTGGATTTTTTTTTCTCAATTTGTCTGTCATAGTTGACGTGTACCTATGATGAAAATTACAGGCCTCATCTTTTTAAGTGGGAGAACTTGCACAATTGGTGGCTGACTAAATACTTTTTTCCCCCACTGTATGTATATATATATATATATATATATATATATATATATATATATATATATACACACACACACACACACACACACACACACACACTACCGGTCAAAGAACAGCTACTCATTCAAGGGTTTTTCTTTATTTTTACTATTTTCTACATTGTAGAATAATAGTGAAGACATCAAAACTATGAAATAACACATATGGAATCATGTAGTAACCAAAGAAATGTTAAAACAAATCAAAATCTATTTTATATTTGAGATTATTCAAATAGCCACCCTTTGCCTTGATGACAGCTTTGCACACTCTTGGCATCCTCTCAACCAGCTTCATGAGGGAGTCACCTGGAATGCATTTCAATTAACAGGTGTGCCTTCTTAAAAGTTAATTTGTGAAATTTCTTTCCTTCTTAATGCGTTTGGGCCAATCAGTTGTGTTGTGACAAGGTAGGGGGGGTATACAGAAGATATCCCTATTTGGTAAAATACCAAGTCCATATCTATATCTATATATATATGCAATAATGACCGAGGAGGTGTGGTATATGGCATGACGCAACATTAGCTGTGGAATATTGGCCATATACCACAAACACCTGAGGTATCTTATTGCTATTATAAACTGGTTACCAACGTAATTAGAACAGTAAAAATATGATTTCAGCCAATCGACATTCAGGGCACAACCCACCCAGTTTTTTATATATATATATATATATATATATATATATATATATATATATATATATATATACACACATACACACACTCATATATAATAGTATATTGCAATGTGGAATCTTCAGAGTCTGTTTTGCTGATGAACTAAGTTTAATACTTTGATAACAGGCACCTGCACAAGACTGTATGATGTGCCTATGTTTTATTTATTATCTTATTATCAAATGAGTACACCACAGCTATTAGTATCCCCATAATTCAACCCCCTCACCCCTCCCTACCTTCAGTACTTTGGGTGTTATCGTAGCTGGCGTGGATACTGTTCCCAGGCAGGGAGACATTTTGGTGCTGGTCCTCGATGGTCTCCAGAAAAGACACCAGGTTCTCGTGGTAAGATAGTTCCTCTGCCACTGGGAAGGATACCACCATCATGTTGATGGGCGCTTCACCCTCGGTGAGGGCGCGGAACAGTGAGGGGATGGGTCGGTAGAGTTCCTCCACCGTGCTCTTGGAGGTAGCCGGAGTGTCGCTGTAGTTCCTGGGGTTACACATCCCTGTGAGGGGAGGCAGGAAGCAAGTTAGTAAATATTGATCAATGGCAAATAAATACAACATTACAGTAAACCACTATTCTTCTCTTTGTTCATTTGATACTCAATATTCACTGCACTTTGTAAAATCTGATGGATGCAATACTTTCAACAATCAGTGAATAATGGACATTGACGTGGAAGGATCTGATGGATGCAATACCATCCTCATTAACCCCATCCAGTCTGACACCTCGTTAACCCCATCCAGTCTGACACCTTGTTAACCCCATCCAGTCTGACACCTCATTAACCCCATCCAGTCTGACACCTCATTAACCCCATCCAGTCTGACACCTCGTTAACCCCATCCATTCTGACACCTCATTAACCCCATCCAGTCTGACACCTAATTAACCCCATCCAGTCTGACACCTCATTAACCCCATCCAGTCTGACACCTCATTAACCCCATCCAGTCTGACACCTCATTAACCCCATCCAGTCTGACACCTCATTAACCCCATCCATTCTGCCACCTCATTAACCCCATCCATTCTACCACCTCATTAACCCCATCCATTCTGCCACCTCATTAACCTCCTCTAATCTGACACCGGTTCTTTCCAATATGCTCACCACCGCACCTAGTCCATGGCACCTACCCACACAGTCGCAGCATTCCTCCCACAGTGTGCCCAGACAGAGCATACACTCCTTACAGCACGAGCAGTTCCCATCTGAGGGCCTGCACTGACACAGCTCCTGTACATCACAAAACACACAATGGAAACCATAACATGGACACATTTTATGTACGCGGCAGGACTGATAATGCACAAATAGGAGAGAAATTCAGCAACAGCAATTGCATACATCTGGTATAATCCTTCTATCATGTTGTGCACATGTGTGTAAACACTCAGACAATGCAGTAGCCTCAGTCAGACTTCAGTCGTAACATGAGGAGGACAAAAACTACATAAGAGGGTTTATTTATCTTGGTGTGTATCGAGCACGTCATGGTTGATACAACGCCAAGAAAATAAACCATATCATATCCTATCCCTATTTAGAAATCACTAGGGGGAGGATGTGTGTGTGCGTGCCTGTGTTTGTGTGTTTTACTGTGCATGCTTGAGGTTTCCACCGGAGTTTGTGGGCCGACCTCAAGTTGCCTGTTCTGTGACTCCTCCAGTGTGGCAGGCAGAGCAGTTGAAAGGGAGAGTAGAGGTCAAATTCCAGATGTGCAAAGGGATGGCGCTAACTGAGCCCACAGTCAAGTGTGGTTGTTGCAGCACCTTGCCTGACGACTCAAACTGAATTATTCCGCTGCCCCCTCACTCTGAGGGGTGTTGTACAAAACAAAGTAATCAGCGATTGGACAATTTCTAACCACTCAGAGTATCAAAGCCAATGACACATTTTCTAAACGCTGCTTTACCCACGTGTGTTCTAGCTCTGGCCCAACCCATCGGTTTCTGGGACCAATCGGAACAGTTAGAATGTGTTTTGCGTTCTAGAAATCGTTGGGGAAGTACTCCAGACTCATTGTGGAGAAGAAACTAAAGTCTGTGGCGTAGCGTTTGGCCGGAGCAAGGAGTTTGGGTAGCCAGGCAAGGCAGCACCAGTAACCACGGAAGGTACACATATCTATCTCCATTGGCTATCTCATGTACAGCCAAGGTAGACTAGGATACATCCTTTGAGGACACTGTGCGGCTGTAAATTGAAAACCTTCACTTGATTGTAGCCCTGCCAACTCAGAAGTTTTCATTTTTAGTAACTCCCCTCTCTGTTAGTTGAGGGTTCTCAGCAGGGCTTTCTTTAGCTTACAGGAACTGTCATGGTTTAATGTGCTTTTCCAGTACAGAGAGAATACTTTGATCACAGCAGAGAATTCAGGTTATTGTAAAATGACTTCAGACATACACTGAGGAAATGCATAGTGGGAGGTTAATGCAATCTTAGATTAACACCAAGGAATAAAATGTTGGCATAATACACTGTATGGCAGTCGAACATTCCTCGGAAAAGACAACGATCCCTTATAGAAATTGCATAGAATTATCTCAAAGTGACTTAGAAACAGAAACATTTTATTGGTGAGAAAAACCTAATGCCTTTTCAAAAACGTCATACTAAGCCTTAGCCTTCTTACCTGAATTATGTCTTTTCAAAAACATTATGCTAAGAGTTAGCCTTCTTACCTGAATGAGACATTTGCTGACATCACTGGCACAGAGAGCCTTGTTGCAAGCTGTGGTCATGGAAAGTCCCGAGAGAAGCAAAATAAGTGCAGTGGATAGTAAGATTTGAGTAGACTTCATTCCGACACGCACGAAACAACGGTAACCTGAACCGACAAAACAGAGACAGACAATAACTTAGGACGTACCCCTTATTCAATAAGATAACATCAACACAAGACGTCATCAGGACACAATGAACATACTAATAAAACACAGGAAAAGTCGTGTCAAGGAACTATCCCTTGGATTCAATTGTTATGGTAAATTGCCCGCTTGCTTCAAAGGAGCATCATTCCTTTTCTACACAAACCACAAGTCATCAGACCCATTGCAATGCAAAAAAAACATTGGTTTCCCGCTTGCTGGCAACTCAATTCTAATAAAGGTTGCTGCGCACTTTCATCTAAAAATCGGAATATATTTAAAATCCATGTTCAAACGTTGTATACCTATTACGGTAGTCTAATTCAATAATACCATGTTAATCATTGAAGTAGTGCAACACTAAGACTTCAGGGTCACATAAGGAAGGAATGTTACATTTTATCCTACATTTAAACACTTTGGATACATTGTATGAAAAGTCGGACACTTTTCAGGCGGCGTTTATGAACGAGCCTCGTGTTTTGGAGAGGCAAATAGGCTACCCAAAGCTATAAATACCTTTTCTCAACATGAACTAACCGGGAAGAAAGAAGGATGGACTTTTTCTGTCTTGGTAAAGAACGCACACCAAGGAATCATAGAAGTAGTAATCAAACTTACCTGCCCAAATAGTCGATTCTTGCTCCAGAGGTGAAAGCTTCTTACCTCTTTGTTTACATATACTTTTCTGAATTAAAGCATGTCCTGATGGCGTGACTCTCCCCTCTGGCTACACAAAGCAGACAGTGGTAAGAAAGCGCCTTAAAGATACAGTTCCCATTTCAGGCTGCAGACACAGTTGCCCCGCAGCTCAGGTGAACCCGAGCCAAGACAACTCTGTCTGCTGGCATCATAAGATATGCCATTTCTACTTGTGTGCTGATCTGATTTGTTTCGCAATATTCCACTGACCTGATTTATTAGCTTATTACTTAGTAAATAGTAGCAACCATTTTGAAAGATAATTCTAATCAATTCACAGATCACATTCACTGATAATAATAGCCAGAAGAGGACTGGACACCCATCTGAGTCTGGTTCCTTTCTAGGTTTCTTTCTACTCTGCTTCTGCTTCTACTTCTGCTTCTGCGTCTGCTTCTACTGTTGCTTCTGCTTCTGCATTGCTTGCTCTTGGCTTGGTATCTGTTAAGCACTTTGCAACTGCTGATGTAAAAAGGGCTTTATAAAATAAACGTAATGACCAATGATATTATTAATTCTGTAAGCAAGGTAGTCCCCTGTAGCTCAGTTGGTAGAGCATGGCGCTTACAACGGCAGGGTTGTGGGTTCGTTTACCACGGGGGACCAGTATGAAAAATGTATGCACTCACTAACTGTAAGTCGCTCTGGATAAGAGCGTCTGCTAAATGACGTAAATGTATATAAAAGTCATAGATTGCAATATTGAGTAATTCAATTGCAAATTATAGACTATGAATGAATAACTGGAGATTTCATGATGCATTGCAAATAGAGATGAAAGAAAACTAGGTTACTTTGGTTTACTTTAGGGCGTTCTATTAAATTTTTTTAAACTGTTACATTGTTGCCCCCTTTGTACGCAGTAGCTGCAACATTGCAACACTTTATCGCAATGTATCGTTAGATAAAGAAAATGCCACTCACGGGATTCCGTAGGCAAACACTGATGACGAAAAGGTCTCCTGAAACCAGTAACGCTAGCATTCAGAGCCATCTACAGCAACATCTCACTATATTTTAGTCAGCAGTATCTTTAATACTCATCTTTGAATTACATTGTCGCTAGTGGGGACCAGATGGCTGCGAAAATCAACGAGGCGCACGACCACATTGCCAAGGCTGAAAAATAGTAAGGAAATCTTGCTAGCTAGATGACGTTAGCTAGCTAGCTGAATTGCTTTTGACCATTTTATTACAGTAGGTAGCCAGTATCATAGTATAAACAAGTCTATATTGTAAATATACCTATTTACAACACAAATAGGAAGGGAGTTGTATTTCTAGTTAATCATATGCTATTTAGCTAGCTAGCACTCTAGACAGGATTGGAAGCCAGTTGAGCTGGCTGGCTAGCCTCTGCCAACACTGCAGTTATGCCTGACAGTATCACTGCAGAAATAATAGGACGTCTACACCTGTATTAAACCCTATGGTAAATCCATATGAGACAACCCTGGTGTTATGTTTTCACTGAATATAATGCATTTTCCCCCCACAGTTTAAGGACCAGCTTCATGAAATGGAAGCCTGACTATGACAGTGCTGCGTCAGAGTACTCAAAAGCAGGTATTGTATTTCAAAGGCTATTTATTACATTATTCAATACACCAACAATTTTGACCTGAATACATGTCCCCTACTACAACGACTGGTGAGCACTAGCCAAGTAAAACTAAACTCCACGATATACTTAACATCATAATACTGACAGTGCGCTATTTATTGCCCAACTAGCCAAGTAAAACTAAACTCCACAATGTACTTCACATCAACAGAGTTGAGCGGTGACTTTTATTTATTTTTAAACTACAGATTTCATCACCCAAAGAATAGCCCGCAATTACAGGGGACAATGTGCCGTGAAATTGTGGGCTATTTTTTGGGTGCTGAAGTCCGTACGTTTTTTAAAATAAAACCTTTATTTTATGTGACGTCGACGCTCCAGTCCCTGCACACTCGTCTCCGCTCAACTCTGTTGATGTGAAGTACATTGTGGAGTTGAGTTTAACATGGCTAGTTGGGCAATAAATAGCGCACTGTCAGTATTATGATGTGAAGTACATTGTGGAGTTGAGTTTTACTTGGCTAGATTGCACTTAGTGTTGCTCAGGTTGTCATATGATGTAGCTTATTATGTATTATAAACTGGGTGGTTCGAGCACTGAATGCTGATTGACTGACAGCCATGGTATATCAGAGGTATACCACAGGTATGACTAAACATTTCTTTTTACAGCTCTAATTACGTTCCAACCAGTTTATAATAGCAATAAGGCACCTCAGGGATTTGTGATATATGGGGAATATCAGGGGCGCAACTTTGGTTTAAGAAGTGGGGGGAACATAATAATAATAATAATTGTATTTTCCAGTCGGATAAACACTCCAAACAGCATACCCGACCGCTCAGAGGCGTCCACATGTTCCTAAAGCACACCGTTGGCTCGTTTTGTATCACATTCCAATGATAAAACTGGGGGGACAATAATACAATTTCAGAATGTGTGGGGGACATGTCCCCTGTCCCCAGTGAAAGTTGCGCCCCTGGCTAATATACCATGGCTAAGGGCTGTATCCAGGCACTCTGCGTTGTGTCGTACATAAGAACAGCCCTTAGCCGTGGTATATTGGCCATATACCACACCCCGCCGGGCCTTATTTCTTAATTCTAAATGCATAATGAAGCGTTCCCTCCTCCATCTTCCAGCTGTTGCCTTTAAAAATGCCAAGATGCTTGAAGAAGCAAAGGAGGCATACCTGCAAGAGGCAGAGGCCCATACCAACAACAAAACGTATCCTTCCACTGCTCACTTCTAATAGTGGGCTAGGCTTATCACCCAACTTTAATGACCATGAATGCTTTCGCAGTATTCTTGGAAATCCCAGGCCTAGGGCATTGTTAATGTGGGAGGCAACCCGTCTGCCTAGGGAGACTAATTTCACAGGGTTGTTTGGCAGTTATGTAGGGGTTTTATATGCTGCATTTGAACAACATTGACTACAAATCTCATATAAACATCAATGTTTTCTTTAACTTAACTAAATGTTCAGACTATTCCATGCTGCCAAGTGAGTATGAAAGATCTGTCTCATGTAATGCTATTAATAGAAACCAGGTGATGTACAGTTGAAGTCGGAAGTTTACATACACTTAGGTTGGAGTCATTAAAACTTGTTTTTCAACCACTCCACAAATTTCTTGTTAACCAACTATAGTTTTGGCAAGTCGGTTAGGACATCTATTTTGTGCATGACACAAGTAATTTTTCCAACAATTGTTTACAGACAGATTATTTCACTTATAATTCACTGTATCACAATTCCAGTGGGTTTACATACACTAAGTTGACTGTGCCTTTCAATTGTAGACCTCCACAAGTCTGGCTCATCCTTGGGAGCATTTTCCAAACGACTGAAGGTACCATGTTCATCTGTACAAACAATAGTATGCAAGTATAAACACCATGGGACGACGCAGCCGTCATACCGCTCAGGAAGGAGACTCGTTCTGTCTCCTAGAGATTACTTTGGTGCAAATCAAGCCCAGAACAACAGCAAAGGACCTTGTGAAGATGCTGGAGGAAACAGGTACAAAAGTATCTATATCCACAGTAAAACAAGTCCTATATCGACATAACCTGAAAGGCCGCTCAGCAAGGAAGAAGCCACTGCTCCAAAACCGCCATAAAAAAGACATTACGGTTTGCAACTGCACATGGGGACAAAGATCGTACTTTTTGGAGAAATGTCCTCTGGTCTGATGAAACAAAAATAGAACTGTTTGGCCATAACGACCATCGTTATGTTTGGAGGAAAAAGGGGGATGATTGCAAGCCGAAGAACACCATCCCAACTGTGAAGCACGGGGGTGGCACCATCATGCTGTGGGGGTGCTTTGCTGCAGGGGGGACTGGTGCACTTCACAAAATAGATGGCATCATGAGGAAGGAAAATTATGTGGATATATTGAAGCAACATCTCAAGACATCAGTCAGGAAGTTAAAGCTTGGTCGCAAATGGGTCTTCCAAATGGACAATGACCCCAAGCATACTTCCAAAGTTGTGGCAAAATGGCTTAAGGACAACAAAGTCAAGGTATTGGAGTGGCCATCACAAAGCCCTGACCTCAATCCTATAGAACATTTGTGGGCAGAACTGAAAAGGCGTGTGCGAGCAATGAGGCCTACAAACCTGACTCAGTTACACCAGCTCTGTCAGGAGGAATGGGCCAAAATTCACCCAACTTATTGTGGGAAGCTTGTGGAAGGCTACCCGAAACGTTTGACCCAAGTAAAAAAATGTAAAGGCAATGATACCAAATACTAATTGAGTGTATGTAAACTTCTGACCCACTGGGAATGTGATGAAATAAATAAAAACTGAACTAAATCATTCTCTCTACTATTATTCTGACATTTCACATTCTTAAAATAAAGTGGTGATCCTAACTGACCTAAGACAGGGCATTTTTACTAGGATTAAATGTCAGGAATTGTGAAAAACTGAGTTTAAATGTATTTGGCTAAGGTGTATGTAAACTTCCGACTTCAACTGTACAATAGAGACCTGGTTTGTCTACTTGTGACTGTATTGGTCGTTGCTAATGAGCCGTTTCTGTTGCAGAGCACTTGAGGCAGCTGGTATGATGCTTAAGGTTAGTGTTAATGTGATAAACAGTATCGACACTCATACATTTTTATCAGAGGTCAGATCAAATTTGCTGTTATCTTTATTCCATAGTTTTAAATCTTTGTTGCTCACTTCAGGATTAAAGCCATTGTTGTTAGTCAGACATTTTTGACACGACTAATGTTTTAGTTTTACTATTAATTGGCTGCGGAAGCTAATCATTGATAGACACTCCTGTTTCTCTCCAGGACATGCAGAGGATACCAGAGGCTATCCAGTATATTGAGAGAGCAAGCATGATGTATGTAGAGAACGGCACACCGGACACTGCAGCCTTGGCCCTCGACAGAGCTGGAAAGTACGTAGCCAATATTGATCATCATAGATGGGCTCTAGAAATGAAATCCCTGTCAACATTGGCATGTCACTAAACATATTGATGATGCTTGTTTTTATTCGTTGTTTTGATGCTTTGGCTACTTTAAAAAATGCTTAGGCTACTTTCTTTTTTTAGGCTAATCGAATCACAGGATCTAGCAAAAGCAGTGGATCTGTACCAGAAAGCTGCATCAGTGTTTGAGGTACAGTGCTATATGAGTTCAATATTTGATACTACAGAAGACCAGAAATCATTGTGTTGCTTCCATGCCACTACCTCGGTTCAGGGTCACATTTGTAGGGATCTCACGTACTGCATGGCCTATTAATACAGTCCTATTTGAGATTTGATATTGGATACATTATAATGTTATAACGGTAATGCAATGTGATCAAATCAATTGAAGTAGTATTGATATGGTGAATGTATATTTCTGCAGAATGAGGACCGTCTACGTCAAGCTGTAGAGATGCTGGGGAAATCATCAAGACTGCTCGTCAGGCAACACAAGTCAATTCTCACTTGCTTTACAGATTTTTCTACCTCTCCTACTCATTCCCTACCCGCTAACTGTTGGTGTTTTTGTCCGTCAGGCTTGATGAAGCAGCAGTGTCGATTCAAAAGGAGAAGAACATGTATAAAGAAATAGAGAATTACCCAACGTGTTTTAAGGTGCGTTTTACTTATTTAACCTAATAAAGAACATTGACTGTGTGTTGAAACCAAATGGTTGCCTGTGTATTTGCTTATCTCCAGAAAACCATTGCCCAAGTGCTAGTCCACCTTCACAGAAATGACTTCGTAGCAGCAGATAAATGTGTTCGAGAGAGTTACAGGTACTAACTTCACATTTTTCTAATTAAGCAATAAGGTTAGAGGGGGTGTGGTATATGGCCAATATACCCCGGCTAGGGCTGTTCTTAGGCAGTGCCTGGATACAGCCCTTAGCCATAGTATATTGGCCATATACCACAAACCCCCGAGGTGCCTTATTGCTATTATAAACTGGTTACCAACGTAATTAGAGCAGTAAAAATTTTTTTTTTGTCATAGCCGTGGTATACGGTCCGATATACCACGGCTATCAGCCAATCAGGGCTCGAACCAATCCAGTTTATAATGAAAGATAAATATGAAAGTAATTGTTATGAGTGTTGTTATATTTGACTAACCATTCTAACCTTTGCCCCTAGTCTGCCAGGCTTCAATGGGAGCGAGGACTGTATTGGCTTGGAGCAGCTCTTACAGGGCTACGACGAGCGGGATGAGGAACAAGTGCAGCGCGTCTGTAACTCGCCCTTATTCAAGTACATGGACAACGATGTGAGTGTGCTGCCTACAGCCTAATATGTAACCAACGTTCACTTTCGAAGCATGTCATCGCAAGTTTTGAGTGTCTACTTTTTAAATTGGTGTTCAGGGGTGTATTCATTAGTTGGATTCCGTTGCGAAACGGTTTTGCAAAACGGCAAAAAAAATTTGCAACAGAAACCGTTTACTCTCTAGGAAATGGGGAGAGACCTTCCTGAATTTGTCTAATAGAAACACTTGTTTTTGTTGCAAAACATTTTCCTTTGGAGTAAACGGTTTCCATTGCAAAATGTTTTGCAACAGAATCCGATTAATGAATAAACCCCTCTTTACTGTCTCCTTTGATTGCGTTTAAGGACTTTAAAAGGTATGGAATCATGAGCTGTCCTTTCCATATGATACAGTGGGGGAAAAAAGTATTTAGTCAGTCACCAATTGTGCAAGTTCTCCCACTTAAAAATATGAGAGAGGCCTGTAATTTTCATCATAGGTACACGTCAACTATGACAGACAAAATGAGAAAAAAAAATCCAGAAAATCACATTGTAGGATTTTTAATGAATTTATTTGCAAATTATGGTGGAAAATAAGTATTTGGTCAATAACAAAAGTTTCTCAATACTTTGTTATATACCCTTTGTTGGCAATGACACAGGTCAAACGTTTTCTGTAAGTCTTCACAAGAATTTCACACACTGTTGCTGGTATTTTGGCCCATTCCTCCATGCAGATCTCCTCTAGAGCAATGATGTTTTGGGGCTGTCGCTGGGCAACACGGACTTTCAACTCCCTCCAAAGATTTTCTATGGGGTTGAGATCTGGAGACTGGCTAGGCCACTCCAGGACCTTGAAATGCTTCTTACGAAGCCACTCCTTCGTTGCCCGGGCGGTGTGTTTGGGATCATTGTCATGCTGAAAGACCCAGCCACGTTTCATCTTCAATGCCCTTGCTGATGGAAGGAGGTTTTCACTCAAAATCTCACGATACATGGCCCCATTCATTCTTTCCTTTACACGGATCAGTCGTCCTGGTCCCTTTGCAGAAAAACAGCCCCAAAGCATGATGTTTCCACCCCCATGCTTCACAGTAGGTATGTTGTTCTTTGGATGCAACTCAGCATTCTTTGTCCTCCAAACACGACAAGTTGAGTTTTTACCAAAAAGTTCTATTTTGGTTTCATCTGACCATATGACATTCTCCCAATCCTCTTCTGGATCATCCAAATGCACTCTAGCAAACTTCAGACGGGCCTGGACATGTACTGGCTTAAGCAGGGGGACACGTCTGGCACTGCAGGATTTGAGTCCCTGGCGGCGTAGTGTGTTACTGATGGTAGGCTTTGTTACTTTGGTCTCAGCTCTCTGCAGGTCATTCACTAGGTCCCCCCGTGTGGTTCTGGGATTTTTGCTCACCGTTCTTGTGATCATTTTGACCCCACGGGGTGAGATCTTGCGTGGAGCCCCAGATCGAGGGAGATGATCAGTGGTCTTGTATGTCTTCCATTTCCTAATAATTGCTCCCACAGTTGATTTCTTCAAACCAAGCTGCTTACCTATTGCAGATTCAGTCTTCCCAGCCTGGTGCAGGTCTACAATTTTGTTTCTGGTGTCCTTTGACAGCTCTTTAGTCTTGGCCATAGTGGGGTTTGGAGTGTGACTGTTTGAGGTTGTGGACAGGTGTCTTTTATACTGATAACAAGTTCAAACAGGTGCCATTAATACAGGTAACGAGTGGAGGACAGAGGAGCCTCTTAAAGAAGAAGTTACAGGTCTGTGAGAGCCAGAAATCTTGCTTGTTTGTAGGTGACCAAATACTTATTTTCCACCATAATTTGCTAATAAATTCATTAAAAATCCTACAATGTGATTTTCTGGAGAAAAAAAAATCTCAATTTGTCTGTCATAGTTGACGTGTACCTATGATGAAAATTACAGGCCTCTCTCATCTTTTTAAGTGGGAGAACTTGCACAATTGGTGGCTGACTAAATACTTTTTTCCCCCACTGTACCTCTCTCCTAGCCACCCCATAGATGAATTTCCAGGCTAGGCTGAGTAATACAAAGTCAGAGAAGTAGTTTATTAATAGAAACAATAGCAATCCAACTGCTTGCTCACCTGCGTCACCCTTCTAGACCCCGCCTCCTTTTTGTTTTGTATGATTTATCTTTTCAATTATCAGAATACTCTAGAAATATGTTTCCCAAACCTCTCCTGATCTATTCCTGAAAGAGGCACACACCTGATTCAAACTAACCAAGGGCTTTCTGATTAGTTCATTAGTTGAATCAGCAAAAACATGGAACTGGCTGGGGGTACTCAAGGAGAGATTTGGAATACACTCTTCTGAGAAACAGATACTGTAGAGACCACTAACTTGCCTTAACCTGAACAAAGTGCCAATCATCTTGCAGTATGCCAAGTTGTCCGTCAGCCTGAGGGTTCCAGGGGGTGGTAAGAAGAAGAAGGCGCCAGCTGCCGATGCTGGGGAAGGAGGAGCTGGGGCCGGAGAGGCTGACGAGGATGAGTACGCCGGTGGGCTATGTTAGCCACAGAACCTGGACTTCCTGCCTGGACCAGAACACTTCCTGTTGCCTGTTAGGAAGGGAGTTGGAATCTTCCACAGCCTGTCCTCACATTCTGAGCATGTCAGGGGGTCGTGAACTCTGCCTTCCCCTCCCATTGCCAGAATCCAAGCAACAACTGTAGGCACTCGGACCATCAAGCATAATGAGTTATGTTCAGAACATAAGCATGGTAATATATAACATCGGTGTGGAAAATAATCATACACTACTCAATGATTTGAATATGTATTATTAGTCCCTTTTGGGTTTACTGTCATTGTAAAATATTGTATATTTTGCTACATTTAAAGTGATATGAAACATTAAATTGCTTTTGTTGTATTTGCCTCAGTGGATATACCATCAATGTTTTTATCTTTCAATCTACAACAGCATGCAACAAGATACAGTGTGAAAATATGGATTTGAACATTCAACTTACAATATAAAAACTCTGTGCCTCAATAATTTATGTGTAAAGGGGTAGATGAATCAATTTCTGAATTTCTATAGTATGAAGTGTTAAAAACAGCTATTTCAGTTCCTATTGGCTGTGTGAAGGCTACACTCTTATATGGAATCAAATGAATGTTGAGAAAAATGGGTATATTGTGATTGTTATTTTTTGTTTGTTCAGGATTTCAGAATGCCTTTTTAGTTTTCATATGGCAATGTTTCTTAACCAACTGAAAGCTAGAAATTATGATTCCTGCTTACAACTAATCTTAAAATGTGTGTCAAGTGTTGTGGAGCATGCAGGTTGGATGTTTGTGGCATGCCCTCTGTGTTTTTACTGAATCAAGTCAGAATGGAATAAAATGGCAGCACGTCAGCTTTCAAACATGTGCTTTATGTTCAGGTGCTGAACCACAATAACAACACAAACGGGATTCCTTACACTATGGAGGTGCACAGACCTCATGTATCTATGTCATAACATGAAAACAATCTAATCACTTACACATGGGACTGCATTTTCCATTGCATGGCTTTGATGGCCTTGATCACATTTTGGTTGACCATATGAACTTAACAGTAACTTATAATGTAAAAAATAAAAGGGGTTTTTCAAGCAATACAGGCTTCAAAAACTATCTGTATTGACGCCCTCTTCTCAATTCACAGGTCTTCATATGGGTCCATCAACATGGACATGCTCCATAATACCGTAGAATCTATCATTATATTTCTATGCCCCATAGAAATACACAGTGATCATCACTGATTTTCCCTTTATTGTTTCTTTTCGGTGTCCTACAGGTAAAAACAACAACAACCTAATTCCCGTTCTGGTGAGATGATATACATTTCCTGAGAACGATGTCTGCGACAGCTCCCTTGATTATCTGTAGAAACCACATAACGGTAACAAAGTATCATAACTTGTCTTCAACGTCACAACCTCTCGCTGTTGTCTTGCTGGAAAAGCCAAAGCCCTTCCAGTAGAGGGAGAGAAAGGAAAATATCTTGGAGAATAAAAGTGACTAGTGTCTCTGTCGCTGCCTGCTTCCCTTCTCTCTCCCGTGTAGCTCAAGATAACATGTCTGTTCAAGTTTACAGCCAGCTATCTGGACAGTATATTGCACAACCCATGGTTCATGTTTCCCAATAGGAAAAAGGCCAGACGTCTGAAGGCAGGACAGCAGCAGTCTGTCTGTGACATCTCAAACACGCTGACTGACTGAAGGCTGCAATTCTTCTACTAAACGAGTACAAACACACCTTTCATGTGTAGGTCACATTGTTTCACTGTAGGCTCGATAGGGAGAGGGTCCTTATCACAGTCACACCCAAATACAGGGAGCGCAGTAAGCTAGCTTGCAACTTCCTGCCGGATTGTGCTTTTTAAAATCTAGCATTCTGTGATACTTCATGTCTCTGTCGCCCACCAAGTGGCACTCTCACTTTGTTTTCTGGTCCCTGGTCCACTTGATCATAGTCTCAGGTGATCGGTAGAGGAAGATGAGCTTGGCATACAGGTCTTCCTCCAGCTCCAGCTCGCCCGTCTCTCTGACCAGGAAGATGTCGGTACACAGCTTCAGGATGCGGTCCACGGCGGGCAGCTCCTCGAACATTATGGAGTGCGAGATGCCGCTGAAGAACTCGCGCACAAACTTGCCGATGACGAGCACCACCGAGGCGTAGAGACCCATGATCCTGTCGGTGAGAGACGTAACATTATAAGCCTTGTAATTAGACATTATAAAGGCTCATACATGCTTATAACAAATAATAAAGCATTATAAATGCAGGAGCCCTTTTTGAAAGCAAGGGTTGTGTCCAGTAGGCACAAAACAATATTTTGAAACGAGGTGGTACTGCCTGACCTTAAACAATAACAAAATGCTCATTTTCATGTTCCGCTGCAAAACGTTTTACTACGGTGTGCCTGACTGAACATAACCCAAGTCACACTGTCCGATATCCTCCACACACCCGTATCCTGCCAAGAAGCCCAGACTGGGCGGGCTGACTTTGTCACTGAACACGTAGAGATGGAGGCCCGCCTCTCTCTTCTTCCCCACTGCCGCACCCCTCATCTGTATCTGTCCCGCCGAAGGCTGGTCCACAATCCACCACTCCTGGATCTCTCCACTGCTGTTGTGGGTTCTCTCCAGGGCTAGCAGGATGTTCTTGTAGCCATTGTCTGAAAGGGAGATACTATCATTAACGCTACATTAGCAGTCCGTAATAAGAAGGGGATGCTTCAGTTCGAAACAGCGTCAAAACAAGAAATGTAGAAGTGTTCATTTCACATACAATGTAAATCTATCAATGTTACATCTCTCTGCTGTATATGAAGCCTAGTCGAGGATGTGTGCATTACCTTTATAGAGTTGTTCTATTGGTTTGGCATTGGAGTCACTGGGAGCTCTGAGGAAGCATGGGAAAACTTGTTCTATCACCCTGGAGAGGAGAGGGGAGAAAGATACAAAAAAAAAATTCCATTGACAGGGTTGGGGAGTGACGAATTACATTTAATCAGATTACAGATACTTTTGAAAAACAAGATTACTTCTTGGATTACTTTTAAATTCAGAAAGGATGTTCTGCGAAAAAATACATTATGACACCTTTTAATTTTCTGAATGACATTAAATTCAGCAAGTTTAAGTTTGTTCCACCTAAGTGAGTCTGAACACAAGTCGGACCACTATGAGGACACACCAAATGTGTTTGATGGATCCTTTTTGTCTTCTTCTAATGCCTCCAAAGGGGAAAGTTATCCAGAAGTAACGGAAAGTAATCAGATTACATAACTGAGTTTGGGCAATCCAAAAGTTACATTACTGATACAAAATTTGGACAGGTAACTAACTAGTAACTGTAACAGATTACATTTATAAAGTAACCTACCCCACCCTGTCCATTGGTTATATATTTTATATAGCATGCCATTTAATAATGAATGATTTATGAAGCATTTATAAAGGCCTTATAAAGGGTTTATGAAGGCTTTAATTAAGCCTCAAAAGTTGTAGTCCGTTTTCCTTAGTGAAGGCTACTTACACAGCCTGGTTTCTGGTCCCATTCAGCAGATCTATTAACTCTTGTCGCATTGTCATATCAAGGTATGTGACATGTTTATCTGTCGCAACTTCAGCTTTGGCTCCAAGACTGAGATTCCTGTTAAAGAGAGAAAATCACAATTGCGTACAGCACATTGTGGTCACAAATCGTACACCACACATTCCCACACACATTACTTTGTGAACTCGTAAATGTGTTACTTTCCGTCTCACAGACATTGCAATTGGACAGATATCTCAACAGATATTTTAGGGCTCTAAAGTACTATACAACACCGTAGTTACTGTCATTTTATCAAGTTCACACGACACAGACACACTATAGAGCGGAACCAATTTATCCACTAAAAATGGAAGCAAGAAACAAATATATTGACTCCCTCCATACCGAAATGTTGAATGTTTTCTCTCAGATCGTACACTACCGTTGAAAAGTTTGGGGTCACTTAGAAATCTCCTTGTTTTCCACGAAAACATACATTAAATGAGTTTGAATAGGAAATATAGCTAAATGCATAGGAAATGTAGTCATTGACAAGGTTAGAAATAATTATTTTTAATAGAAATAATAATTGTGTCCTTCAAACTTTGCTTTTGTCAAATAATCCTCCATTTGCAGCAATTACAGCCTTGCAGACCTTTGGCATTCTAGTTGTCAATTTGTTGAGGTAATCTGAAGAGATTTCACCCCATGCGTCCTGAAGCACCTCCCACAAGTTGGATTGGCTTGATGGGCACTTCTTACGTACCATACGGTCAAGCTGCTCCCACAACAGCTCAATAGGGTTGAGATCCGGTGACTGTGCTGGCCACTCCATTATAGACAGAATACCAGCTGACTGCTTCTTCCCTAAATAGATATTGTATAGTTTGGAGCTGTGCTTTGGGTCATTGTCCTGTGGTAGGAGGAAATTGGCTCCAATCAAGCGCCGTCCACAGGGTATGGCATGGCGTTGCAAAATGGAGTGACAGCCTTCCTTCTTCAAGATCCCTTTTACCCTGTACAAATCTCCCACTTTACCACCACCAAAGCACCCCCAGACATCACATTGCCTCCACCATGGTTGACAGATGGCATCAAGTACTCCTCCAGCATTTTTTCATTTGGTCTGCGTCTCACAATAGTTTTTCTTTGTGATCCGAACTCCTCAAACGTCGATTTGTTTGTCCATAACACTTTTTTCCAATCTTCCTCTGTCCAGTGTCTGTGTTCTTTTGCCCATCTTAATATTTTATTTTTATTGGCCAGTCTGAGATATGGCTTTTTCTTTCCAACTCTGCCTAGAAGGTCAGCATCCTGGAGTCGCCTCTTCACTGTTGACATTGAGACTGGTGTTTTTTGCGGGTACTATTTAATGAAGCTGCCAGTTGAGGACCTGTGAGGCGTCTATTTCTCAAACTAGACACTCTAATGTATTTGTCCTCTTGCGCAGTTGTGCACCGGGGCCTCCCACTCCTCATTCTATTCTGGTTAGAGCCAGTTTGCACTGTTCTGTGAAGGGAGTAGTACACAGTGTTGTACGAGATCTTCAGTTTCTTGGCAATTTCACGCATGGAATAGCCTTCATTTCTCAGAACAAGAATAGACTGACGAGTTTCAGAAGAAAGTTATTAGTTTCTGGCCATTTTGATTTGATTTGATTATGTAATTATGACTCCCGAGTGGTGCAGTGGTCTAAGGCACTGCATCGCAGTGCTAGCTGTGCCACTAGAGATCCTGGTTCGAGTCCAGGCTCTGTCGGAGCCAGCTGCAACCGGGAGACCCATGGGCAGCGCACAATTGGTCCAGTGTCGTCCAAGGTAGGGGAGGGTTTGGCCGGCAGGGATGTGGGTTCATTTCCCACGGGGGGCCAGTATGAAAAAACTAAAACAAATAAAGACATTTTAAAAACGTATGCATTCACTAACTGTAAGTCGCTCTGGATAAGAGCGTCTGCTAAATGACTACAATTTTTAAAAAATGTAATCGAACCCACAATTGCTGATGCTCCAGATACTCAACTAGTCTCAATGTAACCGGTGTGAAATGGCTAGCTAGTTAGCGGTGCGCGCTAGTAGCATTTCAATCGGTGACATCACTCGCTCTGAGACCTTGAAGTAGTTGTTTCTCTTGCTCTGCAAGGGCCGCGGCTTTTGTGGAGCGACAGGTAACGGTGCTTCGAGGGTGACTGTTGTCGATGTGTGCAGAGGGTCCCTGGTTCAAGCCCAGGTAGGGGCGAGGAGAGGGGCGGAAGCAACACTGTTACATTGATGCTGTTGACCCGGATCACTGGTTGCTGCGGAAAAGGAGGAGGTCAAAAGGGGGGTGAGTGTAACCGGTGTGAAATGGCTAGCTAGTTAGCGGTGCGCGCTAGTAGCATTGTCAATCGGTGACGTCACTCGCTCTGAGACCTTGAAGTAGTTGTTTCCCTTGCTCTGCAAGGGCCGAGGCTTTTGTGGAGCGACGGGTAACGGTGCTTCGAGGGTGACTGTTGTCGATGTGTGCAGAGGGTCCCTGGTTCAAGCCCAGGTAGGGGCGAGGAGAGGGACGGAAGCAACACTGTTACACCAAGAAGGCCAGTTTTATTGCTTCTTTAATCAGCACAACAGTTTTCAGCTGTGCTAACATAATTGCAAAAGGGTTTTCTAATGATCAATTAGCCTTTTAAAATGATAAACTTGGATTAGCAAACACAACGTGCCATTGGCATATCTTATTGGTCCAGGTTGTCCCTCCCCGTTTCAGTCTATTTTCTTTTCTGGTGCCCTGTTACACTTACCTCTGGATGGTCCAGGACATGGTGACAGGGAAGTATTCCTCCTTGCTGAGAACCTCCATCAGGTTCTTCCTGCTGGGGGGGCTTATGGTCCACAGGGAGTTGGAACTGCCCTCCAGCTCCGCCACAGTCACGTCCTCTGACGTGTACGCCTCCAGGAACTGCATCGCTGACTGCATTGATAGAATTATTGAAATATTACAACTACCCAAAAATACTGTACAACACTTAGATGCACAAAGTCCCTTGTGAGTGGGACAAGACAGGTCTTTGTTATAGTAATACACATTCATTCAATACACAGTCATATATTCAAACCAGAATGTAATAGTATTCAAACCTATATCATCACAAGATATTTGGAAATCCTGAGAAATATTTGAAATATTTGTTGTATTGTATGGCCTAAGATTATGATTTAGAAAGCAAGCTGTAAAATGGGTGGTCTTCTTACCGGAATGTAATTGTATGAATTCATGAAGTCTGCAAAATCTGCTTTGCTGATGTCCTTCAGTTGATTTTGTTGGGCACTCATAGTGAAGATGGGCTGAAGGAAGAAATACCAACGTTATAATATTAAAATAGATATAAATGTGACATCTGACAAAAGTCAGTAAAAGAAATGAAAACGTCTACACACCTTAGATCCCAGAGCTATAGATAGAGTCTGGATTGCGGTTTCTACCAAAATGTGTTAACATGGGGTCCAGTGTGCAAAATGGCGGCCAAACTGCCTCTCTATATATGACTGTGGTCAACATGAGTGGCGCTACCTGAAAGCCTCCCAGGGTGATGGTGACCGACACGTCCAGAGGTTTGTTGACCACCCCGGCCACGGACTTGACCAGCGACATGAAGAGCAGCGGGAACCAAACGATGCAGATGAGCAGCATGACAATCAAACCTCCCATCCCATACTTCACCACCTTCTTCTTCTTCTGCCCGCGAGGCTGGGGGTACCTCTGGTAAACATACAGGAATAGAACAAATTGTTCAGGGAAATAAACTATCGAGTTTAGTTACAGTTTCTATGATTTTTTTTTTACTTGGTGTGCCGTGTGAGGATTGTCCTGCATAGACTTGCTGTATCTCATTTCCACATAGCCTCTCTGACAACATACTATCTTCTTCCACTCTAAGCATCATTCAGAGATGGATAGGGAGGTCCTAGAGGAGAACTAACACAGCGGGCCGTGGTCCCTCACCTTCTCTGACATCCTCCAGCACTTGAGGACAAAGATATGGGCGTAGATGTCCTCTACACAGATCCAGCTGGACAGGCTGAGGGTGGTGTCCGTCCACACCCAGTCCATCACCGCTCGCAGCTCCGTCAGGAATGGGACCAGGCGGAACCTGGGGACCAGGACAACGTTAGGGCAACGTTAGGACAACGTTAGGGCAACAATAGGGCAATGTTAGGGCAATGTTAGGACAACGTTAGGGCAACAATAGGGCAATGTTAGGGCAATGTTAGGACAACGTTAGCACAACGTTAGGACAATAGTAATGAAGCAGCTTATGGCAGGCAGCCATTGGTGGCCATAAGCCAAACATCTGTACTCTTGAGCCGCCGGTTCTGGACCCATAGAGATGTATAGAGGGCACACTTCCCACTAGATGGTGAAGCCCTCTATGGGCTTTGATATTACAGAAGCGATCAATGGCAAAGATCAGAGGTGCACCCTCTTTACATTTCTATGGACAGCAGCTGTCATGACATTTCTCCAAACAGCCTTTCTCCGCTAGCTCGAGAACTAAATGAGGAAACAAGTCGAGATCGGATCATGGAAACATGCGCCTGGTAGAGATATGATTCTGAAAGTAACACACACGTTACTTGACAAAGTAACTATATTTATATTACCCAGTTTTTAAAAGTAAATCCGATCCACATTACTAGTTACTCATAAAAAGTAATCTGATTACCTAATGCACTACTTTTGTAACGCATTACCCCCAACACTGCTTATGAGTCTCTTTTCATTATTGTATTCTCAATTGGTGATTGTGGTCACAAGTGGCCTCAAGAGCACTCACCCTTGGAAGAGGAAAAGGTTGAGGTAGTTGTAACTCTTGGTGAGGAAGTTGCCCAGGACGCGGGTGGGGTAGCCACAGCGGATCTGATAGGCCGACAGGCCAAAGTAGATGCACTTGACGAAGTACCACAGCTGGGCCACTGTGTTCTGACTGAACCGTCTGGTGAGTGACATGGAAACAATGTTAATGTGCATTTTCAAAGTAACATGAAAACCTAATTATGCGTTACTTACTAATGCAACTATTTAGTAAGCAATGGATTTAAAAGAAAGAGGGAACTGGTTATGACTAAATGATTAAATAACTAAATAAATACATGTTATTCCTCCACATTCATACCTCTCTGTGACTCCAGGCAGGATGAAGAACATCCAGAAGTGGATACCAAACACCAGGATGACCTGGAAGATGACTTTTCCCATGACGGTCTTGCGAAGGTAGAGGGCTCGGTCGATGATCATGGTGCCAAACTGGATCAGCACCATCACCAGGAAGGCTTCGGGAACCTGGTCCTCCGACAGGGAAGAAGTGATGTCAGCCGCCGCAGAGTGTTTCTGTTGGGGTACAGGAAGACATGTTATGTTATTCATTTGGATATTTTTTTTGTTTTTTTGTTTGAAGTTCAAAAGTGTTGTTGTCCATTTAGGGACAATTGAAATTCATTACACTGGGTTTCAATCACAAACACAATGAATAACGACAGTTTATACTAGAATTTTATCACTGACATATCATATATCAAACTTACCCCAAAAGCCCAGAAGCCGAAGACGATGATGATGAAGTCGACGGTGTCGGCCAGGAACATGAGCACATAGACGTCTGTCACCGCACTGTACTCTGGGTGGATCAGGTTGTAGAAGAACTGACGGATGGGGACGTAGATCTCCAGAGTTCTACAGGGAGGCAAAGAAACAATGATCTGTTCATGTAAACAAAGTAAACAAGATAAACTAAATACCTTTATGAACGGTTAATGTCGTTTTTAACTGTTTGTGTGCATCAAAATCAATCAGGCTTAGAGATTTACATTAAAGCCACCATTTCATAATTTATTATCCTGAAAAGTGACTGAATCCTGCCAGTTAGCAGCCTAATAACAGTCATATGGCACCTTCAAGTCAGTACACCTACCTTCTGACAGTGAAGCTCTTGGCTTTGATGAGCTGATCTCTGAGTTTCTCCAGGATCATCTCCTTCTTGCTCCGCAGGCTGTCCCCTCTCCGCAGGCTGTCCCCTCTCCGCAGGCTGTCCCCTCTCTGCAGGCTGTCCCCTCTCCGCAGGCTGTCCCCTCTCCGCAGGCTGTCCCCTCTCTGCAGGCTGTCCCCTCTCTGCAGGCTGTCCCCTCTCCGCAGGCTGTCCCCTCTCTGCAGGCTGTCCCCTCTCCGCAGGCTGTCCCCTCTCCGCAGGCTGGGCCGTGAGCTCACACTGTCTGTGGAGTCACCAGGTTTGGAAGACATAGGGCTCACAAATTATATTCAGTTGGTTCATAATTCAAAGTCTAGATATTTCCCCCAAACGTATCTAAGCCCAACAAGGGAGTGATTCTTCAGCACATAAGAGCCATCGAGACTCGTGACCTCACCTCCTTTGGAGTGGGCGGAGCGCATGGTGCACTGGGAAAGGTGGGAGGCGGAGCTGGAGCTCTTGCGGCGCAGTGGGGTGGGGGTGGACAGGGAGTGGAAGCGGTGGGGGAAGCGGGCGCGGACCGACTCCAGCAGGGAGCTGCTGCCCCCCGAGGCCTGCTTCTTCACTGGCCTGGAGCTGGTCCTCTTCTCCCTCTCATGCTGGTGCTGCTTGGGGGTTTCCCCCCCTCCTCCCCTGGGGTCGTCCTCATCCCACAGCCCATGACACTGGAGGTCAACACCAAGGAATAGGATGGTTAAGCCATTCAGTGTGCTAAATATAACTGTGTATCAATACAGGTAATAAGTCAGAATTAACAACATAGTTAAAGGTGTAGTCCACTTTTTTTTTGTAAACCTTATTTTAACTATCCCTTTAAAGGAATAACCATGTACTGTAGCTGATAGGCATCACACCTAGCAAGACTTAGTGGGCACCTTGAGAATAGATCGGTGGAAGAACAGAGCTAGCAGCTGAACCAGGTCATAGTGCACGTATCCCTCCTTCTTCTCCACGCCGATGATGTTGGGAGGATGGAACGGTTTTGACTTGTCCAGCTCAATGTTCTGGTTGAAGGGGAAGAAACCAAACTGGAAGAAGTACTTGATCACAATGGTGACCTGGTGGTACAGAGAGAAGGGGAAACACATTCAAAAACATATAGCAGCTGCCTGAGTGATAAAATCAAGAAATAGCAACATTGTCTATCAACACAGTGCAGTAACACAGAACATGTTTAAACAACAACTTTATTTTTCATAGCTGGATAAAGCAAAATGTGTCACTTGAGAATGCCAGAAAGAAACAAATATATTCATGAAAATGATGAAATATAATTTTTTAAGGGATGGTTCACCTTAATAATTTGGGTGAACTATCTCTTTAAAACGGCAAAGGACCAGGGGTCAGGGGTCAGGGCAGATTTACATTGATAAGAGCCTGACTAATGTCCAACTAGATAGCTGGCTAATCTAATTTGAATGATGCATCAACACCTGATCAACACAGCACCGGCTTTTTATTCCACCAGCCCCCGTTTCTAGAAGGTTGTGGACTGTGGTGTGAGGGGATGACAGAGGCTCGCCTTGTAGGACACTGTTACTGACTACTGCCGAGGTGTGGTGGTCTCTCAGGTGCTTATAGCTGCTAAAGCGTCACCTAGGTGGGTGCTACACTTTCGGTGGTGGACTGTCCAGCCGACCTACAGAGCAGGAGTAGCTGTGAACTTCTGAGACAGAGGTGCCTGATGATGTCTGACTGATGTTTCTCCCTCCCTGGCTGCACCATCGCCGACACCTCCACTTAAGCTAGTTACTCCTTTACTGAACTGCATAATGATCTGGCTGTGGAAGACCATCTCCCATGAACTGCATGTTTCCTGAATTTATAAAAAATGTGTTTAAAGCGACTGAGATTCTGTATAAAAAGCGCTATATAAAATAAATATACAGTATTATTTATTATTAATGTGCTTCTGTGTGTTAATACCTCTGTGTAGACGATAGCGGTCATCCAGAAACGTTTGCTAGGCCTGGGGACCGACAGCATGGCCCAGAGGAAGATGAAGATGGGCAGGACGAGGGTGGCCACGGACGCTGAGATCATGTGGTTGAGGATGATGACCAGGAAACACCCATCTCTGAGTGGGCCACCAGCATGTTGTACAGGGCATAAAGCAGCTGCAGCAGCGCCGGCTGGTCGCCGTAGAAACGCTCTGAATCCTCCAACTCTTCATCGTAGAACATCCTGATGGAGAGAGGGGGGGGAGAGACAAATAGGGGAGAGAGAGAGAGAGAGAGAGAGAGAAGACGAAGAGAGAGAGAGAGAGAGAGAGAGAGAGAAGGAGAGAGCAGATGGAGAGAGAGAGAGAAGATAGAGAGAGATTGGAGTGAGAGGGATGATAGAGCGATGTCTGAGAGAGAGAGAGGGCGGATGCTTTGGTCGAGAGCGTGCTCGCGCGGGCGCGAGCCGCGGCGCGCTGGCGAGAGGGCGACGCGTCGTGGAAGGGAAGAGGGACGAGAGCGGAGATGTGGAGAGGATGTGGGAGGCTGAGGACCGGAAGAGAGGAAGAGGAAGAGAGATAAGGTCTATGAAGGTGGACTCTAAAAATTCTAAAGCCTTTAGAATTGTCAAACAAACAAATCTTTAGCCTTGACTGGATCTCGATTTCAGGCTTTCTAATAGCTGAGAGATGAACGAGATTTGGAAGTATTTTAATTGGCAATGCAAGACAAGCTGCGATGAAATACAATACCTATTGCGTAGCAGATCGCTGGCCGTCAGCTCGTGGGTGAGCGAGGGAAACGCGGCGCTCGTGACGCCCGACAGAAAATCAGACTTCTCGTCAGGTGTCACCACAACCAACCTCTTCTCATGATGGGTCCTACTGGATGAGGCCCGCTCAGCCCCCTCCCTGTCCAGGCCCGTGGCTCTGCTGTACGATGCCCCCTCCCTGTCCAGGCCCGTGGCTCTGCTGTACGAGGCCCCCTCCCTGTCCAGGCCCGTAGCTCTGCTGTACGAGGCCCCCTCCCTGTCCAGGCCCGTAGCTCTGCTGTACGAGGCCCCCTCCCTGTCCAGTCCCGTAGCTCTGCTGTACCAGGCCCCCTCCCTGTCCAGGCCTGTGGCTCTGCTGTACGAGGGGGGGATGTCTGTGTCTGTGGGGGTTGTACTGGGGAGGTCTGCCTGGTAGAGCTGGAGCTCACTCTGGTGGGCGTAGCACGGTCCCCTCCCCCACCCTGCCTGTTCGGCTTCCAGGACGCTGTCCCCGCTGTCCCAGTCCATACCCCTGGACCTGGAGAGAAGACCCCCATCACGGTCCATGTACAGCCCCATAGAGGTAGAGGTGGATGGGGTCTCAGTGTAAGAGGAGTGGGGGTCTTGGAGGTCCTGGTCTGGCTCCTCGATGGTGTCGGTGGTCTCCTGGCGGGAGCAGAGGGCTGTGCACTGGGTGTGCTCACTAGTAGGGATAGAGAGGCAAGATAATGGAGTGTTCATGTGCTGGAACTCATCTGTCCACAACTCTTAATTCCAGTATTACTAGTCAATAATCCACATACTGTGTATCTACTGTTTTTGGAAGCTTTTGTCACATGGTGCATATATTCAACATCGTTCCCATGGGGGACTTCATGGAGAGGAAGTGTATGAATTGCCTGGCTGGCCATAGAGAGGATGTATAGTGATAATTCAGATAGAACAGTAAACAGGTATATTCCATTGTTTTAATAAAATACATCTGGAATACGGTATAAGCCAATCAGCATCCAGGACAGGAACTATCTATTGTATTACCTAATTTACTCAAGATAATGAAACACAGAAATAGAGTTTGTTTACACACACGGCTGTTGGTAGAGTAGAGAGTGAAGGATGAAGGTAGAGAAGAGTAGAGAGTGAAGGATGAAGGCAGAGAAGAGTAGAGAGTGAAGAATGAAGGTAGAGAAGAGTAGAGAGTGAAGGATGAAGGCAGAGAAGAGTAGAGAGTGAAGGATGAGGGATGAGAAGAGTAAAGAGTGAAGGATGAAGGTAGAGAAGAGTAGAGAGTGAAGAGAGGCAGAGAAGAGTAGAGAGTGAAGGATGAGGGATGAGAAGTAGAGAGTGAAGAATGAAGGTAGAGAAGAGTAGAGAGTGAAGGATGAGGTAGAGAAGAGTCAGAGAGTGAAGGATGAGGGATGAGAAGAGTAGAGAGTGAAGGATGAAGGTAGAGAAGAGTAGAGAGTGAGGATGAAGGCAGAGAAGAGTAGAGAGTGAAGGATGAAGGTAGAGAAGAGTAGAGAGGAAGGATGAAGGCAGAGAAGAGTAGAGAGTGAAGAGATGGGATGAGAAGAGTAGAGAGTGAAGGATGAGGGATGAGAAGAGTAGAGAGTGAAGGATGAAGGTAGAGAAGAGTAGAGAGTGAAGGATGAAGGTAGAGAAGAGTAGAGAGTGAAGGATGAGGGATGAGAAGAGTAGAGAGTGAAGGATGAGGGATGAGAAGAGTAGAGAGTGAAGGATGAGGGAATTGAGAGAGTAGAGAGTGAAGGATGAAGGATAGAGAAGAGTTAGAGAGTCGAAGGATGAAGGTGAGAAGAGTAGAGAGTGAAGGATAGGGATGAGAAAGAGTAGAGAGTGAAGGATGAACGTAGAGAAGAGTAGAGAGTTAAGGGATGGAGGGATGAGAAGGTTTAGAGACGTGAAGTATGAAGGCCAGAGAAGAGTAGAGAGTGAAGGATTGAAGGTTAGAGAAGAGTTAGAGCCAGTGAAAGGGCAGGCAGAAGCAGAGGAAGAGTAGGAGTGACTGATTGAGGCAGAGAAGAGTAGAGAAGTGAAGGATGAAGGTAGTAGAAACGAGTAAGAGATGAAGGATGAAGGCAGAGAAGCGTAGAGAGGTGAAGGATTGAAGGCAGAGAAAGAGTTAGAGCGTGAATGTGAAGGTAGGAGAAGAGTAGAGAGTGAAGGATGAAGGGATAAGCAGTAGACGAGTGACAGGATGAAGGTAGAGGAAGAGTAGAGAGTTGAAGGATGAAGGTTAGAGAAGAGTAGAGAGTGAAGGATGAAGGCAGAGAAGAGTAGAGAGTGAAGGATGAAGGTAGAGAAGAGTAGAGAGTGAAGGATGAAGGCAGAGAAGAGTAGAGAGTGAAGGATGAAGGTAGAGAAGAGTAGAGAGTGAAGGATGAAGACAGAGAAGGGTAGAGAGTGAAGGATGAAGGCAGAGAAGAGTAGAGAGTGAAGGATGAAGACAGAGAAGAGTATAGAGTGAAGGATGAAGGCAGAGAAGAGTAGAGAGTGAAGGATGAGGGATGAGAAGAGTAGAGAGTGAAGGATGAAGGCAGAGAAGAGTAGAGAGTGAAGGATGAAGGTAGAGAAGAGTAGAGAGTGAAGGATGAAGGCAGAGAAGAGTAGAGAGTGAAGGATGAAGGCAGAGAAGAGTAGAGAGTGAAGGATGAAGGTAGAGAAGAGTAGAGAGTGAAGGATGAAGGTAGAGAAGAGTAGAGAGTGAAGGATGAAGGCAGAGAAGAGTAGAGAGTGAAGGATGAAGGTAGAGAAGAGTAGAGAGTGAAGGATGAAGGCAGAGAAGAGTAGAGATTGAAGGATGAAGGTAGAGAAGAGTAGAGAGTGAAGGATGAAGGCAGAGAAGAGTAGAGAGTGAAGGATGAAGGTAGAGAAGAGTAGAGAGTGAAGGATGAGGGATGAGAAGAGTAGAGAGTGAAGGATGAGGGATGAGAGGAGAGAAATAGAAGGAGGAGTTGTGTTTGTCATTTCCTACCTGGCCTGGCTGCCTCCGCTGTCAGCTGAGGAGGTGGACATTAGATTCAGCCCATCCATCTTGCAGAGTTTAGGACGGGCACGCTCGCTGGTCTTGGGCACCTGGATGTTGTCAGGACCCATGTCAGTGTGGTCCAGAGTGGAGCGACAGGAGTAGAGCAGTGTGCTCTCTGTGTACGCACTGGAGAAATACACACAGACAGATGAAGTTTGATGCAGTGTTCTACACAGACTATGGACCATGCATTACCTTCTGTGGTGTGTGTGTCTGCGTGCCTGTGAGTGTGGATGTGTTTAACTATTCTTGTGGGGACCAGAAGTCCACACAAGAATAGTAAACAAACAGAAATTTGACCAACTGGGGACATTTTGTTAGTCCCCACGAGGTCAAATGCTATTTCTAGGGGGTTTAGGGTTAAGGTTAGAATCAGTGTTAGGGTTATAATTACATTAAGGGTTAGGGTTAGGAGCTAGGGGTAGTTTTAGGGTTAGGGTTAGGGTTAAGGTTAGGTTTTTGGGTTAGGGTTAAGGTTAGGTTTTTGGGTTAAGGTTAGGGTTAGGGTTAAGGTTAGGGTTAGGGTAAGAGTATGGGTTAGGGTTAGGTTTAGGTTAAGGTTTAGGGAAAATATGATTTTTAATGGGACTGAATTGTGTGTCCCCACAAGGTTAGCTGTACAAGACTGTGTGTGTGTGTGTGTGTGTGTGTGTGTGTGTGTGTGTGTGTTTTTACCTTTATTTAACTAGACAAATCAATTAAGAACAAATTATTATTTACAATGACGGCCTACCTGTGTGAGTGTGTGTATGAGTGTGTGTAAGTGTGTGGGTGTGTGTGTGAGTGTGTGTATGAGTGTGTGTGTGAGTGTGTGTGTGAATGTGTGTGTGAGTGTGTGTGTGAGTGTGTGTATGAGTGTGTGTGTATGAGTGTGTGTGTATGAGTGTGTGTATGAGTGTGTGGGTGTGTGTGTGTGTGTGTGTGTGTGTGTGTGTGTGTGTGTGTGTGTGTGTGTGTGTGTGTGTGTGTGTGTGTGTGTGTGTGTGTGTGTGTGTCTGCGCCAGGCCAGAGTCTAGGCAGAGAACAGAATGCCTGTGGGTAATAGTGCTCTCAGGACAGAACAGAGCAGAACAGAACAGAGCAGAACAGAACAGAACAGAGCAGAGCGGAACGGAGCAGAACAGAGCAGAGCAGAACAGAACAGAGCAGAAAATAACAGAACAGAACAGAGCAGAACAGAACGGAACAGAACAGAGCAGAACAGAGCAGAAAATAACAGAGCAGAACAGAGCAGAACAGAACGGAGCAGAACGGAGCAGAATGGAGCAGAACAGAGCAGAACAGAGCAGAACAGCACAGAGCAGAACAGAACAGAACAGAGCAGAGCGGAACGGAACGGAACGGAGCAGAACAGAACAGAGCAGAACAGAACAGAGCAGAAAATAACAGAGCAGAACAGAGCAGAACAGAACGGAGCAGAACGGAGCAGAATGGAGCAGAACAGAGCAGAACAGAGCAGAACAGCACAGAGCAGAACAGAGCAGAACAGAGCAGAACAGAGCAGAACAGAACGGAGCAGAACGGAGCAGAATGGAGCAGAACAGAGCAGAACAGAGCAGAACAGCACAGAGCAGAACAGAGCAGAACAGAGCAGAACAGAGCAGAACAGCACAGAACAGAGCAGAACAGAGCAGAACAGAGCAGAACGGAGCAGAACAGCACAGAGCAGAACAGAGCAGAACAGAGCAGAACAGAGCAGAACAGAACGGAGCAGAATGGAGCAGAACAGAGCAGAACAGAGCAGAACAGCACAGAGCAGAACAGAGCAGAACAGAGCAGAACAGAGCAGAACAGAGCAGAACAGAGCAGAACAGCACAGAACAGAGCAGAACAGAGCAGAACAGAGCAGAACAGAGCAGAACGGAGCAGAAAGGAGCAGAACAGAACAAAGCAGAACAGAACAGAACAGAACAGAACAGAACAGAGCAGAACAGAGCAGAACAGAACAGAGCAGAAAGGAGCAGAACAGAACGGAGCAGAACAGAGCAGAACAGAACGGAGCAGAACAGAGCAGAACAGAACAGAGCAGAACGGAGCAGAACAGAGCAGAACAGAACAGAGCAGAAAGGAGCAGAACAGAACGGAGCAGAACAGAGCAGAGCAGAACGGAGCAGAACAGAACAGAGCAGAACGGAACAGAACAGAGCAGAACAGAACAGAACAGAGCAGAACAGAACAAAGCAGAAAGGAGCAGAACAGAACAGAGCTATGCGGTTTCATGCTGCCAGGCTGGTTTAAAACCCTTTACAAACCCAGGAGCCTGGCACTCCTCAGTCTCAAATAAATAACAGAATACCACTAAAATAGACAACCGTGTGGAACAACAAGAAGCACAGAAATACAGAAAGCTAAGTCATGTCAAAACAACCCTACAACATAACCGCTGAATATTGAATAATTATACTGTCAAACGGTTATGTAACGTAAGTGTTTATCGTGTAATGGTAGCCGTGCTGAGATGGGATAACTTGAGCAATACTTGGCTCGATTCACCAGGCGTGGGTTTTATTACACACAGATGGAATGCAAATCAAGTTCCAATCTGATCTCTGAAAGAGTGCTACTGTCATCTGCACAGCATGACATCTTTCAAAAACAGCCAATATCATTTTGGATTATTTTATTTCGTTTCCCTTGACGTTTTGAGTATTATAACTGCAAGGTACTAAAGTAGCGTGTGCTTACTACAATATCCTTGGAGTATCAAGAAGCAGCTAAACAGCCTTCTCTTCTATAATAATAATAATAACTATAAATGCCATTTAGCAGACGATTTTATTCAAAGCACTTACAGTCATGCGTGACTCCTCTTACCTATCACCAGGATATTATAAATTATAATTTTTCATATTAAAAAGTATTTCCTCTTTATGAGAAGAGGTGGCTCAATCTCATCACTTCTTTAGAGGAATAATAATTGTATAATAAAAAGTGATAACTGTAACAAAAAGTCTATTTTCCTCCATTCTCTTACCTGGACAGGCTATCGTGAGACACCATAGAGTCTTGGCTCTTCAGACAGGCACAGCTCTGCCTCTCAGCCTTGTGGGGGATGCAGTCCTGGCACGTCTCCTCCTCGGTTATCTCCAGGCCCGACTCAATGGACGCCGCCTTGCACATCTGCTTGCGGTAGTACACGTGGATGCTCTCCCGGGAAGGCTTGTTCCCCTGGAATGTTACGACCAAGAATGCCTGTTAGAATGGTTTGGTCCTAGTCCCACTTCATTTTATTAAATAGGATGTAATAACAATGTAATAACATTGGGAATAGGTAATTCCAATGATATTACTATGCTATTGGTAGAAATAGATAATACCAATGCTATTACTATGGTTTTACTACAGTATGGCATGGTAAGTAATTATGCAACTAAATGGTTTTGTTGCTAGGCAGATATACTTTCACAAAGCTGGATCCCCATTCTCATCCATCATTGGACGATTCACCTGGAGTATCAGGAAGTACACCTTGTAATACGATCACAAAATACATGTTTTAAAGACTCTAAATCCCCTGGCCATGACGTTACCTTTTTGACCTCGTGTGTGAGCATGCAGCGCTCGATGCGCAGCACGGTGGAGATGTCCAGGTGTTCCTGACACATGGAGTTGATCCAGGCTGTGACGCTGTCCAACATGGCCAGGAACAACACCCAGGAGAACTTGACGATGTTGAAGACTCGCTTCAGGACGTTGTCTGGGAACAGGGAGTAAGACAACACGTTGTCTTTTAACAGCCAAGTCCACATCAGTCTTTATTCATTGAGACTTATAACTGTAACTTCCTTGATGCAGAGGGCCATGTGGGTTGGGTTGGGTTTTGAATCAGGGGGTCGAGGAACCCAACCTACTAGGAAGTAAACTAAAATTACATTTCCAATTCCACGTCCTGAAATGGACTTTAAATGAAATAGACCCCAACCCTGGTTTGAACTGCACCTACCTGGTCCATCTGTTTTCTTCTCCTCTCTGTTCTCCTGGTCCTCCTCTTTGATAACAACATGAACTGCTGGATGGAAAATATATTGAAAATGGAATGAGTCAATGGAATCATACAAAATTATAAAATGCTATGAAGATACAAAACTGTAACGCAAAAGTACCCTTCCAAACAATGACATCCCATTGTTTGAAAGGGTACTTTTTGTTGTTGCAGAACAAGTTGCCCACTAGGCACAGTTGTCAATTCAACGTTTATTCCACGTTGGTTCCGTGTCATTTCATTGAAATGACATGGAAACAACGTTGATTCAACCAGTGTGTACCCAGTGGGTGTTCTCTATCTACATAGCCATTCCAAGACATTATTGTCCTCTCCCAGACCTCATGTAAAACTATTTGGCTGAACTGAGAGACCATACTGTATTCCAACCAGGTCCACAGTCAGTCCAGCCGTCATATGGGATGAATTGACCATGTCTAATCCAACATGGCGTCATATACTTCAGACCAAGGAATGCCTTGGCCCTGCATGCAGCTGTAGCTGGGCTGTGGGGAGGAGGGAGGGAGGGAGGGAGGAGGGGGGAGGACGGGGGGAGGAGGGGGGACTTGGCGGGATTGTGGACTAGACACAGCATGGCTTCCAATAGGGCTGCAACAAATTGTTAAGTAGGCGCTCTTGAACAAAAAAAGGGCACAACATACCCATTCATGACTAGTCTAGGGCCTATACCACACCATCACGGAGGCTGAGAGAAAACCTGATGAGGTGAAACATACTGTAACACAACAAGTGCAGCGTGGACGGATGGCAGTGAGACGAGGGTAAACATTGGGAGGTGGGGGCCCGTTTCCCAGAAGAACTGCTAGCATATTAAATCTCCTACAATGGGTGGGAATTGTCTGGTTTAGCCAAACTGAATGCTGCAATCACCATTGTTTCACATTTACACAGTGCTCAGTCTGGTTACACCAGGTTATTTACACAGTGCTCAGTCTGGTTACACCAGGTTATTTACACAGTGCTCAGTCTGGTTACACCAGGTTATTTACACAGTGCTCAGTCTGGTTACACCAGGTTATTTACACAGTGTTCAGTCGGGTTACACCAGGCTATTTACACAGTGTTCAGTCAGGTTACACCAGGCTATTTACACAGTGTTCAGTCGGGTTACACCAGGCTATTTACACAGTGTTCAGTCGGGTTACACCAGGCTATTTACACAGTGTTCAGTCAGGTTACACCAGAAATGGAGGCGACTGAAAAGCTATTATTTTCATCTGCTTTGGATGAGAACTTGGGTCCTCCTGCTGCACTTCATACCTTCCCTCAGGTCCTCTTTCCTTGGCTTGCTGCTGCTCCCTTCAGTGTATTTCTTCCAGAAGCTGCGTTTCTCCTTGCTGTGCTCCTTCATGGCCGTCTTGGAGTCGGTCATCCAGGCGTGGTACACAAACTGTAGGGATAGGACGGTAACAAACTGGTGGACTAGTGATCAAACACAAAGCATGTTTGGCTGTTTAATTGGGACATTTACCGCACCTTTAAGATATTTGATTTTAGCGAGTCAGGTTCATGTTGACAGACCTGCCATTGGTGTGCAAGTGTTTTATCGAAAGTCTAGCAATGTGGCTCAAATTTAGTTCACGCACTCAAAACCGAAGAGTTGAGTTGAGTGTGGGAAATGTGTTAGAATTAGGCAGCCAAAGACAATATACCCTAGTCAACCAACCAGTAAGTCACAGGTAAAAGCAAAAGCCATTGACAAAGTACACGATACAGAGGCGACCAGTTTCAGGGGGTGTTTTGATCCAGTGAAATGGGATGTGTTTATGTAAATGGAACAAAAAAGGGATTTACAATGGAAAAAGCGCCCCTCAAGATAAACACAACCCACCATTCCTAGTTTGAGACCAGGGTTGTGGTAGATTCCATTTCAGTTCAGTACATTTCAGTTTACTTCCTGAAATTGACCCAACTGAAATGTTATTGATCCCAACACTGTTTAAGACACAGACCAAACTCCACAGAGAATTACCCTGGAAGAAAAGCCACCCACCACCACACATGCACATCTCTCTCCCAAAGCACACACAGGGAGGAGATCCACTCTAGAAACAGAAGAGCAACACAGTTCACTGAATTTCCACTGCATGCATCATCAGCGGCCGCCATTTTGTCATGACGCGGGCCGTGGTATTTGAACAGAACTTTATTGACATCGTGGTCATGTTTTGGAGTGAGAGGGGAAAATGCATATAACGTAGTGAGAAAGTGGCTTGGACTGGAGTGGTCAACGGGGAGAGCATACACACAGCATACAAAAGTGAAATGCAAGATAGAGACCTAGTAGTGAGAGTACCTTGGCTGCCCTCATTAAATACTGCAGAGCAGTTTTGGGCAGCTTAATGATAGACTTTGGTAAAGCCAGCAAGGCAGAGGCAAACTTTCGGATTGCTCTCTATAAAGGGAGGACAAAGCAGGGGTGAGAGTTAGAAGAACATAACATTTGTCAGAAATAAAGGCCAAACAAACAGGACTCACGACAAAGTATGTTAGCAGTTAGTACTTGGTTAAGAAGAGAGAAAACTGTTAAGTGCGGAGAGAATTAAACAACATTTGGGAATTAGACTTGTTACTCGTCTGTGATAAGAACAATCACACATTAGAAATCGGTTCTAACAGAAATAGAAGCAAGCAGTCCCGTTTAAATAATTGATAAAGAAAAAAAAAATTCACATAAAAAACAATTAAACTGCTGTTGCTGGACAAAAATGGATATTTCACATTGCAGGACAGTGGTAAAGGGATTACCTCCTGCGTTGGAGAGTACCTGAAATGCAGACTTCTTGGGCTGCTCTTCCACCTCTTTATCCTCCTCCTCCTCCTCTTCTTCACTGTCCGTCTCAAACAGGTAATAGTTACCACTTCTCACCACTGAGAGAGGAGTGAAAGACAAGGTTAAAGGTTACCCACTTACACTAGTCCACTTGTGTATTACACTGTACCAGAGTATGTGAGCGGAGCGGAGCGGAGCGGAGTATGGAGCGGAGCGGAGTGTGGAGCGGAGCAGAGTGTGGAGCGTGGAGCGGAGCGGAGTGTGGAGCGTGGAGCGGAGCGGAGTGTGGAGCGTGGAGCGGAGCGGAGTGTGGAGCGGAGCGGAGCGTTCCCAATTTGGCTGGAGGGCGGAGCGAGATTCCCAAAGGCTGGAGCGTCGGCCTTCTAGCCCACATGTCCGGCCCAGCATGCATTTGTAGGCTACTTGTGTGCTGCTATAGCCCCTTGCTTTAGCTACTGTCATGGAGTTCACTAAATATTTGAATAAAGAAACTGATAAAACAGACAGGTGCAAAATCAATGTGACTTACAAAGATGAGGACCAAGAGCAAGAGAGGGAGTGTGATGATGTAGTGTCCACAACTAAATAATCATTGTGGAATCTGAAAAGACACATATCCTGAAAGCATGATGGTGTACTTACTATGTGCACATGCTAACAGAAAGGAACGAGGTGGGTAGCTATCTAAGTGTGTCATTGTAGCAAAGTATTTATAAACTAAAAATCTGATCTCTTAAAAATTTCCTTAATTCCTGTTCTATTATCTATACTATAGGCCATAATTGATTTTGGCTCAATAGGCCTGGCATATTCCCACTTTCAAGGAGCTTTCCCTTTATGCTTACAAGGAGCTTTCCCAAATACTTATTTCCCTCATTAAAATGCAAATCAATTTATAACATTTTTGACATGCGTTTTTCTGGATTTTGTTGTTGTTATTCTGTCTCTCACTATTCAAATAAACCTACCATTAAAATTATAGACTGATAATTTCTTTGTCAGTGGGCAAACGTACAAAATCAGCAGGGGATCAAATACTTTTTTCCCTCACTGTATATGCACAATTTATAGACTATAATGACTTAATACAACAAAATGTTGTTTAAATGCTAAATGCTTCACAATGTATTTATTTGTAGCCTTGAAATAATAGAAATAAAAAAGCCTAAATATTTCATTTTAGTTCCTTCTTAGGCTCCTGACCTATTTAGAGTGTTTATATGCTGTTTAATACGACATGTAGCCTATTTGAAATTATGAGCGCTTCATACATTCACCTTTTCATGTTTATTAAAATACTATTAATTCAAATCATATGGTTTGGTTTCAAAACTTCAAAACCAAATGGTAGGTCCAGGTAGTTACAAAAATACAGTCGTGGTCAAAAGTTTTGAGAATTACACAAATACTAATTTTCACAAAGTCTGCTGCCTCAGTTTTGATGATGGCAATTTGCATATACTCCATAATGTCATGAAGAGTGATCAGATGAATTGCAATTAATTGCAAATTCCCTCTTTGCCATGAAAATGAACTTAATACCAAAAAAACATTTCCACTGCATTTCAGCCCTGCCACAAAAGGACCAGCTGCCATCATGTCAGTGATTCTCTCGTTAACACAGGTGAGAGTGTTGACGAGGACAAGGCTGGAGATCACTCTGTCATGCTGACTGAGTTAGAATAACAGACTGGAAGCTTTAAAAGGAGGGTGGTGCTTGAAATCATTGTTCTTCCTCTGTTAACCATGGTTACCTGCAAGGAAACACGTGCCGTCATCATTGCTTTGCACAAAAAAGGGCTTCACAGGCAAGGATATTGCTGCTAGTAAGATTGCACCTAAATCAACCATTTATTGGATCATAAAGAACTTCAAGGAGAGAGGTTCAATTGTTGTGAAGAAGGCGTCAGGGTGCCCAAGAAAGTCCAGCAAGCGCCAGGACCGTCTCCTAAAGTTGATTCAGCTGCGGGATCGGGGTACCACCAGTGCAGAGCTTGCTCAGGAATGGCAGCAGGCAGGTGTGAGTGCATCTGCACGCACAGTGAGGCGAAGACTTTTGGAGGATGACCTAGTGTCAAGAAGGGCAGCAAAGAAGCCACTTCTCTCCAGGAAAAACATCAGGGACAGACTGATATTCTGCAAAAGGGACAGGGATTGGACTGCTGAGGACTGGGGTAAAGTCATTTTCTCTGATGAAACCCCTTTCCGATTGTTTGGGGCATCCATCCGGAAAACACCTTGTCTGGAGAAGACAAGGTGAGCGCTACCATCAGTCCACAAATCATGCCAACAGTAAAGCATCCTGAGACCATTCATGTGTGGGGTTGCTTCTCAGCCAAGGCAGTGGGCTCACTCACAATTTTGCCTAAGAACACAGCCATGAATAAAGAATGGTACCAACACATCCTCCGAGAGCAACTTCTCCCAACCATCCAAGAACAGTTTGGTGACGACCAAGGCCTTTTCCAGCATGATGGAGCACCTTCCCATAAGGTAAAAGTGATAACTAAGTGGCTCGGGGAACAAAACATCGACATTTTGGGTCCATGGCCAGGAAACTCCCCAGACCTTAATCCCATTGAGAACTTGTGATCGATCCTCAAGAGGCGGGTGGACAAACAAAAACCCACAAATTCGGACAAACTCCAAGCATTGATTATGCAAGAATGGGCTGCCATCAGTCAGGATGTGGCCCAGAAGTTAATTGACAGCATGCCAGGGCGGATTGCAGAGGTCTTGAAAAAGAAGGGTTAACACTGCAAATATTGACACTTTGCATAAACTTAATGTAATTGTCAATAAAAGCCTTTGACACTTATGGAATGCTTGTAATTATACTTCAGTATACCATAATAACATCTGACAAAAATATATCATAACACTAAAGCAGCGAACTTTGTGAAGACAAATATTTGTGTCATTCTCAAAACTTTTGACCACGACTGTAGATGGGTGTTGGTTAAATTGTGATTTTAATTAATGGAGCAATATTCGGAGCGGCAGTTTCTTTTTCCTGTGAGCGCGTAGCGGATTTTAGCGGAGCGGTATGAAAAGGATGTGCAGCACTGGAGCGTTCACCACTCCATGAGTGATGAACGGGAATCAGCGATGAACGGGAATGAGCGATGAACAGGATTTCCGCTCAACACCGCTCACTTACTCTGCACCACTGGCAGCTTGGGGCACCTTAAATGGGGAGGAAGGGCTCATAGTAATGGCTGGAATGGAATACATTGAATGCTATTTAAACATCAAGCACATTGTTTCTTTGTGTTTGATACCATTCCATTCACTTCATTCCAGTCATTTTATGAGCCGTCCTCCCCTCACCAGCCTCCTGTGGTACATACATTTATTCATGTAATGACAAACTCAAATAAGATATGGTATTCATCTTGAGTGTCAAAAAAACAAATTCATGTCTAACTTGTTTACATGTACAGTAATGACAGCCACATGCAATACACACTATCTGTGGAATATTAAAAAGCTGAATTGCTTCAAATATCACATAGAAAGGTTGAAGGTCACTCACTGGATGCATGGTCAACCCACGGTCTCCACCACCGCTTCTTTTTCTTCTCCCTGATCCTCTCTTTGTCTGCCTTTTCTTTATCTGAAAAAACAACTATTTCTGTAGCTTACAATTACTTGATCAAATCAAATCAAATTGTATTTGTCAAAATGCTTACTTACAAGCCCTTAACCAACAATAAAGTTCATGAAATAGAGTTAAGAAAATATTTACTAAATAAACTAAAGTCAAAAATAAAATTATTGATAATATTAATAAAAACTATTAATAATAATTAAATAAAAAGTAACACAATAAAATAACAATAACAAGGCTATATACAGGGGGTACCGGTACCGAGTCAATGTGCGGGGGTACAGGTTAGTCGAGGTAATTTGTACATGTACAGTTGAAGTCGGAAGTTTACATGCACTTAGGTTGGAGTCATTAAAACTAGTTTTTCAACCACTCCACACATTTCTTGTTAACAAACTATAGTTTTGGCAAGTCGGTTAGGACATCTACTTTGTGCATGACACAAGTAATTTTTCTAACAATTGTTTACAGACAGATTATTTCACTTATAATTCACTGTATCACAATTCCAATGGGTCAGAAGTTTACATACACTAAGTTGACTGTGCCTTTAAACAGCTTGGAAAATTCCAAAAAATTATGTCAATCAATCAATCAATTTTATTTTATATAGCCCTTCTTACATCAGCTAATATCTCGAAGTGCTGTACAGAAACCCAGCCTAAAACCCCAAACAGCTAGTAATGCAGGTGTAGAAGCACGGTGGCTAGGAAAAACTCCCTAGAAAGGCAAAACCTAGGAAGAAACCTAGAGAGGAACCAGGCTATGAGGGGTGGCCAGTCCTCTTCTGGCTGTGCCGGGTGGAGATTATAACAGAACCATGCCAAGATGTTCAAAAATGTTCATAAGTGACAAGCATGGTCAAATAATAATCAGGAATAAATCTCAGTTGGCTTTTCATAGCCGATCATTAAGAGTTGAAAACAGCAGGTCTGGGACAGGTAGGGGTTCCATAACCGCAGGCAGAACAGTTTAAACTGGAATAGCAGCAAGGCCAGGCGGACTGGGGACAGCAAGGAGTCACCACGGCCGGTAGTCCCGACGTATGGTCCTAGGGCTCAGGTCTCTCAGTTGGCTTTTCATAGCCGATCATTAAGAGTTGAAAACAGCAGGTCTGGGACAGGTAGGGGTTTCGTAGCCGCAGGCAGAACAGTTGAAACTGGAATAGCAGCAAGGCCAGGCGGACTGGGGACAGCAAGGTGTCATCATGCCCGGTAGTCCTGACGTATGGTCCTAGGGCTCAGGTTCTCAGAGAGAAAGAGAGAACGAGAGAATTAGAGAGAGCATACTTAAATTCACACAGGACACTGGATAAGACAGGAGAAGTACTCCAGGTATAACCAACTAACCCCAGCCCCCCGACACATAAACTACTGCAGCATAAATACTGGAGGCTGAGACAGGAGCGGTCCGGAGACACTGTGGCCCCATCCGAAGAAACCCCCGGACAGGGCCAAACAGGAAGGATATAACCCCACCCACTCCGCCAAAGCACAGCCCCCGCACCACTAGAGGGATATCCCCAACCACCAACTTACAATCCTGAGACAAGGCCGAGTATAGCCCACAGAGGTCTCCACCACAGCACAAACCAAGGGGGGGGCGCCAACCCAGACAGGAAGATCACGTCAGTAACTCAACCCACTCAAGTGACGCACCCCTCCCAGGGACGGCATGAAAGAGCACCAGCAAGCCAGTGACTCAGCCCCTGCAACAGGGTTAGAGGCAGAGAACCCCAGTGGAGAGGGGAACCGGCCTGGCAGAGACAGCAAGGGCTGTTCGTTGCTCCAGCCTTTCCGTTCACCTTCACACTCCTGGGCCAGACTACACTCAATCATATGACCTACTGAAGAGATAAGTCTTCAGTAAAGACTTAAAGGTTGAGACCGAGTCTGCGTCTCTCACATGGGTAGGCAGACTGTTCCATAAAAATGGAGATCTATAGGAGAAAGCCCTGCCTCCCGCTGTTTGCTTAGAAATTCTAGGGACAATTAGGAGGCCTGCGTCTTGTGACCGTAGCGTACGTATTGGTATGTACGGCAGGACCAACTCGGAAAGATAGGTAGGAGCAAGCCCATGTAACGCTTTATAGGTTAACAGTAAAACCTTGAAATCAGCCCTTGCCTTAACAGGAAGCCAGTGTAGGGAAGCTAGCACTGGAGTAATATGATCAAATTTCTTGGTTCTAGTCAGGATTCTAGCAGCCGTATTTAGCACTAACTGAAGTTTATTTAGTGCTTTATCCGGGTAGCCGGAAAATAGAGCATTGCAGTAGTCTAACCTAGAAGTAACAAATGCATGGATTAATTTTTCTGCATCATTTTTGGACAGAAAATTTCTGATTTTTGCAATGTTACGTAGATGGAAAAAAGCTGTCCTTGAAACAGTCTTGATATGTTCGTCAAAAGAGAGATCAGGGTCAAGAGTAACGCCTAGGTCCTTCACAGTTTTATTTGAGACGACTTTACAACCATCAAGATGAATTGTCAGATTTAACAGAAGATCTCTTTGTTTCTTGGGACCTAGAACAAGCATCTCTGTTTTGTCCGAGTTTAAAAGTAAAACGTTTTCAGCCATCCACTTCCTTATGTCTGAAACACAGGCTTCTAGCGAGGGCAATTTTGGGGCTTCACCATGCTTCATTGAAATGTACAGCTGTGTGTCATCCGCATAGCAGTGAAAGTTAACACTGATTTAGAAGCTTCTGATAGGCTAATTGACATCATTTGAGTCAATTGGAGGTGTACCTGTGGATGTATTTCAAGGCCTACCTTCAAACTCAGTGCCTCTTTGCTTGACATCATGGGAAAATCAAAAGAAATCAGCCAAGACCTCAGAAAAAAAAAAAACTGTAGACCTCCACAAGTCTGGTACATCCTTGGGAGCAATTCCCAAACGCCTGAAGGTACCATGTTCATCTGTACAAACAATAGCACGCAAGTATAAACACCATGGGACCACGCAGCCGTCATACCGCTCAGGAAGGAGACGCGTTCTGTCTCCTAGAGATGAATGTACTTTGGTGCGAAAAGTGCAAATCAATCCCAGAACAACAGCAAAGGACCTTGTGAAGATGCTGGAGGAAACAGGTACAAAAGTATCTATGTCCACAGTAAAACGAGGCCTATATTGACATAACCTGAAAGGCCGCTCAGCAAGGAAGAAGCCACTGCTCAAAAACTGCCATAAAAAAGCCAGAATACGGTTTGCAACTGCACATGGGGACAAAGATCGTACTTTTTGGAGAAATGTCCTCTGGTCTGATGAAACAAAAATAGAACTGTTTGGCCATAATGACCATCGTTATGTTTGGAGGAAAAAGGGGAAGGCTTGCAAGCCGAAGACCACCATCCCAACCGTGAAGCACGGGGGTGGCAGCATCATGCTGTGGGGGTGCTTTGCTGCAGGAGGGACTGGTGCACTTCACAAAATAGATGGCATCATGAGGAAGGAAAATTATGTGGACATATTGAAGCAACATCTCAAGACATCAGTCACGAAGTTAAAGCTTGGTCACAAATTGGTCTTCCAAATGGACAATGACCCAAAGCATACTTCCAAAGTTGTGGCAAAATGGCTTAAGGACAACAAAGCCAAGGTATTGGAGTGGCCATCACAAAACCCTGACCTCAATCCTATAGAAAATGTGGGGGCAGAACTGAAAAAGCATGTGCGAGCAAGGACAAACCTGACTCAGTTGCACCAGCTCTGTCAGGAGGAATGGGCCAAAGTTCACCCAACTTATTGTGGGAAGTTTGTGGAAGGCTACCCGAAATGTTTGACCCAAGTTAAACAATTTAAAGGCAATGCTACCAAATACTAATTGAGTGTATGTAAAGTTATGACCCACTGGGAATGTGATGAAAGAAATAAAAGCTGAAATAAATTATTCTCTCTACTATTATTCTGACATTTCACATTCTTAAAATAAAGTGGTGATCCTAACTGACCTAAGACAGGGAATTCTTACTAGGATTAAATGTCAGGAATTGTGAAAAACTGAGTTTAAATGTATTTTGCTAAGGTGTATGTATACTTCCGACTTCAACGGTAGGTAGGGGTAAAGTGACTATGCATAGATAATAAACAGCGAGTAACAGCTGGGAGGGGGGGGGGGGGGGGGGGGGGGGGGGGGGGGGTCAATGTAAATAGTCCGGGTGGCCATTTGATTAAATGTTCAGCAGTCTTATTGTCACACCCTGGTTCTGGGACTCATTATGTTGAGCCAGGGTGTGTGCAGTCTATGTGTTCATGTTCTATGTTGGGTGTCTAGGTTGTTTATTTCTATGTTTGGTCTATGACTCCCAATCGGAGGTAACGAGTGTCAGCTGTCGGCTCGTTATCTCTGATTGGGAGCCATATTTATACTGTGTGGTTTCACCTTGGGGTTGTGGGTTTTTGTTCCTTTACGGTCATTGTAATCGTGGACTTCACTATCGTCATTTGTTGTTTTCGTGGTTGCTTTAATTTAATAAAGTCATCATGTTCGCTCAACACGCTGCATATTGGTCTGCTCCTTTTGAAGACGATCGTGACACTTATGGCTTGGGAGTAGAAGCTGTTAAGGAGCCTTTTGGACCTAGACTTGATGCTCCGGTACCGCCTGCCGTGCGGTAGCAGAGAGAACAGTCTATGACTTGGGTAACTGGAGTCTTAGACAATTTTTAGGGCCTTCCTCTGACACCGCCTAGTATATAGGTCCTGGATGGCAGGAAGCTTGGCCCCAGTGATGTAATGGGCCATACTACCCTCTATAGCGCCTTACGGTCAGATGCCAAGCAGTTGCCATACCAGGCGGTGATGCAACCGGTCAGGATGCTCTCGATGGTGCAGCTATATAACTTTTTGGAGGATCTGGGGACCCATGCCAAAACTTTTCAGTCTCCTGAGGGGGGAAAAGTGTTGTCGTGCCCTCTTCACGACTGTCTTGGTGTGTTTGGACCATGATAGTTTGTTGGTGATGTGGACACCAAAGGAACTTGAAACTCTCGACCCGCTCCACTACAGCCCTATCGATGTTAATGGTGGCCTGTCCGGCCCTCCTTTTCCTGTAGTCCACGATCAGCTCCTTTCTCTTGCTGACATTGAGGGAGAGGTTGTTGTCCTGGCACCACACTGCCAGGTCTCTGACCTCCTCCCTATAGGCTGTCTCATCGTTGTCGGTGATCAGGCCCACCACTGTTGTGTCGTCAGCAAACATAATGATGGTGTTGGAGTTGTGCTTGGCCATGCAGTTGTGGGTGAACAGGGAGTACATGATTGAATGGACAGTGTATATTATGTAATTGTTGTGATATGTCAAACAGACTTATCGTTAAATCAGCAAAACTTTATAGGCCTACATGGGTTGGCAGGACACACAATATCATTCAATCAATCATGGCTTTTAGTTCCTCAAGGCCCAGAAGCCCCACCTTCATCCTCCTCGTCCTCGGTGAAGCCGTGGCCTGCGTCTCCGCTCTCCTGCGCTAAGCTCAAAATCCTCTCCTTCCCCCTCTTGAACTTCTGCTGCCGACTCTTGATGCGGTCCATTCTGATTGGACACAGAGATAGAAACAACCACTAATGACCAATAGGTTCTGACCACTGTGTATAATTAACAATGAATTTGTACTTTGGGCTTGCTGTGAAATCTCCTCCACGCAAGGCGTGGGTGGGGCAGTAATAGGGGCTAGTGTCTGGCTTGGAGTTGGTGTGTGGATGTGTTCAGACTGGTATCCGGTAGAGAGAGAGAGAGAGAGAGAGAGATAGAGAGAGAGAGAGAGAGTAGAGAGAGAGAGAGGAGAGAGAAGAGAGAGAGAGAGAGAGGAGAGAGAGAGAGAGAGAGAGAGAGAGAGAGAGAGAGAGCCCCTCTCTCCTCTATCTCGCTCTCCTATCTCTCTCTCCCCTCTCTCGCTCTCTCTAGAGCTCTACAGAGAGTACCCTCGACAGATCTATTTACTAGTACAGAGGAGGACAGAGAAGAGAGAGTAGAGAGAGACAGGAAGAGAGAGAGAGAGCGCGGAGAAGAGAGAGAGTACAATGTAATGAGCAAATGTCAATTGGCTTTTTTACCAATTACCCTACGACAGACCACATACTCACCCTGCACACCCTAATTGACAAACAAACAAATCAAAACAAAGGAAAGTCTTCTCATGCTTTGTTGATTTCAAAAAAGCTTTTGACTCAATTTGGCATGAGGGTCTGCTATACAAATTGATGGAAAGTGGGGTTGGGGGAAAAACATACGACATTATAAAATCCATGTACACAAACAACAAATGTGCGGTTAAAATTGGCAAAAAACACACACATTTCTTCCACAGGGCCGTGGGGTGATACAGGGATACAGTTTAAGCCCCAACCTCTTCAACATATATATCAACGAATTGGCGAGGGCACTAGAACAGTCTGCAGGACCCGGCCTCACCCTACTAGAATCTGAAGTCAAATGTCTACTGTTTGCTGATGATCTGGTGCTTCTGTCACCAACCAAGGAGGGCCTACAGCAGCACCTAGATCTTCTGCACAGATTCTGTCAGACCTGGGCCCTGACTAAATCTCAGTAAGACAAAAATAATGGTGTTCCAAAAAAGGTCCAGTTGCCAGGACCACAAATACAAATTCCATCTAGACACCTTTGTCCTGGAGCACACATAAAACTATACATACCTCGGCCTAAACATCAGCGCCACAGGTAACTTCCACAAAGCTGTGAACGATCTGAGAGACAAGGCAAGAAGGGCCTTCTATGCCATCAAAGGGAACATAACATTTGTAAAATACTTGAATCAGTTATAGAACCCATTGCCCTTTATGGTTGTGAGGTCTGGGGTCCGCTCACCAACCAATAATTCACAAAATGGGACAAACACCGAATTGAGACTCTGCATGCAGAATTCTGCAAAAATATCCTCTGTGTACAACAAAAACACCAAATAATGCATGCAGAACAGAATTAGGCCAATACCCGCTATGATCAAAATCCAGAAAAGAGCCTGTTAAATTCTATAACCACTTAAAAGGAAGCGATTCCCAAAACTTCCATAACAAAGCCATCACCTACAGAGAGATGAACTTGGAGAAGAGTCCCCTAAGTAAACTGGTCCTGGGGCTCTGGTCACAAACACAAAGAGACCCCACAGAGCCCCAGGACAGCAATACAATTAGACCCAACCAAATCATGAGACAACAGAAAGAGAATTACTTGACACATTGGAAAGAATTAACTAAAAAACAGAGCAAACTAGAATGCTATTTGGCCCTAAACAGAGAGTACATACCTGACCACTGTGACTGACCAAAACTTAAGGAAAGCTTTGACTATGTACAAACTCAGTGAGCATAGCCTTGCTATTGAGAAAGGCCGCCGTAGGCAGACCTGGCTCTCAAGAGAAGACAGGCTATGTGCACACTGCCCACAAAATGAAGTGGAAACTGAACTGCACTTCCTAACCTCCTGCCAAATGTATGACCATATTAGAGACATATATTTCCCTCAGATTACAGAGATCCACAAAGAATTCGAAAACAAACCCAATTTTGATAAACTCCCTTATCTACTGGGTGAAAAACCACAGTGTGCTATCTCAGCAGCAAGATTTGTGACCTGTTGCCACAAGAAAAGGGCAACCAGTGAAGAACAAACACCATTGTAAATACAACCCATATTTATGTTTATTTATTTTCCCATTTGTACTTTAACTATTTGCACATTGTTACAACAATGTATATATACATAATATGACATTTGAAATGTCTTTATTCTTTAGGAAATTCTGAGTTAAATGTTTACTGTTGTTTATTTCACTTTTGTTTACTGCCTACTTCACTTGTTTTGGCAATGTTAGCATACGTTTCCCATGCCAATAAAGGCCTTAAATTGAAATTAAAATTGAGAGAGAGGGAGAGTCAGAGAGACAGATAGAGAGAGAGCGACAAAGAGAGAGAGCGACAAAGAGAGAGAGAGAGAGAGAGAGACAGACAGAGAGACCGATAGAGAGAGAGAGAAACAGAGAGAGAGAGACCAATAGAGAGAGAGACAGATAGAGAGAGATAGAGAGAGAGACAGAGAGACAGATAGAGAGATAGACAGAGAGAGAGGGAGGTAGAGAGAGAGAGAGAGAGAGAGAGAGAGAGGGGGGGGGGGGGGAGAGAGAGAGACAGAGACAGAGATAGAGAGAAGACACAGAGATAGAGAGAGCGAGAGAGAGAGAGAGAGGAGAGAGAGAGAGCGAGAGAGAGAGAGAGAGAGAGAGAGAGAGAGAGAGAGAGAGAGAGAGAAACACCAAGACCTACAGAGAGAGAGGGGTGCTGACTGATTCTCTTGTTCTCCTATGTGTCCCACTAACACACTGCTGCCCTGCAGCTCCAGACATAAAAACTAAGGTACATCAACACAGTGTAGGAGGACAAGCATCATAAATCACAGTCAGGCTACACTGCTACAAGGAAGCACTGTCCAAGTAAAGTTGAATGGTGTCTTTAATCAGACCTGAATGTAGTAATGACTGGAATATCCTGGAATTAGGGTTAATTTGAGAGTACATACATGGTAACATCTGGGAGGCTTCTCTTTTCAGTGAGAGCTAATAAAATCACCACTGTTATGACAGAGTTTACGTCATATACTGTCTGTCTAATGTGTTGGGATATGAGTTGGGGTATGCAAAAAATGCATATAATACACACTTGTACATGTGTAAAATAGGACAAATATAAGCGCCCAGCTAATTATTATTATTATATTAAATCTCTGTGTATCTCATAGATGTGTAATGAGTGTATAATATATGTGTGTGTATGGCATTTATGTGTTATACAACATGTGTATATTATATGTCTGTAGAAAATACATGTTCTCACTGTCTCTTCAGCAAGTCCATGGACTTCTTCTCCACTTCGATCCTGGCTTTGACAGCTTTCACTATGGTCGCCTGGAATAGCTCAGCCCCTCTAACACAACATACACACAATACATTTAATATAAATTGACAAATAAATTGAATACACAGTAAAGTTTCATTTTCCAATGTGGATGGTCATTGTGAAAGTAAAGGTAAACCAAACTAAACCAAACGACAGTAAAGTTTACCTGGAGGCGAGGATCTGTGAGGAGCGAATGTCGGCGACCACGTGCAGGAAGTAGTAGCTCATGAATACGCGTCGCTGTAGCAACAGGAAGGCAAAACAGATGCTGTCCCAGATTATGCCTGCCTCGTCGCTAGGCAACTCACACTGCTTGTTGGCCTGTTGCTCAGCTGCAAGGATTTCAAAAACATAATCCTAAAATATTTGTTCGTTCTTAACATTTTGAAGAAAGTGAAATACAACTTTTCTCCTCAACCCCAAATATACTGTACAGCCCCCACTAATTTCAGATGGAGCTATCATCAAGCATTTCCCCAAATTAAACTGAACAATGCTTGGCAAATCCTTTTAAGCGAGTGTACATTTTCTGTCACATATCAAAACAGAGAAGGTGCGTTTCTAAAGGCATTCTGCTTTACAGTGGTAGTACGGTCACTTACGCTTAGAATAGCCCTTTATAGTGCAGGCCAGGCTGAAGAGCTGAATGAGCCAACAGTGATTGGTGACCAGGGACTTTATGTATCCACAGGCTAGTATCTGAAGACCGAGAGCATAAACCACAGTCAGCTAAAACATGACACCACTATATCTACTGTAGACTGTTGCTGCAGAATTTAAAAATAACATATTATATTGTATCTCTATGGCTGCTGCAGACCCCTTGTTTCAGCAGTATTGGCTCATTTTGTCATTTTAAATAACTGACTGAATTTCTATCTATCTACAGTGGGGGGAAAAAGTATTTAGTCAGCCACCAATTGTGCAAGTTCTCCCACTTAAAAAGATGAGAGAGGCCTGTAATTTTCATCATAGGTACACGTCAACTATGACAGACAAAATGAGGAAAGAAAATCCAGAAAATCACATTGTAGGATTTTTAATGAATTTATTTGCAAATTATGGTGGAAAATAAGTATTTGGTCAATAACAAAAGTTTCTCAATACTTTGTTATATACCCTTTGTTGGCAATGACACAGGTCAAACGTTTTCTGTAAGTCTTCACAAGGTTTTCACACACTGTTGCTGGTATTTTGGCCCATTCCTCCATGCAGATCTCCTCTAGAGCAGTGATGTTTTGGGGCTGTCGCTGGGCAACATGGACTTTCAACTCCCTCCAAAGATTTTCTATGGGGTTGAGATCTGGAGACTGGCTAGGCCACTCCAGGACCTTGAAATGCTTCTTACGAAGCCACTCCTTTGTTGCCCGGGCGGTGTGTTTGGGATCATTGTCATGCTGAAAGACCCAGCCACGTTTCATCTTCAATGCCCTTGCTGATGGAAGGAGGTTTTCACTCAAAATCTCACGATACATGGCCCCATTCATTCTTTCCTTTACACGGATCAGTCGTCCTGGTCCCTTTGCAGAAAAACAGCCCCAAAGCATGATGCTTCCACCCCCATGCTTCACAGTAGGTATGGTGTTCTTTGGATGCAACTCAGCATTCTTTGTCCTCCAAACACGACGAGTTGAGTTTTTACCAAAAAGTTATATTTTGGTTTCATCTGACCATATGACATTCTCCCAATCCTCTTCTGGATCATCCAAATGCACTCTAGCAAACTTCAGACGGGCCTGGATATGTACTGGCTTAAGCAGGGGGACACGTCTGGCACTGCAGGATTTGAGTCCCTGGCGGCGTAGTGTGTTACTGATGGTAGGCTTTGTTACTTTGGTCCCAGCTCTCTGCAGGTCATTCACCAGGTCCCCCCGTGTGGTTCTGGGATTTTTGCTCACCGTTCTTGTGATCATTTTGACCCCACGGGGTGAGATCTAGCGTGGAGCCCCAGATCGAGGGAGATTATCAGTGGTCTTGTATGTCTTCCATTTCCTAATAATTGCTCCCACAGTTGATTTCTTCAAACCAAGCTGCTTACCTATTGCAGATTCAGTCTTCCCAGCCTGGTGCAGGTCTACAATTTTGTTTCTGGTGTCCTTTGACAGCTCTTTGGTCTTGGCCATAGTGGAGTTTGGAGTGTGACTGTTTGAGGTTGTGGACAGGTGTATTTTATACTGATAACAAGTTCAAAAAGGTGCCATTAATACAGGTAACGAGTGGAGGACAGAGGAGCCTCTTAAAGAAGAAGTTACAGGTCTGTGAGAGCCAGAAATCTTGCTTGTTTGTAGGTGACCAAATACTTATTTTCCACCATAATTTGCAAATAAATTCATTAAAAATCCTACAATGTGATTTTCTGGATTTTTTTCTCTCAATTTGTCTGTCATAGTTGACGTGTACCTATGATGAAAATTACAGGCCTCTCTCATCTTTTTAAGTGGGAGAACTTGCACAATTGGTGGCTGACTAAATACTTTTTTCCCCCACTGTATGTCTCCCACCTATCACTGAATCCAATGTCTTACTACAACCTTTGGTGCCAAGAAGACCCCCCAACTAATCACATATTCAATGAATCCAATGTCTTACTACAACCTTTGGTGCCAAGATGGCCCCCTACTAATCTCAAATTCAGTTTGCCGAATTCTGACTGTACCCAGTATTCAACAACACCGTACCCAGTGTCATCGACACTTACCGAGAGGATGTTCTTCATGGTGATCACAAACACGTTGTAGGCGATCAGGAAGTCCCAGTAGTGCAGGATGCTTTTGATTGGCTTGAGCAGCAGGTCGCCCCCGAAGAGCAGGAAGTAGAAGCAGGCCACCAGGTAGCCCATACAGAAGATGGAGATACGCGTTGTGCCCGTTATGAAGATGATGGTGAGCACGAACCAGAACATGTAGCTGAACATGATCACCTTCAGCATGTCCAGGTAGGATCTGGGGGAGGGAAATTCATTAGTAGCCCTTTCCTGCAGTCAAATGACCTAGTGGCATCCTGGGTGGAATGTTATTAATATTTCTCACAATTTCATATAATTATTTTTTTTAAACCCACCCGAAAATCTGGTGTTCTATGTAAAGCAGTTTTGTTATATTTCAGTCTTCTGTGATGAATATAAAGTGTAATATTGGAATGCAAACTCAAAATGTAATACATTTCAACTCTATATCTCTATATCTGTGTCTTCTTTTTTGTAAGCCCATAACCATGTGTGTGAGGTGTATACTTTTGTTTCAAAGTAGATTTGTTTGAGACTACCAAGAAACTACCCTGATTTAGCCCACTGCAGTAAAAGGTTAAAGGCAAATAGAAAAAATGTAATTTGACAACATAATCAATTGTTTGGATTCTGTTGTCGAATTTGAGCTCAGGTTTTAAACCTGAGTATGTTGAGAGCATGCCGTTGCCATATACAGTAGCAAAGCTAACGTTCAACAACAAAAGTATTCTGTAATAATACACACTTTCTGATATCCATACAGATATGAGCCCAAGTGATGAGCAGAGCTACGTTATGTACTTTAGGATTCTACAACACAATATTTTAATTCATTCAATATTTCTATTTTGTTGACTTCACTGACACATCATCACCACTATCATCCTCATCACAACCTCACATTGTTTTTACAGGCAGATGTACAGTATGTATGTGAACTGGAGGAGCAGTGGTGTCATCGAGGCTTCGGAGCACATTGACAGATGGGTCTGGGGGGGGGGACGTTTCAGATACAACCTTGTGCTGACGGGTTCAAAGGGTCGGCTGTCATGGCGTTAAAGGCCACTAGTGTCAGAACGGTTCTCCTTGTTTCAGGAAGACTATTGAGTTACAGGAACATGGAAAACTATGTTTGAGTCACTCACAGGACACGGTTGAAGGATGGAGTGATTGTTTTAATATCGCAGAGTTATCTGATACCAGGAAAGAGCTGCGAGAGCAGAGGGAAAACCCAGGTGTTTGACAATGTGTTATCTGTGCTCCACTTCGAGACGGGCTATCAGATCGCTCACTTAACTTACCTCACGTCAAAACAATTGGATAGTTACACGAGGAGGAACCCAAAGAAAGTGTCTAAAGTGACTCTTTAATAAGCACTTTGGATAGAGACATAGAGACATAGAGAGAGAGTGGAATGATTTGACCTAAATGTCATGTAGTGGAGGTAGTTTGCCAAATGACTCTTGACTGATGACTAACCTTGCCTAAGATCAAACGACTCACATTTGCTCTCTGAGAAAACACAGGCGATTTAGCACATTGGGCTAACTCGTTCTCGAGTATCAGGTTTCGAAACCTGATCAGGCACAGCCTGTGCACCAGACCTGGGCCAGGCTGGTACTGTGTAGCATACAGGCTTTAGCTCGTAAGGCTAACTCATTCTCAAGTCACTGGTTTGAATCCCGGGTCAGACACAGCCTGTGAACCAGCCCACTACCTGCAGTGTATGAAGTCTGGGACGGGGTTGTGCTGACTGAAGGAAGCGGCGTCCAGGTCTCTGCAGATCTCCACGTTGTCCCCGGCCAGGTGGCACACGGCTGTCTCATTCTCCTCCTCAAACACCTGTCTCTGCAGCGAGGCACACAGCAGCAGCATGAAGTCATCTACAGGAGACGGGAGAGGAGGAGGAAGAGGAGGAGGAAGAGAAGGAGAAAACAGGACGATGAAGAGGTGTTGTCACAAACACACTACTTTCAAGACAACCCAGTCCCAGTCCCAATCCTAATGGCAAATGCTCAGTCAATGGTTGTACTCACAGAGCAGGAACATGGGGTTGGGTTTGGTGTGGAAGTCAGGGAAGTACAGCCACTTGATGACGTTGGAGTCTGTGGAGGACGAGGGGAACCTCCATCGGTAGTCTGGGAAGAGGAGTTTAGTAAGTTTTCTACTTCATAGACGCTATTGACTCATGACACATGCAACATCTCTGATGTATAATGTATAAAACATTATTATTACACAGTGATGAGATGATGACCTGTGTCTGTGAAAAATTAGCACTGAAATACCAAGGGGTGACATGTAGACAAAACAAAATGGCTGCAGCAGGGGAGCCTCGGATTGGTCCACCCACCTTTGCAGGCGGCCGGGGGGATGCCAATGCAGACAAAGTACTGGAAGGTGAGCATGCAGGCCAGGAAGCAGCAGTACTTCGGCCAGGTGTCAGCGATTGCCTTCCGCTGCCGCCGGTAGATGACCACGATCAGGCCGAAAGCGTGGAGCATGGCGTAGAAGTCCATCCTCTGGCCAATCACGTTCACCGCCAACAGGAAGCATGTCTGACGATAGTGATGATAATGTTTAGGTAAGTTTAGTCTCAAGAGACTTTATATTGGGTTTACAGATGTAGGATCTTAGTTTGTGCCAGTTTGCTACAGCAAGAAAATAATCCTGTAGCAATAGTAAATGTGAATTATTATGTTGATTATAATTAATGGACATTTTTGTTGGGGTTGATACATTTTTCATAAGGGAAAATCAAGTCGGAAACGTCAAAGTGGAAATTTCTAACTTCAGAAGCCTTTTTGAAGCCTTTTTAAACCTCAATACACTACAAGTTTTACATTTCCATGTTCGGAAGTAGGAGTTATGGCTCAGTCGTAATTCCATACAATGTAGGCGACTCAACAATTACTTTGACGTTCATGAAAGGTATTTAAAAACAGAGATATTCTGGTAAATATTCCAACTATCACACAAGTAAAAAACATAATAAGAGGGTTTTTGCGTATTCGAACTCAACAGTGACATGACATCATACCTCCAGGCCGAACTTGTAGAAGAAGTAGTTGATGAAGTACTTGGCACAGTTGAGGATGCTGTCGTCGAGGTGTTGCCGGGTGACGTCGTGGAAGATGGTTCTGGTGACGGGCGTGGTGAGATTGTTCTTCATGCGGTACAGGTCCTGGTGGCGGTATATGGTAACCTCGAACGCCAGCAGGGCCAGCATCAACAGGTTGTTCTGGAAGGAGATGGAGATAGGACAGATAAATGGGTCAGGGTTCAAATGACAGTGTATATGTTAATGATTTAAACATTGGCACCACCATAAACAACATTGGTCCAACCATAGAAATCCTATTAAATTACTAATTTCAAAATGTCTAACTCCTAATTCTATGGGTCCAACCAACTGTTTTCAGGCCATCCCCAAGAGATAAGTGTAATTTGAGCACTACAAAGGGCTGTTAGGGAGATGATACTGGTGTATAATATAACACGGTTACAGTAGTTTTAGTTATATGTGAGGTAGACAGGCTGCATATGTGCCCATATGTGCATACACTGTGTGTGTGTGTGTGTGTGTGTAGTCAGGTTCCCAGTGCAGCGTCTCTCTCCTCCACCCACCCTCAGGTTCTCCAGTAGCGGGGAGAACTTGCGGAGGCCCACCCAGTTGGCTGGGTCCACAGGGGCGCTGTAGAGCAGGGAATGGGCCATCTCACTCCTCTGGGCATCCGTGTAGTTCAGAGGCTACAGACGAGAGGAAAGGTGTGTCATTAACATTGTGAACCAGTCCAGGCTATCACAACACAGAAGAGGAGTATAATGCCTGTATTAGGACCGACTGACCCCCTAGAGGAGACACTCAAAGAGGAGAGACATAGAAAGAGAAAAATAACAGGAACATAGAGGATAGAAAATACACACAAACACCCCTGGGCCACCACCTCAACACTCCCTGGGCCACCACCTCAACACTCCCTGGGCCACCACCTCAACACTCCCTGGGCCACTACCTCAACACTCCCTGGGCCACCACCTCAACACTCCCTGGGCCACCACCTCAACACTCCCTGGGCCACCACCTCAACACTCCCTGGGACACCACCTCAACACTCCCTGGGCCACCACCTCAACACTCCCTGGGCCACCACCTCAACACTCCCTGGGCCACTACCTCAACACTCCCTGGGCCACCACCTCAACACTCCCTGGGCCACTACCTCAACACTCCCTGGGCCACCACCTCAACACTCCCTGGGCCACTACCTCAACACTCCCTGGGCCACTACCCACCATGGAGCAGTTCTTAGAGTACGTAGAGGGGTTTATAGAGGTGAGTTGGTAGAGCATCTTGCAGACGATGATGACGCAGGTCCAGACGGTACAGACGCTGGAGGCCAGGGGCCTGAACTGACTGAAGGGCAGGGCGAACGCCCAACTCACCAGGAACACATAGTTGAACAGAGACACCTGGAGAACACAGGACAAAAGAGACACCTTCACTTCCTGGACGTAGAGTATGTGGTCTAACAGTTCAACGCATCCATCCATTCTTAGAAAAAAAGGTGCAATCTAGAACCTAAAAGGGTTCTTTGGCTGTCCCCATAGGAGAACCCTTTGAAGAACCCTTTTTGGTTCCAGGTAGAACGCTTTTGAGCTCCATGTAGAACCCTTTCCACAGAGGGTTCTACATGAAACACAAAATAGTTCTACCTGGAACCAAAAAGGGTTCTACCTGGAACCAAAAATGGTTCTCCTATGGGGACAGCGGAAGAACCCTTTTGGAACCCTTTTTTCTGCATGTATAATTGCTTTTGGAAGCCTATTTTGATGGAGGAGGATAGTTGTCAGTTAAAATGTAAATACCATTTAGATAGCACGTGAACAGTGATGAGACCCTGTGCACATGCAATCCACTACCAATCCATTCTCAAGTTTAGCGATTGCGGGAATCAATGTTGGAATCTCATGCATGCAAGTATTCTCCTTGCAATCTTGATGAGATGGTGGCTGAATAGGTGGGCTCACCTCTTTGACTGAGACCCAGATGATGTAGGATGAGACGATCTTGATGATGTGGAGCTCCAGCAGCCACCAGATGGTCCGCTGCAGCTGCTGGAAGTACTGCAGAAACTTGAGGAAGAGCACCGTGAGGCGGTCCACCACCAGATACCACTTACTCCTCAGGTCTGGGGAAGAGAGGGAGAGGAGAGGGGGAAGAGGTGGGGGGAGAGACAGAGAGAGAGACCGTGAGATAGAGAGAGAGAGAGAGAGAGAGAGAGAGAGAGAGAGAGAGAGAGAGAGAGAGAGAGAGAGAGAGAGAGAGAGCGAGAGAGTGAGAGAGAGAGGATGGGAGACGCAGTGAGACGGGAGAGAGAGAGAGAGCGAGAGAGAGAGAGAGAGAGAGAGAGAGAGAGAGAGAGAGAGAGCACTTCATGTTAATGAGTGGAAATGGAAACACTCTTTGTTCTCCCGAGTGGCGCAGTGGTCTAAGGCACTGCATCACAGTGCTAGCTGTGCCACTAGAGATCCTGGTTTGAATCCAGGCTCTGTCGTAGCCGGCCGCGACCGGGAGACCCATGGGGCGGCGCACAGTTGTCCAGGGTAGGGGAGGGAATGGCCGGCAGGGATGTAGCTCAGTTGGTAGAGCATTTCCCACGGGGGGCCAGTATAATAAATAAATATGTATGCACTCACTAACTGTAAGTCGCTCTGGATAAGAGCGTCAGCTAAATGACTAAAATGTAAATGTAAAAAATAGCTAACCTGAGAAGCAACCTTGGACAATAAACCTTGGAGAAAACACTCACTAGCCTACAGTGCACAGACACGGACCCCAAGTGCAGAGCTGAGACAGACTACCACTAGAGGGCGCTGTTCCATTTGAATAGTGATGGTTGGGGGACAACATCGACAGATCACTCAGCTCTCGTCATTCAGTATAGTTTGTCATCTGACATGATGCTTTTGGGATTATTTAAGATACTCTTTGAAGAGGTAAGGTTTCAGATGTTTTCGAAAGATGGACAGGGACTCTGCTGTCCTAGCTTCAAGGGGAAGCTGGTTCCACCATTGGGGTGCCAGGACAGAGAAGAGCTTGGACTGGGCAGAGCGGGAGCTGCCCTCCCATAGGGGTGCGAGGGTCAAGAGACCAGAGGTGGCAGAACGGAGTGCTCAGGTTGTGGTGTAGGGTTTGAGCATAGCCTGAAGATATGGAGGGGCAGTTCCTCTTGCTGCTCCGTAGGTAAGTACCATGGTCTGGTAGTGGATGCAAGCTTCGACTGGAAGCCAGAGGAGTGAACTGAGGAGCGGGGTGACATGGGAGAACTTGGGAAGGTTGAACACCAGGCGGTCTGCTGTGTTCTGGATAAGCTGCAGGGGTTTGATGGCACAAGTGGGGAGCCCAGCCAACAGTGAGTTGCAGCAGTCCAAACGGGGGATGACAAGTGCCTGGATTAGGATCTGCGCTGCTTCCTGTGTGAGGTAGGGTTGTACTCATAACAGAATGAGACAGAGAGATAGATCACGTGGACACCTCTTCCTCTGACAAACACTGTGTTGTGTCTCTTCCTCTGACAGACACTGTGTTGTGTCTCTTTCTCTGACAGACACTGTGTTGTGTCTCTTCCTCTGTCAGACACTGTGTTGTGTCTCTTCCTCTGACAGACACTGTGTTGTGTCTCTTTCTCTGTCAGACACTGTGTTGTGTCTCTTTCTCTGTCAGACACTGTGTTGTGTCTCTTCCTCTGACAGACACTGTGTTGTGTCTCTTTCTCTGTCAGACACTGTGTTGTGTCTCTTCCTCTGTCAGACACTGTGCTGTGTCTCTTCCACGTGTGATTTACTCCCCTTGTCTATGTGTGACTGGGCTGAGGGGATTTCAGAACATTCTGGGCACGGCGGCACGCACAGAGCACATACACACACACAGAGCACACACACACAGAGCACACACACACACAGAGCACACACACACACACAGAGCACACACACACACACACACACATCTTTTATTATTTATTGTTGTTGTTGCATTGTCAAGTAGGAACCTGCAAGTAAGCATTTCATTGGACGATGTTTACCATGCGTATCCCGTACATACGACTAATGAAATGAAAAGTTGAAACACCTTTAACATATTCAAACTCATTCTTACATCAGCAGGAAACAGATGTTGAACAGCCCGAGCATTGTTCTGTCAAGACACTGAGGCAGCGTCAGTGTTCAGACGCACACAAGCACACACGCAAACACACAGAAATCCCCTCAGCCCACATACGGTCAAACAGAGGAACGACTGTGGAGACAGTGTGTTGAGCAGCCTGTAGTCAGCATCAAACGAACACACCACTCACTGGGAAAAGATTACTAGAGAACTGGATCGCATGCAGCATAACTACTGTATTGGACTTCAACGAAATCCATCAAACTAACTGTAGCTAGCAGCGTTGCCTTGAACTAGTGCATAAAGGACAGTGTAACAACCATGAGAACCTATGAGAAAATACCTCTGAGAAAGAGGTGTCTCCAAAGAGGTGTGTCCAGGGTACCATAATAGAATGATTCATACTAGAGGAGCATGGCCATGGCTTCCAAGCCTGTTACCTCATCCAACAAGTCTAGACACTGTCTTCCTCTCTCTCTGTGTCTGATTCCCTATCACTCCAATAAAGCCCTAGTGTAGTGTGATATGTCACAATCACGTCAAATCAATTATTTTATTATACTCCACCAAATAACATTTAAAAAAATCCAGATGACGGCTTCTATATTAGATTCATCGACTTTTATTGGCTGAAATATGATGAATGAAGGTGCTTGCAAACCCACTAACATTTTGTGTTTTTCATCAAATGTTAATTTGTTTTCCCTGTGCATGTGTGTGTCAGGCTCTCTATCTAGGTACCTGACATCTCGTCGACCGGGGACTCCGCCTTGCTGCAGTGCTCCAGGGGTTCTTCATACCTCTTATCCTCCTCCTCTTCCTCCTCCTCATAACTTCTCTTCTTCTCCTCCTCCTCCTCCTCCTCCTTCCCATCTTCCTCTTCCAGCTGAGCCTTCTCCCCAGCCTGCGGCTTCTCCCCAGGCTCCTCATCTTTGTTGGTCACAGTGAGGGTCGGTTTGATCAGAGAGATGTCTGCTAGACTGCCATCTAGGTGCACCAGCCTGGGAGTGGAGATAGAAATAGAATGACTAGAACGGATAAAGCTCCTAATAGTTGTCCCTCTAGATAAAGCTCCTAATAGTTGTCCCTCTAGATAAAGCTCCTAATAGTTGTCCCTCTAGATAAAGCTCCTAATAGTTGTCCCTCTAGATAGCTCCTAATAGTTGTCCCTCTAGATAAAGCTCCTAATAGTTGTCCCTCTAGATAAAGCTCCTAATAGTTGTCCCTCTAGATAAAGCTCCTAATAGTTGTCCCTCTAGATAAAGCTCCTAATAGTTGTCCCTCTAGATAAAGCTCCTAATAGTTGCCCCTCTAGATAAAGCTCCTAATAGTTGTCCCTCTAGATAAAGCTCCTAATAGTTGTCCCTCTAGATAAAGCTCCTAATAGTTGTCCCTCTAGATAAAGCTCCTAATAGTTGTCCCTCTAGATAAAGCTCCTAATAGTTGCCCCTCTAGATAAAGCTCCTAATAGTTGTCCCTCTAGATAAAGCTCCTAATAGTTGTCCCTCTAGATAAAGCTCCTAATAGTTGTCCCTCTAGATAAAGCTCCTAATAGTTTTCCCTCTAGATAAAGCTCCTAATAGTTGTCCCTCTAGATAAAGCTCCTAATAGTTGCCCCTCTAGATAAAGCTCCTAATAGTTGTCCCTCTACTTCAATTTTTTTTTTTTTTTTTTTTTTTTTTTTTTAGCAGACGCTCTTATCCAGAGCGACTTACAGTTAGTGCATACATTATTCTTTTTTTTTTCATACTGGCCCCCCGTGGGAAACGAACCCACAACCCTGGCGTTGCAAACGTCATGCTCTACCACCTGAGCTACCTCCCTGCCGGCCATTCCCTCCCCCGTGCCTCCCTTCTATGGGAGGCACTGTCAGGCTGGGTCCCTGTAGTTATCGAGAGAGAATTTGTTCTGTCTCCTTCCCTTCATGACCACTGGTCTCAAAGTGATAGGTGTAAACAAAAGAGACCAACCAGTCCACACAGCCACTTCTTCCTCATAACATGTGGCAAGTAACTGTACTGTAAAAAGTATTCTAACTTATGGAGAAATTATTTAACATTACATTTAAGTCATTTAGCAGACGCTCTTATCCAGAGCGACTTACAGTTAGTGAGTTCATACATCATTTTTTTTTTTTTTCATACTGGCCCCCCGTGGGAATCGAACCCACAACCCTGGCGTTGCAAACGCCATGCTCTACCAACTGAGCTACATCCCTGCCGGCCATTCCCTCCCCTACCCTGGACGACTTGTGCGCCACCCTATGGGTCTCCCGGTCGCGGCCGGCTACGACAGAGCCTGGATTCAAACCAGGATCTCTAGTGGCACAGCTAGCACTGTGATGCAGTGCCTTAGACCACTGCGCCACTCGGGAGGACATCCACTCGCAATCTCCCAAATCAAACTACAGAGCGGCTGTGGATCCGACTTTTCTGGGCCCGTCTTCCCGACATCTAAAGGTCCCAAAGCGTCTGCGCATGTGTGGGATTTTCCACTTTACACACAGACTCTGCTCTACTTAGAGGGAACAGGCTACTCTGGTGAATGGTGCCCATTTCATAAAGTTAGCTCAAAGCTGAATCAATGTCTGCAAGATCCCACAATGATCTCAGTATTCTACATAACAGAACCGAGTATAATAGCATGGTATAACGTTACTGTTACACCAAAAACAACCCCTCATTTCTTATAAAGATTTTAGGATGATTGTGCGAATTGTGCATTTTTCTCTCATGTGGCCAAAACTCTGTGAAAAAGTATGTGCTTTGAAACTGATTGAGATCAAATGGTTGGTATGCAGATGCTGCATGGACGTTTCACTGGTAAAACTTGAAGAATTATCGTTCACGATTGACAGGGAGAAATGTGAAGGGAGGTTCTCTATGAGTAGAGGAGAGACTGTGTGTAAAGTAGAGAATCCCGCACATGCGCAGAAGCTGCAGACCTTTAGCTGTCCAGAAGAGGGGTCCAGAAAAGTCAGCCATCAAAATATGCCTTCAATGAAAGAGCAGGTGATGAAATTGATTTGATGAATGCTAGCATTGCATTCCAACAATACTTGCACTGCACCTTTGGCAGCGATAGATGTACTACAAAGTTCAGAGGCATAGTTAGTGTTTTAACTTGACACCTTGTTAGAGCTAGATGGAAATGGGATAGAGTTTAAAACCAGGGGGGCTGAACAGTAAAACAGTGGGCGTGCCCAGGGGGGCTGAACAGTAAAACAGTGGGCGTGCCCCGGGGGGCTGAACAGTAAAACAGTGGGCGTGCCCCGGGGGGCTGAACAGTAAAACAGTGGGATTGACATGGAGGAGATCACATTAAGGATATAGTATGTGCATGGAATCCCTTACGGATAACTATCACTATTGAAATAATTAGAGATTTTTAGATTTTAGAAAAGGTGGAAGACAACATATTTTGTCTTTCAGGCCAGCTTTGCTTAGCTTTCCTTGGTGAGGGCTAGTGTGTGAGCGTGTGAGTGTGTGTGTGTGTGTGTGTGTGTGTGTGTGTGTGTGTGTGTGTGTGTGTGTGTGTGTGTGTGTGTGTGTGTGTGTGTGTTGACTTTGGCATGGCGAAGCAATGGAAGAAAGTGGTTTCTGCAGTCAACAATGCTACATTGACAACAACTAGTTAGCTAAAGCTAAAGCAGGTGCCCTAAAACTAATGGAATAACAGGTGCCCTAATGTTACATCAGGTGCCCTAATGGTACAACAAGTGCCCTAGTGGTTTAACCTCTACCGGATCGGTGTCCCGTATACGGGACGGTTGAGCTAACGTGCGCTAATGTGATTAGCATGACTGTTGTAAGTAACAGCAAACTTTCCAGGACATAGACATGTCTTATATGGGCAGAAAGCGTAAATTCTTGGTATTCTAACTGCACTGTCCAATTTACAGTAGCTATTACAGTGAAAAAATACCATGCTATTGTTTGAGGAGAGTGAACAACAACAAAAAAACTTAGCACTATAACTGGTTTGATATATTACATTAACATTTTAGTCATTTAGCAGACGCTCTTATGAGTGCATATATTTTCATACTGGCCCCCCGTGGGAAACGAACCCACAACCCTGGCGTTGCAAGCACCATGCTCTACCAACTGAGCTACAGGGAACATTCACCTCTGAAGGTAAATAATGTACTTACATTCAGTAATCTTGCTCTGATTTGTCATCCTAAAGGTCCCAGAGATAAAATGTAGCATAGTTTTGTTTGATAAAATCAATTTTTATATTCAAATGTTGGAACTGGGTTCTACAGTTTGAACCCCTGCTGTCTCTGGCTCCACACCCACCCCGCCCGGCCATCTAGTTATGTGAAAGTTAGTGTATAAGCTAATGATCCATCATGTATGACATTCCTGGGAGTGTGTAAACTTACATTTTGTATTACCATATCATTTTTGTATGTTCTCTATAGTTATGTACTTGAAAATGTATCAATTGACCAATTCGGCACATTTGGGCAGACTTGATACAAAATAGTCCAGTATTGCAACGCTTCGCTGGATCAATCTGAAACTTTGCACACACACTGCTAAATTGCGCCAAACTGCAATATTATATTGTGGCCTTTCTCTTGCATTTCAAAGATGATGGAACAAGAAAATAAATAGAAAACGCATGTGTTATATTCTCCTACATTAATTTCACATTTCCACAAACTTCAAAGTGTTTCCTTTTAAATGGTATCAAGAATATGCATGTCCTTGCTTCAGGTCCTGAGCTACAGGCAGTTAGATTATGGTATGTCATTTTAGGCAAATAAAAAAAAAAAAAAAGGGTCCGATCCTTAAGAGGATAACAGGTAAGGACAAAAGGATCAGACACAAGCAGATAAAGAGAGGGGGCATTATAGTTAAACTGCCAGCCAGTAGGGGCATGGGTAATGGATAGCCATGGTGGATTTCACATAAATTAATTGCTGGACAGAATTTGGACAGTTTTAATTAAATTAGAGGTTACTAGATAATTCTAGATCTGCGGTTCCCAACCTGTTCCATTCCGGGGATCACCAAATCACTGCCAATACCTCGAGGACCACCATTCGTGGAGTCAGACATTTTTTAAGATAAAATATCTATCGGTCAAATTTTGTCCATTTTAGAAGTGAATGAAACAAATTAAAGGCATATTATTATTATAAACAATTTGCAATGTGAAAAGTAATGTAAAATCTGTTAAAGAAAAATAGCGCTGATATTGATATTGAATCTTAAGTTAATTGAATAGATGGAATGACATGCTTTTAACAAACCTAAATACTTTTTGAACTCCCTGTCAGTACTATACATCCTTCCACTTCCTGTGCTCTATAAAGGAGTGGAGTGACCCTTTGTCGAATAGTTTTGAATCCTGTGAGACTTAGTGGGACTCAGGGCACTGCCAGAGAGTCACAACTTATTTTCCAGTGTGCTGTCTCACCTGGTGATTGTGCTCTTCTGCTTGTCGGCCACCGTCTTGATGTCAGTGAGCAGCAGGAAGCGCTGGTGGAAGTAGTGGAAGTGGAGGATGCAGACCAACAGGAAGGAGGTGGGGATGAAGATCCTCGTGAACAGAGCCGGGACAGAGAACTTCTCCAGACCCAGGTCCTCCAGTCTACACAGGGAGAGACAGGGGGAGGAGGGCGGTTGACACGGAACGATGGTAAAGGCACACACACACACACACACACACACACACACACACTCTCTCGCTCTCTCCATTTCTCTTTACTCACTTGTCTTTGCTCATTCCGGTCATGTTGGACCAGACGTGGATGGAGGAGTCAAACTGGAAGGTGTAGACCAGGATGAGGACCAGCATGGTGTAGACCACCACAGACATCCAGAAGTACTTCAGCATCCTCCTCCACCACTCATAGTGCACCTGGTGATGGCCAGAGAGGCAGGCTGTTACAAAACATTACACATACCTTCAAATCACCATTCACTGTTCCAGTATGTGTAGTTTGTTAGTTATAGAACACTCATTTTACATCCGAGTCATTTAGCAGACGCTCTTATACAGAACAACTTACAGTAGTGAGTCATTTAGCAGACGCTCTTATCCAGAGAGACTTACAGTAGTCAGTCATTTAGCAGACGTTCTTATCCAGAGAGACTTACAGTAGTGAGTCATTTAGCAGACGCTCTTATCCAGAGAGACTTACAGTAGTGAGTCATTTACCAGACACTCTTATCCAGAGAGACTTACAGTAGTGAGTCATTTACCAGACACTCTTATCCAGAGAGACTTACAGTAGTGAGTCATTTACCAGACACTCTTATCCAGAGAGACTTACAGTAGTGAGTCATTTAGCAGACGCTCTTATCCAGAGAGACTTACAGTAGTCAGTCATTTAGCAGACGTTCTTATCCAGAGAGACTTACAGTAGTGAGTCATTTAGCAGACGCTATTATCCAGAGAGACTTACAGTAGTGAGTCATTTACCAGACACTCTTATCCAGAGAGACTTACAGTAGTGAGTCATTTAGCAGACACTCTTATCCAGAGAGACTTACAGTAGTGAGTCATTTACCAGACACTCTTATCCAGAGAGACTTACAGTAGTGAGTCATTTACCAGACACTCTTATCCAGAGAGACTTACAGTAGTGAGTCATTTAGCAGACGCTCTTATCCAGAGAGACTTACAGTAGTCAGTCATTTAGCAGACGTTCTTATCCAGAGAGACTTACAGTAGTGAGTCATTTAGCAGACGCTCTTATCCAGAGAGACTTACAGTAGTCAGTCATTTAGCAGATGCTCTTATCCAGAGAGACTTACAGTAGTGAGTCATTTACCAGACGCTCTTATCCAGAGAGACTTACAGTAGTGAGTCATTTACCAGACACTCTTATCCAGAGAGACTTACAGTAGTGAGTCATTTACCAGACACTCTTATCCAGAGAGACTTACAGTAGTGAGTCATTTAGCAGACGCTCTTATCCAGAGAGACTTACAGTAGTCAGTCATTTAGCAGACGTTCTTATCCAGAGAGACTTACAGTAGTGAGTCATTTAGCAGACGCTCTTATCCAGAGAGACTTACAGTAGTCAGTCATTTAGCAGATGCTCTTATCCAGAGAGACTTACAGTAGTGAGTCATTTACCAGACACTCTTATCCAGAGAGACTTACAGTAGTGAGTCATTTAGCAGACGCTCTTATCCAGAGAGACTTACAGTAGTGAGTCATTTACCAGACACTCTCATCAATAGAGACTTACAGTAGTGAGTCATTTAGCAGATGCTCTTATCCAGAACGACTTACAGTAGTGAGTCATTTAGCAGACGCTCTTATCCAGAGAGACTTACAGTAGTGAGTGATTTAGCAGATGCTCTTATCCAGAGAGACTTACAGTAGTCAGTCATTTAGCAGACGCTCTTATCCAGAATGACTTACAGTAGTGAGTCATTTAGCAGACGCTCTTATCCAGAGAGACTTACAGTAGTGAGTCATTTAGCAGATGCTCTTATCCAGAGAGACTTACAGTAGTGAGTCATTTAGCAGACGCTCTTATCCAGAATGACTTACAGTAGTCAGTCATTTACCAGACGCTCTTATCCAGAGAGACTTACAGTAGTGAGTCATTTAGCAGACGCTCTTATCCAGAGAGACTTACAGTAGTCAGTCATTTAGCAGACGCTCTTATCCAGAGAGACTTACAGTTGTGAGTCATTTAGCAGACGCTCTTATCCAGAGAGACTTACAGTCGTCAGTCATTTAGCAGACGCTCTTATCCAGAGAGACTTACAGTAGTCAGTCATTTAGCAGACGCTCTTATCCAGAGAGACTTACAGTAGTGAGTCACTTAGCAGACACTCTTATCCAGAGAGACTTACAGTAGTGAGTTATTTACCAGACGCTCTTATCCAGAGAGACTTACAGTTGTGAGTCATTTAGCAGACGCTCTTATCCAGAGAGACTTACAGTCGTCAGTCATTTAGCAGACGCTATTATCCAGAGAGACTTACAGTTGTGAGTCATTTAGCAGACGCTCTTATCCAGAGAGACTTACAGTCGTCAGTCATTTAGCAGACGCTCTTATCCAGAGAGACTTACAGTAGTGAGTCATTTACCAGACACTCTTATCCAGAGAGACTTACAGTAGTGAGTCATTTACCAGACACTCTTATCCAGAGAGACTTACAGTAGTGAGTCATTTAGCAGACGCTCTTATCCAGAGAGACTTACAGTAGTCAGTCATTTAGCAGACGCTCTTATCCAGAGAGACTTACAGTAGTGAGTCATTTAGCAGACGCTCTTATCCAGAGAGACTTACAGTAGTCAGTCATTTAGCAGATGCTCTTATCCAGAGAGACTTACAGTAGTGAGTCATTTACCAGACACTCTTATCCAGAGAGACTTACAGTAGTGAGTCATTTAGCAGACGCTCTTATCCAGAGAGACTTACAGTAGTGAGTCATTTAGCAGACGCTCTTATCCAGAGAGACTTACAGTAGTGAGTCATTTACCAGACACTCTCATCCATAGAGACTTACAGTAGTGAGTCATTTAGCAGACGCTCTTATCCAGAACGACTTACAGTAGTGAGTCATTTAGCAGACGCTCTTATCCAGAGAGACTTACAGTAGTGAGTCATTTAGCAGATGCTCTTATCCAGAGAGACTTACAGTAGTCAGTCATTTAGCAGACGCTCTTATCCAGAATGACTTACAGTAGTGAGTCATTTAGCAGACGCTCTTATCCAGAGAGACTTACAGTAGTGAGTCATTTAGCAGATGCTCTTATCCAGAGAGACTTACAGTAGTGAGTCATTTAGCAGACGCTCTTATCCAGAATGACTTACAGTAGTCAGTCATTTACCAGACGCTCTTATCCAGAGAGACTTACAGTAGTGAGTCATTTACCAGACGCTCTTATCCAGAGAGACTTACAGTAGTCAGTCATTTAGCAGACGCTCTTATCCAGAGAGACTTACAGTTGTGAGTCATTTAGCAGACGCTCTTATCCAGAGAGACTTACAGTCGTCAGTCATTTAGCAGACGCTCTTATCCAGAGAGACTTACAGTAGTGAGTCACTTAGCAGACACTCTTTTCCAGTGCGACTTACAGTAGTGAGTGCATACATTTTCGTACTTTCTCGCACACTCCGGATGTATAGAAATTGTATATGTGGAGTGCACTTGATTTAGTTTCCCCGGTAACCGAAGGAAAGGCCCCAAAAGGTGCATCAGCGCTGGGCTAGATCAAAACCCTGCACAGAGCCAGCCAGACAGGAAGGTACAGTAAGCCTACAGTAACAGTACCTGGTAGCAGGCCACACAGAAGAGGAGGAGCATCATGTAGATGATCTTGTACATGACGATGCGTCCCTCGAAGCTGACGAAGAAGAACATGCCGCCGCAGATGTAGATCCAGTACTTGTTCAACATGGCCATGAGGGTGTTGCCTAGCATCTCCATCATCTCCCTGTGGCCACCGCTCTCATCCACCACCTCCATCATCTCCCTGTGGCCACCGCTCTCATCCACCACCTCCATCATCTCCCTGTGGCCACCGCTCTCATCCACCACCTCCTCATCCTCTATAGGAAGCACACGGGAGGGAAGAGCTGAACCAATGACATAGAAGACGACAACAACAACAGCTAAGACAACAACAACAGCAACAACAACAGCTAAGACAACAACAACAGCAACGACGGAGGGATACGCTAACGCAAATACGGCAAAAAGTTGTTTATTTACATTTGTGTAAAAACATTTTGAGGTGATGAATGTCTTTCTTGACACCTGTGAGGTTATTAATAGAGCAGAATTCTAATTCAAGACATGCTTATATTTCATCTAAATAATGAATTGATGTCAATAGGAGATGTATGTGAAAGTTTGCATTACATGCTTTCATCTGAAACTCATACTGTACATTAGGGATGGGCATCTTTGATGGGGGTGGGGAACACAAAAAATCATCATGGGGGGCCGCAGCGGCTCGAGGGTCTGCGTACCCACATCCACACATCAGAGCCAGCCCCAGCCTTTTGGGGGCACTTAGTAAAATCTTGCCACCCTCTTATTTTACACTTTTAAAGCAAGTTTGCTGCAATTCTACACATTTTGCCATGGGGCGGAAAGAAGATTTAGCAATTTTATAACTAATTTCATGCAATTCTACTCATTTTGCCATGGGGCAGAGAGAAAAATGTGCAGTTTTACAGCAAATATTTTACAGCAGTTTGAATATGATATCTGAGTGAGAGTGACTAACAAAATCAATGGGGCCCCTCCGGTCAGTAATTTGACCATGATTACCAATCTAAAAATGTTTTTCTGACATGGGCTAATTGAGTGACTGTCAGGTGACTGACATAACAGGAGAAAAACTGCTGATGCACAACCACATTTAGAAATTGCACCTTGTTTATTCTACTATTCTAACTCGCAATAGTAAGTTGAGACCACGACCGAGTTCCCGAAATTGATCCGCGGGCCACCAGTTGTCCATCCCTGCTGTACATACTCTCACCAGGAAATCTCAGTCAGACAGACAGCCAGTCAGACTGACTGACAGACTCAGGGGCTGTCTTACCCTTCTTGTGGGCATGGATGACCCTGATGTCCGACAGCACCTCCTCTTCTCTCTGTCTCTCCTTTCTCTCTGTCAACGCCTGTCTCAGCAGCAGCCAGAAACTCAGCAGGCACAGCATCTTGGAGCCCAGTTCCCGGAAGGGCACCTCTTTCTTTAAGAAAAGCCCGGGCACGGGTTGGAGGAGCTCAAAGCTCCAGATATACTGTAGGATGATCAACAGGTTCCCATAAAATACCATGAAGGGGGAGGTGATCATGGCGTACTGGCGGCGGTCGCGCACCATCCACAGCGTGCAGGACCAGATGAGGAACACAAAGGTCAGCCAGCTAACATAAGTGATACTCCACGCCTAGGAGGGAGGGAGAGATGGAGAGGGAGGGTGGGACAGATGGAGAGATGGGGAGGGAGGGATGAGGAGGGAGGAGGGAGGGAGAGATGGAGAGATGGGGAGGGAGGAGGGAGAGATGAGGAGGGAGGAGGGAGAGATGGGGACGGAGAGAGAGAGAGAGTAAGGGAGAGAAAGCTAGATCATCAAGCCACTAATAATACAGGTTAAGCATCACACATCATTGGTATCACTGGTGTTACTAAAGGAACCACTTCAGTGAGAGCAGTCACTGGCATAGCATGGCTACTGAATATCCTTTACCAACAGATCAAATTATGTGACACTCTTCTTAGACGTGTAAAACAGAGTGCAGGCCAAGGTTGTTTCTCCAGAGAGAGGGTGGCCTTTCTACCTATCAGTGACCTCAGCAGTGCTCCACTAACCAACCAACCGCCCATGAAGAGAGAACACACATCTCTTCTTTGGTTTATGAGGTGACGCTTCGGTACTACATGATACACATTACCCAGGGCCAACTGGGGCTGACTAAATTGGCCACTGGGAGGCTGTGTGTGTGGATCCTGAAGCCCCCGCCTGGGACTGAAAAGGCAGACTGTTCCTTCCTCCTCCTCCTCCTCCTCCTTCTCCTCCTCCTCCTCCTCCTCCTCAGACAGACACAACACACACACACACACACACACACAGACTCACCATCATTGCGATGAGAGCACAGATGTAGCTTTGCTTCATGATGAACCTGAAGGCCGTGACTGCCGCATTAGCTCGTGCCATGCCTTCCTCCGGCGCCGTCACCCACGCCATCGCCCCTGCCATCGCCCCTGCCGCCATTTCTTCTTTCAAACTCTCGCCACGCGCAACCACCACCTCATACACACTCTCTGCAGGACGGAGGAAAGGGAAGGAAAGAGGGAAGGAGGGAGGGAAGGAGGGAGAGAAGGAGGGAGGGAAGGAAGGAGGGAAGGAGGGAGGGAAGGAGGGAGAGAAGGAGGGAGGAAGGAGGGAGAGAGAGAGAGAGCGGATAGCATCACGAGCTAGCTACCTACAAAACTTGAGAAGCTTTGAGAAGCAAAGCCCTCTCTTTTTCACACTCCCTGTGATTTTCCTATCAACCAGGCAAATTTCCCCAAAGTGCTGCTGTTTTCCAGCACAGGGTTTGTGTGTGTGGCGGGGTGAGGGTGTTATTCCCTGTATGTGGGTGATACTAACCCAGGTCTGGCCCTGGTTGGCCTGGTTTGTACTGCGGTGTGGAGTACAGGTCCAGCCCCAGCGGCCCGTTGGTGGGGACATAGTCCGGAGGAGACCCATTAGAGATTACTATCAACACCTGGGGTAGGAAAACACCCTTAGTGGGGAAATTCACAATGGCATAAGTACGTTATCATCCATGTATTTGCTTGTCCAATAGCTTTTGTTTATTTGATATTTGTTGGCCAAGTGACATCTGATTGGGTCTGTTTATAAGCAACTCCAAAACGCTAAAAACTCTAAAATATAGGTAATCTTGCAAGTTACAAAATATAGTTTGTAAAGTGGTTGTCCCACTGGCTATCATAAGGTGAATGCACCAATTTGTAAGTGGCTCTGGATAAGAGCGTCTGCTAAATGATGTAGACGTAAATGTAAATGTATAGTAAAGGAGTAGCATGCAAACCTCAGATGTGCTGTATCCATCTTGGGTTGAAAAAACCCCGAATAATACATTGACACTGCCCTTATATGATACTCATGTTTGCTTACAAACACACGATCAGTGACAGGATATTGTCACACACCTTACACACGGGCATTACAGCGCCATGAAAGAACTTGGAACATGGAACAGACAGGTACATGAAAGAACTTGGAACATGGAACAGACAGGAACATGAAAGAACTTGGAACATGGAACAGACAGGAACATGAAAGAACTTGGAACATGGAACAGACAGGAACATGAAAGAACTTGGAACATGGAACAGACAGGAACATGAAAGAACTTGGAACATGGAACAGACAGGAACATGAAAGAACTAGGTGTGTAATATCACTACAGTACATATACTGGATGTTTGTGTACATTTCTGTCATCTGTGTGGTGAGTCATCCTCCACAGCTCTCTCCTCTTCTCTGCTGTGGGGGTGATGTCATCAACCATAGGCTCCTCCCCTTCGCCCACATCAGGCGCCTGTGAAATAGATCAGAAGAAAAAGAAACAAATAAGATGTACTGTTAGGTTACGGTAAATGTGGGTGATGGAAATCCTCAACATAAAAGGTCCTCCCAACTTCGACATTATCCAATGGGTAAAG